AAAAACGAGGAAAATGTGACGCAGACAATATTGCGCGGGTCAGTTATTCTGTATTATTATCCTTAATGATATTACAAATGCGTAAGGGTGTTTATTTACTAGCTTTTCACGACTAAAGGCTCAATTTCTATTCTAATGGATCTCAATTAAATTTGAGTAGAAAATAAACGGTCGCATATAGGCACCTCTTATCTCAAAAAAAAAGTGAACGAAATCGCGGGTAATAACTAGTAAAGAATAATTAATGAATTTACAATAATTCCTATTATAATTCAATTATTATAAATATAGGGAGTACTTAAACGTTTTCGAATATAAAAACGAGTAGATAGTTAAATCTATTCGGAAATAAAGTATATTCATGTAGTACATAAAACACAATAAAATTAAAAATACAAAGTGTTATTTATGAAATTGGTTGACATCTCAAGTAAAATGAGATGAATAGCGTATGTTTTTTATTTGTTTATGCAAAGTTTTAATTTGTACAGACGCGCAGACGTCCCTAATGATTGAAATGAAATGGCAAACTTGGACGATTGCTTTCTTTAGGGAAATAAAAAATGTGAAATGTGTTTCATTAGTCCCGGGGGTGTGAGTGGGAGAATTGCAAAATTTAAATGTTACTGTAACCTTTCTGATTTTGCCTATATGCCTATACCGTTGAGGATTATTTATCGTGCTTTTAAAAATAACTGGAACCTAGTTTCTTACGGGAAATTATAATAAAATTAAGAATAAAGCTCAATATTTTCTCTTTAAAATATTTATTTAGACAAAAGTAATTATTGCAATTGAATAAATAAAAAAAAAATTAACAAAGATTATTTCACGGAATAAGATGCTTTATCAATAATTTTATTGCTATATTTGTAGTTTCAAAATGAGGAACAGATAAATAACTAAAGCTCATGCTTTCCGTTGCACAATAATATTGAGTAAAGAATTCCGTCTATAAATGCGAAATACGGCCTAGCTACATTTTAGCTGTCAATATAACAACATAGTTCCAGTTTGATTAACGAGTTAAGGAAAGCATTATATATTTTTTTATATATAGTGTAGAAGCCTAGCAATCCCGTGGTCACTATTCATTATACTCGTCCACTGTTTCTGTCGCCAAGTAGAGATATATTTTTCCCGTAATCCTAGATTTTGTGATGGCACACGAAGCTTTGTCCGCCCACTGTAAAGTTTATTTTTACCACAAGTAACGTTTTACTCTCTTTGCTTAACTTGAACTGTTTGTTTATAACCACAGACCGAGACATTTAAAACGTGTGAAATTTACAAATGGGTGCGAATAGCGAGACGCTCGTAATTATGGAGACATTATTACATACTAGCTTCTGCCGTCGACTTCGTTCGCAAGACCATGATCGACTGGTATAAAAGTAAAGCACGTACTTCTGGAATGAATGCCGAATTTCATAAATGTTAAAGCAATCATTGCTTTAACATTTATTACAAAAAATCGTAATAAAGAAACTTATTATGGCAATTATAATAAAGATTACTTAGATTCATGCTCTGTATATAGTAATATTTTTAGCGTGATAACAAAGATTTTAATACTTTTTAACCAACTGCCAGAAATAGAAGATCTTTAATAATACTTTTACAGTAAATTTTTTGTCTCTAAGTATACCGTTTGGCGTTTATTATCCTCGGTAAAACAGAACCGTTTTTTTTTATAAACTTGCAATCAATGGAATTATTACCGTTATGGTGTCATAAATATTATAGTTTGTCACTATATCATTATTCACATTATAGTATCAAGTTTCTTTGTGAAATAAAATATTTTTATAATGGATAATCAACATTAGGTTATGTCTATTTGTCACATAATGTCTTAGCCCAAATTGAACAGATACGAATCATATTATATCTGTCACCCATACCATTCTTAAATGCGCGTAGTATCGTTTGATGGTCGTTGTGTTCACATAAGCATAGTGACTAATACAAGGGTATAGTTAACTGCATCATGGTAACGGTAACTAAAAGCTGTCATTAGGTAGGATTTAGGATGGTACTCACTTAAACGAACGCTTAATGACTTATAAATATTTTATCATAATTCAAACTTCTTTTGAACTGCCAACAAGAACTTTCTAAATACAATGTTATTTTTTTAAATTAAGCAATATATATTACTGAAATAATCAGATTTCAATGCTTTTTTTTGTAATAATTCCCGTGCCATATCTCTTGCTGATACCAGTTAAGTAGTGTATGAAAACATCGTCATTTTCTTTTTGTAGAACAAAATTCGAATACAAACATAATCTTATTGTGGTCGATAAAGGAAAAGCTTTAATCCCAGCGAAATATTTATATCCTCTTTATATATTTACGTTACAGACATTAAAAAGAAATACAGTAATCCATTGTCCTTTCTTAAAGGAAATGAAAATGTGTAGGACTGTACATAGTTGCTAGCATTGACATGAGCTGGCGACGATGGCTTGGTAGGCGAGGCGCACGCCCGGCGCCACGTACCGGATACCATAAAATCTACAAGGGACAAGCTTTGGCGATATTAATTTACTATATTACACACCCTATGTCTCATTTTTTACCTTTACCTTTACCTTCACTAACCAGAATGTAGTTTGAGAACGATTGCTTACGATAACATTGCCTTTTGTGGAGTATTTTTTTTTATTTTATTGTTTTCTATATTTGATGCATCAGAGTGTATAAATAAATAGTACCGTTTACTTGAGCTCATTTATATTTATTCAAATTGAAAATACACGCTATAGATTAGTGATATTGTAGGTACGAACATATATATAATTTGTTTATAACCTACTTCTGGCACTAACAGATTTTTTACTCAATTGTATTCAAATTATGGATTTTATTGTTCCATAAACTTCAGTATTAAACTTTTAAAAACTTATAGCCTATTTATTATATAAGAAATTCAAAGCTTTCTAAGAAAATATCTTTATTTAGTGAAATAAACGTTTTTATAATTAAAAATATAAAACAATTGACTGAAATATCAATAATATTTCCCCATTCACCCATAAAAAAGTGTAAAAGTGTGTGTGTAAGGCTATAAGTATCGCTAGATTATCACACCCTAAAGCCAATAAAGCCATCAATATTACTTCATTTGTTGATTATCGACAATGCATAATCGATAAATTCTATATATCATGTATTTGTAATCCTGGTAATAATAGGCTCTCTGGGATCGATGAATGAATGCACGTCACTACTCTAACATACCATACTAGTGCGTGACAATAGCAATTTAATAGGGAGAGTTTCATTCATCTTTGTTTACCATGCTGTAATCGATAAGCGTGGCGCCGCACTGCAGCCGTTCAATAAATTCGGTATTAAATATGATTGAATTAACTTTCTGATAATTCAATTTGTATGTTGTTATTTCTAGTTATCTATATGTGATTTAATCTTTTGGTGTTAGATGTTGTATAAAAAAAGTTTATCATAAGTCTTCATTTAATAAGTTTATGATTTGTACTGGACCCAACTGTAGACTAACTACAGGTTAGATGCCTACATAAATGTACATCCATTAGGTGTAAAAGAGAAACTCTAATTGCAAAGTTTGTTTAAAACCTAATTAATGAGTTTTCAAACAAAGTTTATCAACTTGGTCAGACGGTTTTTTATACCGCATTTTCTCTCGTAATATTTTTATAATACTAGAACTGTATTCATATACTTACTGCCTTATTATTATTATTGACATCACAACTTTTTCCAGTAGAAAGAGACTGAGTGATTTATCCCTCTTCTGTCTTTGCACGTGTAGATGCATAAATATTTGTGTTTAGCAATCTAATGCAAAAACAATGGCATACATCATACATTGTATGACATAAAAATAGTAACTCTTGCTTTTTGTCATAAACAGTACCAAGATCACAAATTACGCTGTTTCCATTTCTAAGTACTAAGGATCTGTGTGCTTCCGTTCCCAGTAATTTAATAGCATTGGTCCGAATTTCATACTAAAACACCATGAACGGAACTGCGTCACGATAGACGAATGAAATGAGACAATGTTCTCATGCAGACGACTTTGAACAAAGTGTACTTCTTGTGTACTATAATAATAACATAATCCATAATTAACGTCGCATGGCGCAAACATAGTAGGTTAATTAAATTCCCGTACGTAGATCACAATCCGTTTAATATTATCGCTAATATATCGTACGCACAGTCTAACTGTTTATGCTAGCAAAAGATCATTGGAAGTTGGAATGAAGTCAAATATATTCGCTCAAATTTATCTTACTTTATGAGATGCTACTACTAACAATTTCGTTCCCCTCGCAACTTGTGATGCTTCCGTAATTATAGCTAATCCAATAAGTAAGGATTACACAGATTCCTAAGGAAACAGAAATATCCTGAGTTCCGTAATACACAACAGAATTTAAATAGAGATTCCTGTTTTCTGAAGTTACTTTACATTATATTCGAATAACAACCAGCCAATATAACTTCTAAAGAAATTCTCTATGGACGGATTCTGCGAATAAGTAAGTGCTATTGGCTCGTCCTGTGCAGATAGTAAATATGCCAATTATGTTGTAATATTGATACACGACAACTGGGAGGGTGATATGACGTAGCCACAAGTGACATATCCGCCAGATAACTTGAGGATGGGAGCGTCCTGCGTCAAGGACTGCCATATTGTGCTTGTGCACTGAAGTTGTTGCTTATCTGCGCACACTACAGTGGTTTCAATTCTAATAATAGTATTGATGATATTTCATCTACAATATACCGTCGACAGTCTTGTCGCAACATTGTTGTTTTACTTGGTAATCTTTGTAGGTATGTTTTAAACTTCTTTTTTCGAAAAAAGAGATTTTTTCTGAATTTTTGTTTGTGAACTGAACGGATTAGTTTGTTCTGTTCAGTTTGGAACTTGATATGGTCATATTTTCGTCATCGTGTGTTTATTTAATTACTTTAATAGAATCGGTTTTTTGTTTTAGACACCATGGAGGAACGAGAGAGCGAGGAGGGCCCCGGCGTGCCGGACATGACCATGATGCCGCACATCACGGAAGATGCCATCAATGATAATCTCAAGAGGCGGTACAAATACGATCTGATCTATGTATCCTTTTGACGAAGTAATTCATATACTAACGGAAAATTTTTTTTTGTAATCTCAAGACAATTGTCTTCTTCTTGACAATTCACATGTCGCCACTTCACTCACACAACCCAGACCTATACAAACGACTCATGATTAAACAGGTTTAAAAGTGTCTATATCCTTTTTTAATTTCCACGCATTCATATCCGATTTTAAAAATCTGAATGATGCAATAAGTCTTTTAGAAAAAAAAATTTTCTTTTCATTTCAAAATTTCATTATTATTTTCATGCTAATGTTATTAATTACTTTCCTGAATAATTTGTACAGACATACACAGGCTCTATTTTAGTTGCAGTAAATCCGTACAAGGAACTAGGATGTTATACAACGGTAAGTGAGATTTATAAAATTTACTAAAAATGTAATTCATAATGATGGGGCTCTTTCATACGGAACTGAGTCGACAGTTTTGTGTGAAAATGCCATTACTTCCCTACTATCAATACCTTCGCCAACGATATATAGAATAGTCCGGATATTGCAGTTATGAATATATAAATAACTTAAGAGCAGCAAATAAAATGACTGAGATTTTGTCATGTATCAAATCTTTTTATGTGTGTTCCGAACATTAATGTAATTGCAATGTTCTCACTTCAAAGCAGTTTTTATATCGCATCTCCGCCTTAAGAACTGCCGATTACTTTTTCCCCGTTCTATCAGCATACAATAGATTGACACTTTCCATTACGCAGTTTCCAACGACAAAGGAAATATAAATTCCGCATATACACTCTTCTTTAGTGGGGAAACAATTATCTATATAAATTATTATACATGTATATAGTATATTGTGTTACTTTAAATGCTACGTATATATACAATAGTCGATGGAAAGTTTACTTTCAAAAATGAAAGCTTTCAGTATATTTAGCAGCTAAATAACAATAACAACCAACAGTACTAAAAATAAAACGTAATGAGTTTTGTTAATAAACTTAAGTCATATGAATCTACCCAAAACCCATTAAGTTGTAACTAACAGTCATGCTGCTATAGAAATAATTCTAACACATTTATGAATGGTAGGAAACAATTTGTCAGAAATGATTCACATAGATGCACAATGGACTACGCATTTACAGTAACGGAGTGTAGCCGTGAGCACTGGCTCGATCAGGATAATTATTTTAAAAAATATTTTAGTATTTGACAGCCCATTTATAGAGGAAGGCTATAACCTATATAACATAACGTCACAAATAGGAGTACAGATGCAAATTTGGGGAAAATGTGACGCAGTCGAAGTTGCGCGGGACAGTTAGTTTATACAGACAAATAAAAAAGAATTGTCTGTTTGTAATTTCAAATTAACAGCTTTTTAAATGCATGTGAAAGTATGTATGGTACGGTACATACATCATAAAATATTTTTTATGTCTGTTTATTTTTGCAAATTTCTTAAACGGCTGTACTGATTTTGATAAGACTTTCACTCGCAGATAGCTAAAGTTGTAAGAAGTAAAGAAAGCTTTAATTTTATATATTTTAATAAAAAAATAAAAGTTTAATTCTACACGGATGAAGTCGCGGGTAACAACTAGTTGACTAATTAAACAAAAATGTGAATAATAGAAAAACATTGTCAACATCACTAGTCTAGTCATAAATACTTAAACAGTGACATCGACAATATTCTGTACAGTTTTCTTGTGTCTATATGTAAAGCTTACTTATAACTACTCAGGATGAGCACCGACTCAAAAGCTATAGCTGTGTATGTAATCTCTGTGGGGACAAGATCAAAAGGAAATATGATATAATATTTAAAGATATTTTGATTTATGTTTTCCCAAAAGATATCGTATTGCATTTAAAAATTTATATTCCATTTGTACTTTTGTGACAGGAACACATGCAAAATTATCGAGGGAAATCTTTCGGCACCCTCCCACCGCATGTTTTCACGCTTGCCGAATCGGCGTACAGCTCGCTACAGGTAAACCTTTATTGTACATAAATATCTATTAATAGTAATAAAAACAGATATAAACATTGTATATTAAAATGTACGTCTACATTTTTATTACGTTAAACAAGAATACGATAATATATAGATAATAAGAACAAAAAGTGCAAGTATCAGCATATGAATTAGAAAATTAATATTCAATATGAAATAAAAGATTCCATAAAAGTAATATTTGCTAAAAAATAAATACCCAAGTAAATAAATAACCGTGATTATCAATTTATAGTTTAAGTTATTAGAGTTTGGGAATATTGTATATGTAGGTATGACTTTTATCTTATGTTACGATACACGAGATATATACTGTGTCTAATACTATAAAAATAGGTAAAATGTGTTAGATTTACTAAAACATGATCTTCTTTACAAATACTATATATGTATATACACTTGCGCTAACACAGTTAACACTGGCGGGGCACCAGTAGAGGACGAATAATAACAATTATCAAAAGGTTGTTTCGTAGCACACTATTAAAATTATCCTTATCAAATTTCTACTTTTAATTTATAGAACGGTGAAAAGAACCAATCAGTGGTCATATCTGGAGAGAGTGGTGCGGGTAAAACGGAGACCACCAAGCTGATACTTCAGTACTTGTGTGCGGCGGGTGGACAGGCATCTTGGGCTGAACAGCAGATCCTGGAGGCCAACACTGTACTAGAGGCGTTTGGTAAGTTCATCATCTATTAGAGAGTATATGAACATTACAATAAAAAAACAGGATAAAACGCATGCATTTTAATATTATGAAGTAATAACTATTGGTTGGTTTCACGGATATCAGGTAATATTGTGATATCCATGGTGACGTATATGTATATAAACGACGGTTACCGTTTACCATCAGACGGGTGATCCACTTCTTTACATAAACAAATAATGACATTACACTCTTCTTTCGCAAACTATATTGATTTTTATGTAACAACTTGAGTGTGATACGAATTTAGTTATAATACGTCGTGCGGTAATACCGTTGTACTAGTTACGATGCTGAGAAAAATCGCCTTGTCATTCGGAACCATATGATCTGCTTGTAATATATGCTTGTAAATATATTTCTCAAGTACATATCTATCTACAATATACATATGTAAATAGCTGCAACTGGTTTCATCTTTTTACCTGCCGCTGCCTGTATCAGACGAGCACAATATAAAAATAAGCGGTACTATCATAACAGCCAAAAATATATACCAGATTGTGCCTAATCTTGCCGTTAACCAGAATACCTTCGTTGGTCTTTTTTTTGGGTCATATTGAACTCAATATATTGTTCATTACACGCCTCGAGATGAGCATCATTAGCCGTACAGCATATTCATTATCTTCACGCCTGAGGTGTTAAAAAGCCTGATTTACATGAATCATAATAGGATTTGCTTTGTAAAGCCCTACAAGTTTAATAAGTCTTTAAGTGACTGGTATATTTTCATCCTCGATTTCTACAAAACAAATACAAAGGCCTATTGTGATTTGTATAATTTTAACACATTTCTAAATCTGAGTTTGAAACAGAATATTTGTAACCCGAGAGAGAACATCATAGGCCAGTATATTACTACTCCGCCGTATAACGCAAAGGTCGTGAATCTGGCCGACACTAAACATCTTTATGTTAATTAATGTGTCTGTTGTACTCTCCGGTAACAAGAATATCAAAAGAAATTAATTGATGGTGAAAGATGGCGTTAAGACGCCTCCGACACCTGTCAAGTTAAATTCAAATATACTTAACAAAATAGTATTGCGTTCACCATATTGACATTTGAAAGTGCCCCTAACTATATCATCTACGATTATAATACTGAATACAATTATATTGATCTTCCAAAATGTAATGTTTGTATGACCATCACCATCACAGCTATATTCTAAGTGAATGAACACTATCGGGCCACCGCCACAATATAACAGTACCCTGCGTACTATTAATATACATTGCACAATCGTGTAATAAGAACATTTCATTTCAAACACTACGTTGTTTATATTTATTCCAGGTAATGCAAAAACCGTACGCAACGACAACTCCTCCCGCTTCGGTAAATTCGTGGAGGTCCGCCTGGACCATCGCGGCGGTATCCGTGGTGCGGTGCTACGCGACTTTCTCTTGGAGCGCGCCCGTATCACCGGACCTTCGCCACGTGAGACCAACTATCACGTGTTCTATCAGCTGGTTGAAGGGGCTAAGGTATTGTTGTTGTATTTATTTTTATTTATAATTTGAAGATTTATAAATAGGTCTTATAATCATATTTTTTATTGATTAATTATATATGTATATATGTCATTAACTGTATATCACCACACTGCCCATTTAAAATACACCTATATTATTCACTGATCAAAAACAAAATTATTTTGAAATTCATACGCTATTTTATTACAAACATCAAATCTTTCCACTTTACAGTTACTACTTTAACTTAGATATTATTAGACTAATTAAATCTGAATTATATGAGAATACATAAATTAAAATAAGTAATAATATAAATTGTAGTACATATAAAAGTTTACTGATCTAATCTATAGTCGAGTTTCTAGTAGTGTTTATTAGAAATACAAAATTATCATTTAAAATCTTCATAATTTTATTTAAAAGGAATTTACAATATGAAGTTGGTATGTTGAAATGATAAACACATAGAATGTATATGAATAGATATAAAGTTTAAATAAAAACCATACCATGTAAATACCATTGTTATTGAAGAAAGACCATGTAGTTACAAAATCTTTAAACCACTTTCAGCACAATGCTGAACTGCGAAGCACTCTACGTCTCCGTGACGATGTCCAATACAAGTATCTCAGGCCAGAGGATGAGGAAGCTAGAAAGGGCCGCGGCGGGGAACAAGGCAAATTGGAAGCGCTACAGTTAGCGTTGACAGTGCTGCAGGTCCCACCTCACATGTGTGAGGGTCTGTTCAAAGTGCTGGCTGCGGTACTATGGCTCGGAAATATACAGTTCCAGGTAATTATTTTTGTTTCAATAATAATTTATTTAAATGTGTTTTTAATTTAAATGTATTTATTAAATATTGTTATTTTCTGGAAACTTGTAATGCACTTTAAGAATAAAAAGTGTAGCTAAAATGGATTTCGTAATCTTCTTATAATGGTTTTACAAATAAAAGAAAGCAGATGTGTTAAACATATTCTGTAAATAATGTCTCTTTCGTATTACAATAAGAAAATATTTATATTATATTTATTATATAGGCAAGGCAAAGAAAATTGTCATATATTAATACTTTGTATCAGATTGTCTGTAAGAGATTCCTTATGGCAGTATTTCATATACATACTGCTTTTTTTCTTTTTATATTCCTTCTTGTTGCATATTAGGGAGGTATTACATTGTTTTTAAATATCCGTAGGACGTAGACGGAGAGCGCACAACCCTAGCGCCGGAAGATACAGAAGCAGTGGATGCAGTCGCCAACTTGCTAGGGCTGGCACCGCCCACCGCGCAACGTGTATTGTTAGAACGACAGATAAACGTACGGGGAAATGTTACAGACATACCATTGCGGTTACCTGAGGTATGTGACATGATTTTCCTGCATATTTCTATTAGACAGAAATAGTCATATACAGTCATCTCATCATCATCATCGTATCAGTATCATCGTATTTATATATGTGTCTGGGTAATTGGTTGAATTATGAATATGTTGTTACAATAATAATAAATAATGGCCCTGAACAATTACCATACCGCCATCTAGTCTCACGGTAAGCAGAGCTTATGTTATGGGTACTAGACAACTGATATAAATACTTAGATTTTTTTTCAAATACATACATAATATATATAGAAAACACTGTGAATAGTGAATATAAATATTAGCACTGTGCGAGGAATCGAACATTTCGGAACATTTGAACATTTTTTATCAATCTTTCAATTAAAAGAAAACGGATCTTTATCAGTTTTCTTTTAATTGATCTTCTCTTTTGATTTTCTTTAATTTACACATTGTGTGCATGATATCGTGATCTCCTGTGTGCCACTTTACATCAGGTGGGCCGTCAGCTTGTTTATCACTCCGTTAGTTACGTAAAACGACGTTCGTCCATGGCCCCGTTAAACTTGCACCCGGGTCTTAAGTCCCGGGAACTTCACGGAGTTTCTCTCAGTGCCAGACGATGGACCCGACACTCGGACGGTGAATCCATGGAACGCTAAGAAGTTCCTCACATAACCTTTTTTTCTATACGACAGGCCCGAGAGAATCGTCACGCAATGGCACGAGCGCTATATTCCCGGACGTTTGCGTGGTTGGTCCGCCACGTCAACAGCTGTTCGGCTCCAGGCCGAGAGGCACCACGTGCACTTGGAGTCCTGGATATCTTCGGCTTCGAGAACTTCGCCTCCAACTCGCTCGAGCAGCTCTGTATTAACTACGCCAACGAGAAACTGCACATGTTTTTTAATAACTACGTATTCGCTTTGGAACAGGAAATTGTAAGTACAAACTGATTTGTTAACGATGATTTTTTTGTAGTTATATATGATTATTAATATTATTTTATTATATATTCCGTGCCTTAATTTTATTTTTTGATGCTTTATTTAAATATAACTAATAATAATAAAAAAAATATGATGATATACGTATACTATATTTATACTAAGTCATTTATTTTCAAAGATAATTGTATTAATAAAACAATAAATATTAAAAGTTTACTTTCTTTTATTCTGACAATTATTTCTTAGAGTACACAAAACAATTCAATTTTAAGTTTAAATTAAATAGTATAATGCAATTTATGCTAAAACTTAATATTTTCGAAGTAATAAGACTTGTTAATAATATAGTTGATCGGGTCTTAACCAGAATATTTTTACGGTAATTGTGGTATATTCCTATCTAAATTACAGTCATATTTCATCTAAAATGGCCACGTGTCTTTTTTGTTTTAGTACCGTCAAGAAGGCATAGTCTACAATCAAATCCCATTTACGGACAATGCTTCATGTTTAGAACTGTTAGAGAAACCTCCAAGAAGCTTACTCAAACTGCTTAGCGAACAGTGCCATATGCCAAAGGTAAGTTTTTATAATTAAAAATTAGAGACAACTGCAAATTATATGTCATAAATAAAGCATCAGGTCGAAAATATTATCTTATATATAAAATTCTCGTGTCACAATGTTGATCTTGTTGGATTGATCGATTTTTATGAAATTTTATATGATATTAGTAGGTCTGAGAGTCGGCTACTATCTATTTTTCAAATCCCTAAGTGGTATCCACCCTTAAATATATTTTTTTATTTTTTCGACATAATATTTTATTTTCATTTTATTATTATTTAGGATTGAATACATACAACCCTAAATTTTCACCCTTTTAGCATCAACCCCTATTTTGTAATAGCGATTTTAATTTATATGGCAAACGTTTGTCGGGACAGCTAGTCATATATAAAGATATCATCGTTACAACTCGACTTAGACCCAAAAGTTGTTTCTGTATAAATTTAATTTTCTTACTAATTCTACGATCATAATGACGAAAATCGACGGTGATGAGAATATCTAGAACAAATTAAATTAATCCTAGCAGAATTATATTAGTATGAATATATTTTTTTTAACTACTCTTGAAGGGTTAAAATGGGGTTGTAAAAATAATATTAATGCTGGCGAAGCTGTGTAATAGAGTAACATTTTCGTATTATAGGGTTCAGATGGCGCGTACCTAACCAACATCCAGGGAGAATTTGGCGAACACCAGAGTTTCGTGAAGGGTTCTCGCCGAAAGTGGGAAGAAGAGTTCGGCGTGCAACACTACGCCGGCGCGGTTACGTATAGCGTGCACGGATTCGTCGACAAAAACAGGGACACACAGCAGGACGCGTTCATCGACCATCTGAGTCGATCGGCCAACCCGTTTGTCAGGGAGTTGGCTGACTATGTACAGGAGCTGGCGCCGCCTGGACATGTAAGTAGTTAATTTTAATCCAGTCTTCTTTGATTACTACAACATGTAGCAGCATCGACCGTCTTAGTAAATCGGCTAACAAGTTTGTCAAGGAGTTGGATGATTTGTGTAGTGAAGGTAATGACGCCTATGTATGCGAGTTTTTATTAATTTTAAATATGTAGTTATATCTATATACTGTATGATAAAGCTACAAAGGCAAAAATTGTTTACTTAATTAAAAACAAACAAATTATATTATTCAGATTAAAAGAATGAACAATATTTTATGCACCATGTTTCAACAAATCCTACTTTGTGAAAGTTTCTAAATAAGTTTTAATATTTAGTACTCAATCATACTCAAATGTCTATTTTAATTTCGGGCAATATTGATTAACACATACATGATACTTTATATCCTAATTCTATTCCGTTGTACTTAGAACAATATATAATCGGGTATAATATTCAATTACATAATATTTATCACGTCCGTATAATGGTTACATTACTTTTTAGGACATGACATTATCAAGTCCAAATTCTACTGGCACCACACAACGAGGCACTTCTAAGGGGCGGCCAACAGTGGTTGATACGTTCAGAGCACAACTGCAATCGCTTGTTGATATGTTACAAGTCACTGATGTATGGTACGTATATTGAAGATGAAATCATTATTTTGGTTTAATATTTATGTATATGAAGACGGTAGAATAATCGTGGGTAGATACGTAAGCGCTAATATGTGGCTAGTTCACTTAAGCGTTCTGTGATTATAGTTCTATTCTTTTCGTACTTGTTTGTCTCCCTAACATCTCAGTCCTTTTTCGTAACCTCGCAACGATCATTATTTTCCGTGACAGATTGCCGTCATCAGTGCCGTGCCCACAGAGCCAATTTATATTTTCTCATTATTTCATATGTATATAAATCTATAAGATATTTATAATATGGACCATTAGTAGCTTGAAATAAATAAATAATAATAAATATCATTTTTCTTGCGTGGGATCAGAAAATCCCCTTTCTATGTAAATATAATAAGTTAATATAGTCTCCAAATCATTTTTAAAATAATAAGCCGGCAGCTAATTTAACATTTCAATTACATAAAAAAAACATTGTGTAGACTAACAAACTACTTTGGATAAACAATAAGTAAAATGTAAAATAAATTAAACAGGTACGTTCGCTGCATAAAGCCGAACGAGAACAAAGAGGCAGGGAAGTATAACGACCAGCTGGTGCTGGAACAGCTGCGATACCTGGGCATGAACGAGATAGTACGCATCCGCCGCGATGGGTACCCGATACATTTGCCGGCGCCGCAGTTCAGCGCGCGTTATCGCTGCCTGTTACCGCATCCGCGCCCGCAAAATCCCGATGCCACGTTAGTACATATACCTGTGTGTGATTTACTAATATACTACCATTGTACTGTTACAATGTAATGTTGTATGTGTAAGTCTTATTTAAAAATATTTCCGTAAGTTATAAAAGTCTATAAACTTCAATGATTTTTATTTTTGACTTCATTCAAAAGTGTTCATCTAATACGCCTTTAATCTGCTTGACAACATATTGTCAACTAATTAAATGAATACGAAAAAATTACTTGCTTCCCTCCAAGGTAAATAAGTTCTATAAGAAATTGTATACGAACTTTTTTTAATTCTCTGTACTTCTCTTAACTTCCATTACATACATTTAATTTCGGTTTTGTACTTATGAAAACAGTAAGTATATCTTATCGTTTATTTGTTCAAAGCACAGTACAAGTAAACAACTTGACATGATATAACAAATCTGTTTATTTATTATAAAGTCGGTTAGTAAAACTACTAAGTCACACTTATATTTTTTTATTTGTAGCACAGATTACAAATATATAATATAAAATAACGAATTATGTTTTAATTTATTCATTTCTCTTTCTTACAGAGCTATAACCGAAATAGTAAAAGCTCCTAAAGATGACTGGCAAATTGGACATACCAAAATATTTTTAAGAACATCAGTTCATGGGCCATTGGAGTCTAAGCGAACAGCATTGCTGCAGTCTTCAGCGTTGCTTATACAGAAAGTAAGTCATCAATCTTCATTAATCATATTTTTCATTTTCGATTGTTTTATATATTAAAAAATTAATATTAGGTTGCTGATAGCAGACAACCGTAGTTTATCATAAGTTTTGTCATAATTCTACCGAATTACTGTTTTGTGGAAAATTTAAATACAACAGAATAATTAAAAACTGTATAAAGAACTTTTACATAAAATTATTTTAGCATACGTCTAAACAAAAAGCGAAATCATGTAATCTGTGCAACGCCATCTAACATAAAAGAAGTGAATTCCGACATTCTATGCTCTCGTCACTTGTTTATTATTAAGAAAATATATTTTATTGGAGATTCTCAAAAATAAAGAACAAATTGCAAAAATGACATTATAACATTACTAAATTAGAGCATTAATATATATTTTAAAAACATAAGATAAACTGAATTTTCAGTCATTTTTCAAAACGTATAATGAAAAATTGTAATTGACATTCCATATAATTTTAAATTTCGAATTGCCCTCCTTAACGATCGAATCGCCTCGCTGTGGAGTGCGGAGACACTGATCTATATGATCGGAAGTTAACCTCGGTGTGCGGTCGTCGGTTCATCAGTGGTACAAGGGCACGTTGAGCCGGCGGCAGTACGTGCAGTGGCGGAGCGCGGCGGTGGTGCTGCAGGCGGCGTGGCGCGGCTGGAAGGAGCGCGCGGCCTTCCTGCGGCTGCGGCGCGCCGCGCTCACGCTGCAGCGACACCTGCGGGGCGCCTTCGCCAGGGAGGTCGCCGCCGCGCTGCGGGAGATGCGCCGCGTCAACCAGGAGATACGCCTGCGGGAGGAGAGGAACAGGTGCCTTGATACCGTCTATGTTGTTCACTCTTCTTTTATCACTTAATATTTCTCAAATAAAAAAGGAAAACACGTAGCAATGTTCGGGGCCAAACCAAAGTTTGCAATATCCAATAACCAACCCCTGCTATGCTTTGGTATACATACTACTGCTGCTTAGATTAAATTTCAAAATTTAATGTCATTAAATACTGTTACTCCGTTTGGACATTTTGATAAATTAATTAGGTATCTGTTATTGAACAGTATTGTGTAATTAGTAAAGCCAATGCTTTCCTAATTATGTAATATTTAGATCTTATATCTAACGAATATTTATTTCCCAGTCTCGCAGAAAAAGCGAATCAGGAACGAGCAGAATTGGAAACAATGGCAGACCAACTACGAGGTATATCGTGTGCCACAGCTAGAGCGGATTCCGTAAATCTGGATAACTTATTTGACTTCTTGGCCGATGTCCCGAGTCAACGTGGAGCACCTGATGGCCAACCTGACCATCACCAGCCCACAATTGCCGAAATCGGCGACTCTATGGAGCGACTTGCGGACGATCTGCATCAAGAGGTATGGTTCATAATATCTGTAAAATTTTGTGTCAATTTATTTACAATAGTATCAAAAATGTCTGTCATGAATGAAATTCCTGCGCAGACGGGCAACTCTTTTAAGAGTATTTTTATCTATAAAAAAATCTCTTAGCCATTTATATATATGTAATAGATTTAATATTTTCTCTAAGACACCTCGCCTTAATTAGGGTGATGTGTTTTAGAGTTAAATAATTAAATAATATTATTTTATATTAAATAATTCTATACTAGTGTTTTCTATACTACAAAGTACAATAAAGAATGCAATAAGAATTACTTTAAAAATTTTCATCCATGTATATACGAAATAATTAAAGATTTTGAATACTGCATTCAGAAGCATACTCTTGGAAATTCTGTGTGATAAGGATGTTATCAATAATGTACATTTAGCTTTAAAATTCCATTAGAATAAGGAACTGACAAATTTCGTTAAAAGTCGTACTGAGATTATATACTAAATATATCAGTTAAAACTACATAATATAGATCTCAATTTTCCTTGCATTATCAGTTGGAGCACGTCTTAGCCTCTGAAATGAACGAGCTGAGTAAATCGCACACAGAAGCGCAAAGGAAACCCGACGGAGCACCTTCCGAAGCAATCCCACCACCACCCCCGACATCTCTGCCGCTCCACACTATTATACAACCGTCGTTACCGATACCGCCGCCGATGACGTCATCAATCAATGGCATGACGTCATCAATGAACGGAAGCGCGTCGCCGATGTCGAACGGTGACTCGATGACGTCCTCGCTGATAATGCCGCCGCCGCCCCCGGAGCCATCGACAGAGCAATCACCAGAGTTCCCATCACCACCCGCGCCCTGCTTGCTACCGGAGCCAGCTCATCCGCCACCACCGCCGCCTGCTACCAAAGGTATTTACCATACTCATATTTATTTCGTTATGCACATAACATTAATTAGAACCTCCGATCGGTCCCCAATTCCAAGTCAACCGGGGTCGAAATTAATTAATCGTTTAAGTCAAGTCAAATATCTACAAAAGTACTTGACTGTTAATTCAATAAAATTTCTACAGATATCACTCCTCCTGAATTAACAAATGGTATCATACCGAACGGCAAATTAACGGTATTGAATGGCAAAGAGCCTATCTACGAGGCAGTGATACCGCGTATCGCCGAGCAGACCACTAAGGATATGTCTCCCCCACCGCCACCGCAGTTAATTTCGGACAATAACGGGTAAGACAATTTCAATATTGAACTGCTAATCTATTACATCATTATGATATACAGTCACTTAATCATTATACTAGTGGCCACTAATATTATATTAAATTGAATTGTATTGTGCGAAAACTCATAAAAATTATCGTTAAGTATAAATATAACATGTATACAAATATAACTATTTTTTTCTTATTGGATTATTTTTATGAGTATGGTTGTATCGGTCTGTTTTCTATGTATATTATGTATGTCTTTACAAAAAAAAAATTATTCAAAAAAATTTATCTACGTACTCTTACAATTGTCTAGTACCCATAACACAAGCTCCATTTAGCTTAGAGCTAGTTGGCGTTGTGTGATTATTTCTGTGATTTTATAGTATTATCTTCAAACCGGCCGTGCATCCAGGGGTATGCATATATTCTATTTTTGGTTTCTACCACAGAATATCAACTAAAGAAGCAGAGCCAGAACCAGAGCCGGACGCACCTTTACCCCCTCCCCCTGCGAGTGCACTGAGAAAAACTACCCCCACACCGCCGCCGCCCGTATCCATGGATACCTGTATCAGCCCACCACCGCTTCTCAACGGCGACTCCAACGTAAGTACATCTCACGTATAATAAATACAATAATCATTAGCATCTAATAAACAAAAAAGACTCAAATATTCAGTTTATTATTCTTGACTTTCATACATCATCAATGTAGCATATTATAGCTATAACCAAATAAACGGTAACCCACATGTGTTACCACAACAATTCTCAATAATTTGGCTATAAATAATTTAAAATTGTATTACTATACAAATAGAATACAGAACGCAATGCTCGTCGCAAAGAGCGCGTGGAGCGTCGTCTGCACCAGCTAGAGGTTTCGTCTCCGCCGGCGAGTGCAGTGCCGCCAATCACACCGCCACCGGATGCCACTAACGATCTCGCGGAGTTTGCCAAACTCTACTTTAATGATCACCCGAGATCGCCTGAAGGTAAGACACATCATGTATTTTATATTTATTTAATTCAGACTACAGTAAGGACATACATATGAAATAATAATAAAATTCTTGAGATTGCGTATACAAATACAATAATCAAAAGAATTTAGTTGCTGTTAATGTCAACCAAATTAAGTTAAGAATAAAAGAGATAGTACCACATGTTTCTCTCTCTCTCGCTCTCTGTATATCTCTCTTTTCATTTTTATGGAGTAATAATTCTGCTTCTGCTAATATTAATGATATAAGCTGCTATAATAATGATATAAGGTGGCAAATTATTAGTGAAGGATGAGGACGATTGCATACTCATCATGTATTCGCTATGGTTTCCAACCACATACACCATGATACCGTACATTACTCGGTGTAGTCTCCATTACTCCACCAATTCTGTTTTGTATCAGAGTTAATTAGATATGTTAGTGTTACAATATAAGTATTCAATTTTACAACAGGTACTATAATGGCAACACTCACACGCAAAAGCAAGTCGATGGAGGTACTGACCAAAGAGGAGATGATTACCTATCATAAAGGGAACAATATCCCCACCTCACACATACAGCTACATGATCCGGATAGCATCACTGCTGCGGTGAACATATTCCGGGTATGAATGTTACTAACATCTTATTTAAAACTAACTAAGCTCGCGGTTTCACTTGCGTGTAGTTTAGAGTGTTATTCTGATGTATAAGCTGTGTTATTGTAAAGTTTTATTAAAATCCATTTAGTAGTTTTGCGTATCAAAATTTTATCATTCATCTATCCAAAATTTAAAAAACCCGCGTTTGTAACGTTAATATGGTAATAACTATTTATTTGTCACTTGGTTATTTTTGTCTAGATCTATGTAATTGTTAAGATGAAAATATATATTTTAGTGAAATGTATAGGCCAAAATTTCATCCCAACGTACCAATGCATAATGACGACTGTATGGTTAAACTATGAGGTTCGCCGAGTATATAACAATGCAATAAGATGTATATATATATACTTGTAGTAGAAAATTATATATAGTATCAGTCCATAAGCACTACCATTTTAATCTAACATTATCTTACCTTTGTATTTCATCAATACGCAAATTACTTTTCTATTTACATTTATTCTCAACACTATTTTAACTGTTTAGTATACCACAATATTTTATTTTTATAGGATTTGTGTCGGTATATGCGCGGGGAACTGACTACCGAAAAAGAAACTCAAGTGATACAGTCTATAATAGGCAAAGGATTGGAACGCGAAGAATTGAGAGATGAAATTCTAGTTCAGTGCGTAAGACAGGTAAGCGACTTTATTCTACCGCTCAGCGCAGATAGATAATGAAGATGAGTATTAGATATATAAACCTAATTCATGACTAAAAAATATATTTGCCATTATATAAGGAAAGCCCGACAGTGAAATAATAGATTCCAAAAACAAGTATTTGACTGAACTATTTTAATGGACACATGAAAGAGGATATAGTTGTTTAATCATCTAGACCAGATATATTCCTATATTGAAAAAAAAACTACACATAATATAAACTCAGATTTTTACTCTTTTTCTTTGTTGCAGTCGAATAACTAACCGTTAATAACCACATTTTATCTAACTTTGTAGCTAACTATAAATTTGGTTAAATAAAGCTAACAGGTTTTTTCTTATATACTTGTGCAATAAAGTATATAAGAACATTAATAACTAAAGATGTTACATTAATAAATAAAGACAATTATAAAAAAATGTGAGCAAGGGCTTATCTCTGCAAAAGATCTCTTCCAGCCAATCTAACGCTGTGATAGTGGTAGTTAGCGGGCAACGATAGTGCTTAAGTTTTTGTAATAACAATATTCTTATGTTTACTAAGTATAGTTGTCAGCAAATGAGATGAATATAAAATGAATGTCAGATAACGGAGTGTCCGGTGGAGGAGTGGGCGGAGCGGTTGTGGCTGGTGCTGTGCCTGTGCGCGGTGGCGTGGCAGCCGAGCCGCGGGCTGGCGCGCTACTACTGCGCGTGGCTGCGCACGCACGCGCGCCTGCCCGCCGCCGAGCCCGCGCCCGGCGCCGCCACGCCGCCCGCGCGCGCCGCGCACTGCGCCCAGTGGTGCCTCGACAACTGCCGCGGGGCCGCGCCGCGCCTGCTGCCGCCCAGCACCGTCGAGATCGCGGTCAGTACACGCGTTATATAACATACTGCAGATCGGACGAAATAACGCTAGGGATTTATGAGCTACAGAATATGTATATGTATAATAATGACTTTGAATCTTTTTGTTGAAGATATAACCCAGCAAAAAGACTAAAAAAAGCGAATGTCGTGGATGAAAGATTTCTAGCGAGCTGAAATATGGGGACTTCGCCAAAGAATAGAGATCCTGACACGCCAACTACCATTAACTCCTCTGCTAATGGGGCCGGAACTGATGGCAGATAGCCAACTTAAAAAAAAAAAAAATGTATATATAAGTATGTATGTATATAGTAATGTATATAATTCAAACGGGGATCGAAATTACGACGACCTGAGTCGATATCCCAACCCCTAGCGGTACCACAAACTAAAGTCGTATCCATCAGGCAAGAGCTGCCTTCAGCCGCGCCATAAGTCCTTCCGCGGATTACCAAACTTACATAATATGTGAGTTATAAAGATACATGGTTATATGTATGTAGAGAATAAAAGTGAAGAAAAAGTTCCACTTTTCAAATTACGGCAATGCTCAAGTTTACATTATACTATATCTGTTACAACACTATAGGCGATGCGACGGCTGGGCACGATAGTGTGCCGGTTCTTCTTCCTGGACGGGCGCACGAAGGCGATCGACGTGCACCCGGCGGACACGGCGGCGGCGGCGGCGGCGCGGCTCGCCGACAAGCTGGGGCTGGGCGCGGCCGCACGCGCCGGGTGGGCCGTCTACCAGCAGCGAGCCTCGCGAGAGGAGCACGTGCGCGCCACGCACTATCTGTATGACGTCATCGCCGCCTGGGAGATGTACGTAGCTTCTCTATGTTTCGTAAAGTTTTCGCCCGTAAATTGCTGCCTTTACACGAGACGTTCTTTCATGCGCGTTCAGGAGCGCGTGGGAGCCAGCGCACACAATCGTGACTGATTGCATTTTACTATTTTATTCTGTTCACTTTTTCGCGCGCGATGGCGCCTATGTTTCATTTCACTTACTTTTAAAATTTTATTTTTTATCATTTAAGATTTATAAATTATAAAGCACGCAAAATTAAAGGACGCGGGAATACTCGAGATCGGGAAATACTCGGCTATTATCTCTTTGCGGGCAAGAATATTGTGGATTGATACTGATATGTTATGCCATAGTTTATTATGTATATTTCTGTTTTGATAGGCAACAAGGACCGGGCGGCGGGTCGGCTGACAATCGCTTTGTATTCAAGCGACGATTGTTCCGCGGCGGTCGTGAACTACCACATGATCCTGTTGAAGTCGCACTACTATACGCTCAAGCTGTACATAGCGTCGTCAAGGTAACTTTAGTAGTAAAAACTATTTAATGTTGCACATCTCAATCTTCATTGCCTTCATTGGCGCTGTCAGTTGATATTGAAGTAGCGTAATTCCTAAGCATCGTGCTCTGACGCAACACGCAGTCAATCACGCAGGTTGTTCTTCCTCAGGTAACGTTTTGTGAAGATTTCTCTTTCGAAATCAATTTAATGTTTGTTCTAATTACATGTATGTATTTATAGAATGAGTAGGACTCCCAAAATCACGTCATTCATTCCTTATTTACTAATTGTATTAGTGTATGTAGCCAGCTAATCATCTGACAAAACTCCACTAACTTGTGTAACCTTGCTTCCTTAAGTCATCTCTTAATGGTTTTGTTCTCTAGTCTCCTTTCGGTTCAATGACATCTAAATGTATTTATTTACCCCAGAATGATGCGAAGACTTTAGCGCATTCGAATTTTGTTAGATCATCCTTTCTGCGGGATGATGTAAGTTCGTGTAACTGAAGGTTTCGTTGATGGTATGTTCAGATGGACGAGTTCCCTGTGTCGGAGAAGGTGGCGCTGCAGCTGGCGGGGCTGCAGGCGCAGGTGTCGCTGGGCGAGCCGCCGCCGTCGCCGCCGCCGCCGCACACGCGCGCCTACTACGCGCAGCCCGACCAGTTCCTGCCGCAGCGCATCGCGCGCGCCCGCCCCGCACACCAGTGGGTACGTACTCTTGTCTCAATTATTACACATCTTTCTTCCATACCCGTAGCTGCCGCTCCGTATCTTTATCTATGTCTCTAATACTCCACGTGTCTGAATTATTACAGATATTTCTTCCTTACCCGTCCTTGCTGTTCCGTATCTCTTTATCCATTTCTCTCATGCTTCATGCCTCTTCAATGTGCTCTCTACCGATTTGTTTCTTCATGCCTCTCTCTACTTCTTTTTTCACTTTTTATCCCAAGAGGAATCTATTCAACGTTTGCAGACAATGAAATATTCATGTTATTAATAAACCAGTTTTTAACAAATGAATTAAAATGTATTTTGCAGGCCACAATCCTCGCTCAAGCCCACCGGCAATATGGAGCAGGTCGTGCCGAATTGACCGCTAAAGCGCTATACCTGTCTTGCGTTATGCAGTATCCACTATACGGAGTGACACTCTTCCCTGTCACTTATAAAGGATACTGGGCACATGGTAAGATGTAGTTTGTTTTTGTTATTATGTTCTATTTTGTTTTGCTTATTTCAATTCAGACTATATTAAGTTATTATATAAGTAACGTCTTAATACCGAAGAAATTTTAGATATACCAATTTTGCTGATTACATACTACAAAATAAAATCACTAAGTATGAATATTATTGCGGGGTAATAATACGATGTTGTTGGTAGAGACGATGTATATTACAGATAATCAACTGACAATGGTACTTAAAAATATTGGTCTTATATAATAAATGACAATAGAAAATGTAAGGTTGACACAGTTTAGACACGGCAGTGCAGTATTTAGGTGACTGTGTCCCATAAATATTAATCCATTAAACCTGATTAATGCCACGTCGTTCACCATGACCTTTAAAGCTTGAAAGACCACAGTTAAATGGACAAATATACACTATATTAAAGACACTTTATTTCCTATGCATCAGGTCCCAACGTTCTCCTAGGAGTGGGTTCAGAAGGTGTTGTACTGGTCCGACCAGCAGATAAAGTGGTACTAGCCGAGTACCCATATAATAACATCGCGGCGTTACTAATGGACCCGGTGGACAATGGTCTGACTATCAGTTTGACGCACCATGGACAGCACGATGGATTAAGGTGAATACAAATAATAATAATTTTATTTGCTTACAATTAATGCCGTTATACTTTCTTATAAAATAAAAAATCGAGTACAATTTAGAACTCAGAGGGGGCAGTGAGCCACCACCGTCTTTGATATTATATTTAGTCTTTATCACTAAATAAATAATTGCAATAAAAAGTTTTCAGCAATAGATGGAGTGATTCAAGAGGAAGAGTTATATGTATAATACATGCGTGTTATAGTATAGAACAAGCTGTGAAATTCAAAAACTAGTAATGCATCCTTGCGAAGCCATAATCTTGTATGGTGACAGCTGAACAAGTTATGTATTGGGCTGCAGGTGCATAGTGCTAGAGTCGGCTCAGAAGAACGAAGCGGCGTGGCTGATGGCCGCGTACAGTCCCACTCTAGGCAACGGGCTGGCTGAAGAACCTCCGCGACGGGCGGCTCCCGCGGCAGAACGATCGCGTCTCGCAGCCGCGCTGCGTGCCGCGCGGCGGGCGCTCGTTGACTGCGGATTGTTACGTCGTGCACCTGATCCTACTGCCGGCGGCTTCCTCCGCAACACACTGCGCAGGTATGTCGACTCTTTCATCTCCAGACTCATTAACACCCATACCAACTTGCATTCTTCCATGCCTGTATACAACAGGTTCCCTCCGCAACACGTTGTGTGGGGAACTCACACACCGCAAACAGCAGCAGCTAGAACTGCTGCAACACGCTGCGTAGGTACATGCACACTACCAACCTCGTACACAAACACCTATTCCAATGTGCACTCTTCCATCCCCGCACAAGCAAATCGAGGTAATAAAGCGCTGGAACACCGAGGGTATAATTAATAACTGATAATTATTTTCATAGGCTGAGCAAACATAGACTAGAGAGAGTCCGATTGGACATGACTGCCGAGACTCAGGGCGAGTGTTACAAGGGCTTCCCGGCCGGCTACTGGTGCTGGTCCCGCACGCTGCCGCACAGCCTCACCAAGCTCAACGAGGCTGAGGAGGTGGCCGCAATGCAAATATTCAAGGTATGGTATCTATAATTATATTCAAGACTAGTTGTATCTCGCGACGATATCCGCTTAAGTTATTGCCTGTGATTAACACGGACTTACTACTACGGGCTTATTACTATTACCACAGATAATATAATATTACATACAGATACCCCATCCCATACAAGAAAATGGTTCCTTCCTAACTCGGGCTATTCTTCGGGCTATTTTATTTCGCCGCCGTAGGCGCTAGATGTCGCTATATCTGAAGCAGTTCGGATTACTAGTGGGTGATTAGTAATAAAGCATGAAAATAGATGGCAGAGAATTCGGTCTACATGACATCTGTTTTGCAAAGATATGTACATAATAGATATATAACTGTATCGAACTCCAGATTGGGTACAATCGAAAATTCAATGTAGGTATAATATTGTTCGCTGACAGTCTACAGACACGGCTAATGTACCTATGTATCTATGTACTATGTTACAGTTACTTTTTTACATTAGGCATGTGTGTTTTTTCTCCCGACGAAGATATGTCGTAACGCGTCTGCACTAAAATCGGGCTATCGGTTAAGGAGCAATAGCTCCTTAACGAATAGCCCGATTTTAATACGGTTTTTTTTATTTAAATTGTTATGTGATAGTGATAGATTTTAGCTATAATCAATTGATGTGCATATGGGTACCTCATATAATTTTCAGTGTATAATTATTTCTCAATATGTAGTTAATTATGGTAAACTGGCAATTTGTAAAACTGAAAATAATATCTGCAAACCATCAATCTGTTATATGTAGGTTCTTTCAGGGATACTACATCGGTGCTAATGACATGTAGGTTATTTTGATGTTATACCTATTTGTAGAACCTTCGATATCTACAAACTACGCCTTTACTGCTAGTTTTTTGGTATTCATGTAAGTTGTTATTCAGTTGAAATTAAGCTGCGAAATTACAGGATATTTGGACATAACATCTATGTTCTCCGGAATGATAACGTATGCGGGATATAGCGGGCACGACATGATGACGTAATGCTGTTTAATAATATATGTGTATGTATGTACGTCGGATAGCGTCGTGGTTGGATGGATCGTCAGCTTATTTACCATTTCAGTTAATAATAGTAGGTAGTAACTTTTGACAATATGGATGAAGGAGGGTAACGGTGATGATGATGAGATCAATAATGACTGTTGACGATAGTGACGATCGTATTTATTTATGACCACCATAAAATTCATCATTGGCAGTATTCTCAACATTATCATCATTGTTCATCATGATGATTGAGATCAAGTTTATTAATTGATTAAAAAAGTAGCAAGTATTAGGTAGGTACTAAGTCCTTATATGACTTAAATACAAGGTTCTGGGATGCTCTGATATACTACAGTCTCTAGATTTTGTTTCTTATTAGTATTCCACGACCAAAGTCTATAGACAGAGAAATATAGATTTACACAAAGTTTTTTGATGTAACTGGGAATTATTATACATTGCATTAAAAAATATATATGATTACCATCTAATACAAAATCATTATGTAGTAAATAATTCCTGACATTTTAAATCGAATGAGGTGAAACTAACATTGCATGAACACAACACTTGAAGATCATAACATTTTTATTTCAGGTAATAAAACACTTTTTAATAATTTATTAATCACAGAATAAACAATTGTTAATAATTTACAATAATATTTCTTTCACTGCTTGTCTGTTATACCACTAAAACTTCAAACACTTCTGTTATTTTTATATTATATTCCAAATAAATCAATATCAAGACATAATATTTCATCAAAATCATTTCATAATTAATTCCTGGTACACAAAATATTCCTGGATTTGTTGATGAAGCAATATAATAATAATCATGAGCTTAAATCATAAACTTATTTGTAGTCGGTTACACATAATATAATTACTTGGAATTTCTTCTCATCACTAGTCCGTTGCTTTCTTACTTATTTAATTATATTATTAATTGCATTGTGATTAATAATTTACAGATTTTTCTTCTGCTTTTTTCTCTTATTTTTACTTGCATTATTATTTTATACAGTAAAATGTTCATATATATATATATATATTTCTTATTCTTTTGAACTCCTGTTCTTTACAGTAAAAATGTTATTTATCTTCATCTGAATGACTAGGAGATTTAGAATATCATCTCTTATTTGTTTAAACTTTGTTCAGTATTAAGTTGTTGTCAGGAAAATCTGAAAACAATATCATATACCATGTTACATTTTCATGAACTTACATGAATGAATTTACATGAAAGTAACTAAACTGTAACCTTATTAGCACAATAAACATATTATTCATACATCATATTCATTCAGTTCTAATAAAATATAAAAATAATACTACTGTTTAGTACTTTATTTTGATTAATAATTTTCAGTATTTTCTCAATCAATCAAAAATTATAAAATCAGTGTTAGTTTTTTGAAGTTACATTCATAACAATAATAAAAACATAATAATACCACATTAAAGCGGTCACCAAGTACCTATGTTTATTATATTTTAATATGAAAGATACACACGCATACATATGCAAGTTTTTAACAACTTATAGTTATACCTGGTATGAGATAATCCTCAAAGACACGATAGTTTACTAAATATTTGTAGTAGTCCTTAGACACATTTAAATTATTGAGTTTGACAAAAAAATAAGAAGTTCAATGAACTCTGAACAGGAACAATTCAAAAGTTGAAGTACCTACTTAACTTAAATGATGAAAAAGTCTTAAAAAATCCAATGCTAGTGAAAATATGTTTTAAGCATTTGACTTAAAGTCGTTTATCCTATTCTTTTATTCCTATATTTTATATTTTTAACATTTCATGTATGTTGCCAGTACTCGTTGTCATTTCGATATAATAAAAAAATATGGACCAACCTACGATTTAAAATCGATATTTTTATTTGTGATGAAATCTAATAATATAAATTATGAATAACCTACCCTCGAATGGAGATATTACCCGGTGGACAATGGTCTGACTATCAGTTTGACGCACCATGGGACGAAAACTAATTATCATGAATAGTAGGTACTAGGATCAGTAATATATCATAGTATTATGAATGATTATCGTTTCAAAACCTTGTACAATTTAGTAAGGTTGAAAATATCCTTCTACAAAAGCAAAATTCGAGTATTTGTAAAGTTTCTTATGAGTATTTTAAAAAATTCGAGGATCCTCATATTTAGCTATCAATGTCAGTAATTTAGATACCATATAACACTTGTTTATTGAGGTTTCATAAAGGTATAGCTGACCTTATATACTCTATACCACATTCAATTCTCATTCATTAAATTACAATAAGTAGGTATTTATTTTTTTTAATAGAAGAACTATGTCACTAATGTCATTAATTGCTATAATTACCAGGGTGACCGCGTGGAGGTTGATATAATAGAGTACACTTATATCAGATCAATCTAATTAATATTTCCCTCTTCAAGTTTCGAAGTTATGAGCGAACAGATAAATGTATAGTACTTGCATACCTGTCAAAATCTCTCTATTTTACCGTCGTCGAGTAAAAATTATGCATTGCAATTCGTTCCAAATAAGAGTATAATACAAAATGATGAAATTTTACTGTTTGCAAAGACTAATTAAAAGCACCATCGAATAATGCGTTGTAATATCCTATTATCGATTATTCGAAAAAATCGATAAATCTATGCATTTATTTTTAATATGGCAACACTTTCTAAATAAGTATTACTGGAATAATATGGTTTTCTTGTTTAGCTGTTTTATATTTACTTAAACTTTTTTTATGTTTAATTTATCATAATAATATAGTAAGTACTTATTATTTGAAAATATAAAATAAACTTTAAAATACGGTGATACAAATGAAAACAGCGCCATCTATGAAAGTATTTTGGAAACAATAAGCCCCAATTAGCAATGATTAAATTGTAAACAAATACAGGGCAACAACAAAATGAGTAAATATATGAAAATTACTTTTCAAAACGCATTATTTCATTTTAACATCTATATATGACTTTTTAAAAATAGATTAAACCTTTTTAAAAACATAGTTTTGGGTTTTAAACGATTACAAAACAATGTTGAATTCCATTCGATACCAATGACGCCATCTAAATCCGTTTTTCGAACTAAAAATGGCTACCATGCCATTGATCCCCACTGCTATTACTGTACTTTGTTAATGTGAATAAAAATCTTGTTGACAAGGATATTGTAGCTTGCTATACATAGGCTGTATTGCGATACGACTGATGTATTGAAATCATTTGATCCGCTATTTATAAATTACATATAGCTATAAATCTATACATAATACATATGTACCCATTAATCCTAGGATATAATGAGTCACGCGGGTCTGAACGTGAACGAGGGTAGTACTACCAATCTGGCGAACAACAACAGTATCAGCAGCCAGGAGAGTGAGAGCGACGACCGCGTTGCGCTCGCGCAGTCTTTACTGCAGCGCTGCCTGCAGAAGGACACGCTGCTGTGCGAGTTGTACGTGCAACTCATTAAACAGGTAATGTATCATAGTCTATGACTTCTAACCTCGAACAAATAGTACTATCGTTGCAGCTGGTCTTCAGATTCACCGGTTGACTCTAATAATTTTTCAAATATATAGAAGGGGGAAAATGTTGATCATTTGATACGGCGCGATCAATTTGTAAATTTTGTTGGGGATGAGGGGGAAGGGGAAGACCAAGACACAATCTACCAAGTAGATTAAGGAAATAGTAGGAGTGAACTTAACCAAAGAGAAAGATAAATGTTACTTATCGTCACTATAATAGAACGTTCTAAAGTAAGTGATAATTTAGTAAAATTGTCTTTCTGTAGAACGAATAGATGCCTATGGACGCCTGAAACACCAGGCGTGTTACCTGCATATTGCTTGCCCATTTTTGGGTAGTTGTATGTATTGTACATGTATTGTACGTGTGGTGTCCCAGACTACGGATCACCCGGAGCCGCAGTCGCTGGCGGCGTCGCGGCACTGGGCGCTGGTGTGCGCGGCGGTGGGCGCGGCGCTGCCGCCGGCCAAGCCGCTGCGCAGACTGCTGCTCGCGCACCTGCGGTACCGCCAGGCCGCGCTCCACCACCCCGAGGAGGGCAAGTTCGCGCGCCGCGCGGAGCAGGTACCTACCTACTCACTACTACACCAACATTCCAGACAGGCCACTCACCGATGTCCGGGGATCTTGGACTCTTTTATAACAGTTCACACTGTCGAGGCCCTGTGTACTTTGCACTATCTATACTTTTTATAAGAGTTCTCACTGTCCTTATGCGAACGCGACTGAAATTCAACCTATATGGTTTCAGTGACATACCTATATGTGAGACACTTCCATATTCTTATCTAAAAAGCTGAATGACTTGGGAGTGATTAACAAAAACTAGACTACCGCGAACATATAAGCGCAATAGTAACTAGAGGTATTAAACTTACAGGTTTTATAGTACGACAAAATAAATTTTTCAAATGCTCTGAAATAGCCATTCTGCTTTATAATAGTTTTGTACGGAGTATTCTTGAATATTGTAGCCCCGTTTGGAATCCTAAGTACCAGGTTCACAATATGAGATTAGAGAAAGTACAAAAAAGAATTCTTTACCATCTTGCTTTTTCGGATAATCAATGTAAACATCTTACCTCGTATAATTCTAGACTCAAATATTATGGAATTATATCCCTTTCAAGACGTCGGGAAACATCTGAATTGGTACTTTAATATAAAATCATACACGAGATAGTCGATTGCCCTGATATTCTAGAAAATATTGGTATATTAGTTCCACGATCATGTAGCAGACTGTTAGAAAAACTTTTAACCTAAGTGTAGAACTAACTAGCAAATACTCCCCGGTATATCGTGTGTGTTTTAATGTCAGACACATATTTGATATTTTCGGTGCATCAGTGTAATATTAAACGGACATTAAATTGTAATTCTCTTGACAGACCAGAAAGCTTTATAAAATAATTCTCTATTAATGCAAATTATTATTGTATAGTGTCATTTTGTGTGTGTAAAAATTAAGTTATGCATGCTGTGTCTACATCTAGAAGGATGTGTTACTTAAATAGTTTGTTTTATGTTTTGTATTTGTGTCGATCCGATTTGAACGAAAGAATATTCGGTCTATTTTAATAGAACTTACGGTTTAGTGGAATCTCGATTACAATACAATTATAATTCTTGTTTCAATCATTAAAACATCATTATCGATATAGTTTTACTACATTAATATTGTGTATATCAAGAAGTATATAATATTTTGACTTTATTAATGACGTTGTGACTGTCAGATCGCGCTGAGCATTGCGCAAGTGCCGCGGCGTCTAGCAGCGCCGTCGAAGGAGGAGCTGCTATGCGCTGCGGCGCGGCGTCCGCTGCACGTGCGCGTGCTGTTACTGGACGGCAAGCAGCACGGGCTCGTGTTCGGGCCCGCCGCCACCGCAGACTTGCTCGTCGGCATGTTGCGCGAGAAGATCGGACTCAGCGACGCGGCCACCGGTAAGTACGCACTACCAGACACGGATTGCAGTATAAACGTACACAATACACATTTATTTTTATAGTACAGGGGACAAACGAGCTTACGGCTCACCTGGAGGTAAGTGATTACTGTCGCCCTTTAGAAACCGCAACACAACACCTTCACGTACTTAAAAATGACACTAGGTATTTGCAATGTTCTTTTACATGCAAGTTCCCGTATATCCGTAGCACTGTTTGAACTGGCCTTTTTTACTTGGAGAAAATAGTAACGGAGACTCATGACCCACCTAAACCTAACGTGTACTCACGCCTAAACGCCTACTTATTAAAACGGAGCTACTATCCTGAAAATCAGTGGTTTGCTTATTTAAGCAAGTACATTATAGCAAATAATATTTTGTCTTTGTTATAAATTACTATGAGTATATTCGTGTAAGATAAAATCTATTAAGTTTACGAACGCGTATGATGACAATTCCGTAACGAGGTCTACGAGCGCTATCTACTGTATCTATTAAATAAACTCGTTTTAAACCTAGTAATTCCGTAATGATTTAGTTTACCAACATCTCAACTAACTTCTAAATTTACATCGTAAAAAATCGATCGAATCGATTAATACAAAGATCTTTAACCTTATTTCGATTATTCATTTATTAGTAGAATTATTCTGTATACTAACAGTTTTTTTCTAATGTTCATCAGGTTATGCTCTGTACGAAGTGTGCGCAAATTCCACACCTGCGGGTACCGGCGAGCGTGCACTCAGCGGATCCGAGCGCGTCGGCGACGTGCTCGCACGTTGGGAGAAAGCCGGCGCCACCGCCGCCGCCTGCAGGTACATGCTGAACACGTCAATTAATTTGATTATGATAATGCTGTCGTACATATATACATACATAAATTCGACAACAAGTCATGTGAAACCAGGCTTCCTTGTTAATACTTTAAAAAATTAAAACCATTTCATAGGTAAAATTAGAAACAAATTAAAAACATTTGACACTGACGTTAACTTTGTATACATAGATCACATTGAGTGCAATATAATCGACCAGGTTCATAATATGTATGACTCGCTCATACAAATTTCTATACAACTGCACTTATACAATATTTTTACATGGATACAGCTGCACGCAATTTCAGGCAAAACATGTTGACAGCATAGAAACTGCAATTCATAAGTTGACAGGTGTCTACAGGGTGTAATAAGTTAATTAGTGTTTTTATAATAAACCATTTCACCCCAGGCTCGTATTCAAGAAGCGTCTATTCCTTGGCGAGCGACCCCTACACACAGCGTGCGTCGCTGAAATGGAGCTATTATATTACCAAGTGCTGCACTCAGTACGACACGACCGGCTTCCTATTGAAACCGATGAGGCTGTAAGTATTTATCTCTATATATCATATATCTTACAATAAAAATTGGCTAGATATTTAATATGAAGTTTATTCGTCACAATTGAGCTGACTTTGGAATGTGTATATAGTTTTATTCTTGTATTTGTTTTAAGATTTTTTTATTTAATCTCAAAAGGTGATAAACACCCCGCCTGTACGCCTAATTGTCACCGTTTTACACCGCTCCACATCTATATAATGTCTAGAAATACCATTTTTTTCTGTCTTGTGCTCAATAAACCAAGTTAGTTAAATAATAAAGTAGTCAATATTATTACAAAAAAATATAAATTAATTATGCCGATGGTCGTAGGTCCGATTCCTCCCACGGTACATGACTGTGTATTTAAGAGTATGATTGTTTGTAGTGATTGGTCGTGGTGTATTCAATGTATATTATGTATGTATTTGGTAAATGTAGTCATAACTATATCTATTAGTTATCTAATACCTCATAATACAAGCTGTGCTTAGCTCGGGCCCGGTAGCGGACTAAGGATAATGCGGACCTCAGGCAACATGGCCTATTTTTCAGACATGACCCTTACTTTGCTTTTAGTATGTTTCTTATTTAATTACGGACCTATAATAATATTTTTTTTAAAGTCAGATAGTGAGTGTGGCCGCTTGTGCGTGTGCAGGTGATGCTGGCGGCGCTGCACGCGCAGGTGGTGAGCGGCGAGTGCCGCGGCGGCGGCGAGGAGTGCGCGGCGGCGGCGGGCGCGGTGCTGCCGGCGCGGCTGCGGCCCGCGCTGCCCGCGCCCGCCGTGCGGCTGCACCACCTCGCGCTGCGCGGCACCGCGCCGCACGCCGCCATGCAGCGCGCGCTCACCCTCGCAGCCTCCTGCCCGCTCACCAGGGCCACCATCTTCGACGTCATGGTACCGACCCACCGTCTTTATTTACTCACACTTACATCTCTCGCTCACGCATCTATTACGCCCGGTGCCGTTCGCCGCCTCCGCAGGGCCACCAAGATGGTGACGTCATAGTGCACTCTTACATTTCGCTATCGCATCTATTGCGTGAAGTGTTTATACACCTGTTGTGATGCGCCCCTGGTGCGCGCTCACGCTCGTCCACTGACTACCATATGTACTCACATGCCTCGCTAACGCATCATTTAGGGGGAAAGAAATTGTTAGTGATATGAACTAATGAACCCATTGTTCAGTCAGCCAGTTTGACCTCATGCGGTTCCCCCTGGTAAACATTGTGATAAATTCCGCCTGAATTTGCTAGGAGTGTCTAACTGACCTGACCTATTTAAAAAAAACGCATTTATTGCGCCAAGTGCATTATTTGCTATTTGTCTATTTGTGTGATGTTCACACAATTAAACAAATAGCAAATAGACTTCCGATAATTATTACCAAAATACAAATATTTGTAGGCGTTTATGAATATGTTGCATTTATTGCTTGTATTATTCAAGATATTTTCTAGTGTCCATAGTGCCTAGTAACCTTACTTCATTTATAACTTATTTAGTTGCAAATTAAGTAAGGTGTGTATTGTGGACATACATGTACATGCGCTGCTATTGTCCAAGATCGTTCTTGGTATTACCAATGTTTTCAATAAATACTGTATTTCAGCAATCGTTCACGTCGAACTGGCCACGCGCGCTGTGGTTAGCTGTGGACGCGCGTGGACTAACATTGCTGCGGCGTGGATCGCGTGCGGCGCTCGTGTCGCACGACCACGACCAGTTGCTGGCCGTGTCGCCCGCGCCACGTGCGTTGCTGCTCGTCACGCGCGCCGAGCGCAAGCACGCTAAGCTCGTGCTCTCTACCGATCAGGTGTGTATAATACTTACACGTGACGTACGACCAAATCTAAATGTTTAACTTCATCTTTATCGAAACATTCCGTATAACATGAGTCATGCTGATCGTTTTGCTTTATGGATTCCGAAACATTATCAAAGAGTAACGTGGATTGTTATTTACGAGAGCATCATGTCACGAGTCAGACTTTTTCACTATAATGTCCAGATAGGTGCTACAGTAAGGGGTAGGGTAAATGGTTTCTCTAAAATGATTGCTCAACTCACTAATTCTAATCATTATATGAATGTTATTTGGTAGTTTGTATCTAGCATAATCTTAATAATGTAAAGTTGTATAGAAGATCTACAGCTAAGTTTCTTTCTTATTCTTCTTTTCCTCTTGGTTTGACTATTGATTCAGAAGTGTTTATATTAAATATATTATAAAAATAATGTTCTATTCATCTCAGTGGGATACAACTGATTTGTAAATTATAAATGTGATTTGTGGAGCATTGCGAGACCGGTATGTACGGTCTTAATCATAATCGACGTATATAAGGTTGTGTCGTCCGACAGGCGTACCAGATAGCGACTCTGATCAAGGACTACATTGAGGCGGTGCGCGGGCCGGTGTCGCCGGCGGTGGCGCCGCCCGCGGACCCGTGCGGCGCGGCCGCCGGCGGAGCGCCCGCCTCGTGACACCCGGCCGCATAGTGCCAGTGCTTCCACGTCAGGCAGTGAGCGGACCGCGGGCTGCGGCCAGCGGATAGCGGGCTACGGACTACGCACAGGGGCCGACCGACATGTCTCACTCATCTTCACTGATTCCCTTGTACTAGATAAGTAATACCCCTTTTGGGCGGTATCAAATCGTATCAGTGTATACCGGCGATATTTGTGTCTACGAAAGCCTAATAAACCATAGCGATATATGGATATCAAATGGCATCACCTAATATCACTGTGACATTAATATATGTGCAGACGGTCTCTGAACGATATATTAAGGATATTAGATGATTTGTGTATCGCTCAGTATTAGTATTTCTGGTATTGGTCTGGTACGAAAATGTCGTAATTGTATACGATTTGATCCCCACGCCACGTATTTCATTGTACATGAAATCTTCGGGATACCGATATAATTATTAATCTGTTTTTGAATTGTCTCTCGTCAGCCGAAGCGTTTAGATGTGCCAAAGGCTCAATTTACTTTTATATTATATAAATAAACCATGAAAATTCAATTTAACATATTGTCAACGAGGGTACCAGTGAGTTAACGACTAAATAACTTCTAAAATTAGTTAATAAATATTGGATGTAGAACATGGAAGTTGTCTAGTCGAACGCAATACGGATTGTCGTGTCGGAAGTGTTATAATCGAGTCGGTGAAGTAAATGCCGATATAAAATATAAATCTCTGGTAAAGAATTTGCATATTTATGCTTGCATACAAACTAATTTGCTGTATTATTTTCTTAACAATTTGGATGCATATCAAAACATTTCGCATTTACTTCAACATGCAAACAGGTCAAGTTCAAGTGGTTTGGTTTCGAGTGTAAAGGATGGACGATTTTAGTTGCCAGAAGACGGGGAAGCAAAAATGATTACCTATATTAATAAGCTCAGCATTTTATCCCATTATACAAAATAGAAATTATATTCCAATTTTAATACCCATAAAATTATGTCAGTATTAATATAATTGTTAAAGTGTTGTAAGTAATAATGTTGCAGTTTAGTCTTGTTCAGCGTTAAGAATGTTGCTAGAGTTCAATAGAATTATAATGTTAATCAACCCTACTCCCCTCTAGGTTAACTGTAATAATCAACTATCTAGTTAGACAATTGAAAAAGTAGTCCATTTTGGAATACGAATACATTACTACACGTATGAGAAAGAATAAGACGGATACATGTGTCGGTATTTCTTACACGTGTGTACCTACTTTAGGACAGAAATTTACTTTTTTGCAACTTCTTTAAAGGCCCTATATTGCATCAACATTTTCATTGGTATCGTCACAAATGAACAAGTCATATCATTTGTAAAAAGTTTGTAATATAAATATTGATGCAATATAATAAACTAAGCTATTGATACTGGCAAATAACTTGAACACAGTTTTGATATCATGTTATCTTTACTTAGAAAATCTTACTACTGTATGATTTGGTATCATACTATAGTAATCCGCATACTTCTATTTTAATTAAATTTTGTTCAAGTTGATTGTCCTAAATTGTAATTCCAACTAAAACTTTGTACACATAAATTATATATTTGTATCATGCACAAACGTCCTAGTATTAAATATACTATTGACGCTTTACTTGTAATAAATATAATCCCTTGAATTATGACTTGTCCTAATTATAATAGTTTAATGTTATTATGTGTCTACATTTGCTCAATAGAAATCTTCCTATTTATATTACTTTTCGTGAACTTCCTATAATCTTGTTTTGTGCCTTGTAAACAGCTGTAATAATGATGCTGATTTAATATAATTGCCTCAGGATGTACCCTGTTATAGAAATTATGAGCACATTATATTCAGCACGTTGATATTCGTGCAAATTTATTATGACTGCAAAATAATTACTGATTGTTTCAAATGTATTTATAATTATATCTTCTATGATACATATTACATTATATTGCACAATGTTATGTCTCAATATTTTATAATATATAGTATATTTGATATTGTAAACTTAGTAGTAAATATAGCAATGCTAGTATAAAGCGCCAGTATTATCTGCTTGTCATCATCATGACACAATGCAGTTTAATCTTGCGCGAGCGCATATTACAGGTATGGATGTAATATGAAATAGTTCATAAGAATCACTCTCATGTGAGATATTATTACAATGGTTTAATTATGTATCTTTGGTTAATTCCTTCTAAAATATATTTTTATTTTAGACATTTTTGGTGCTTAGATATTATTCACTATTCGCTAAGCTTTTGTTTCTGATCTCATCAAGTATTATGTATTATTTATTTAGATGCCATATTTTGTTTAGTAGTTCAAGCAATATTCAATTAGGTTCTATTTATTTAGATTTTTTTATAAGGTGACTGTATATAATTGGTGAACCAAAGACTTATCATCCCTTTGGATAATTTTGTATTACTTTATTTTAGTTTACGACTTATTTAACTTTTGGAAATTTGTACATACATATATGAATGTAGTAAATAATATTGTAGGATACTCATTGACGTGAAAATCTTTTAAATATATTAGAGCTGAAATACTATTATAAATATATGCAAATTTGGCATTCTTCTTCCAATTATTCGTGAATTCTTCACATTTTTTGATATTTCATACAATTTTAATGTGTCGACAACAGACATTAATGAAGTAATTACCTCAGGCCACTATTGTGTCGAACTATACATGTAGACAATATTTTTTAGTGAATCGTTTCTTATAGTTATAAGATTAATGTATAGGTTAATAAATGTCAATCATGAATCGAAAGGTCATTATATGAACCACCCCAATATACTGCCCAAATAGACTGAAAATGTCCAAATATTTTATTTCTTTTTGATGCATTGTTTTTTTGTTACATTGTGTATCGATTTTTACCCTATAATTTGAATGCCAAATAAATAATAACAAATTAATGATAAATAAACGTGTTATTTATTTTACATTTCCTTTTGTACATTTATATTTACTTATTTCATAAATTATTAATATTATTACTGAGTAACTAATCCTAAGTAGTCGTCCATCAAAGTTCCAATCGCGAACTGAAAAAGAATTAAAAAATATTATTATCCAAGAATATTTATTTTATAAAATTATTTATTTCCCATAGGAACATATATTCTTATTTTTTCACACTTTATACAAGGTTGCCTACATGGGTACCTATATCACTTATTACAGCCGCCAAGCAGCCAGTTTTTTATAATGTGTTTCGATTATGGGACAAGACAACGCACAGTGGATGATCGGTATTCATCGAGATGATAAGGATGTTATTTTAATTTCTGGCGAGCAGTGCGATGGTGAATCGCACTGTGAAATTATCATCCAGATTCGTTTTTTTTATCTTTTAAGAATTATAGTCTTCATATAGCATTTTAATTTTCATTTTTGGAGGTGCTAAAAATTACGGTCCTACCTACATAAGTAACTAAAAATATTACAGGGGCGTAACCCGTATGCCAATACTACGCCTAATAACACACTTCGATCTGCGTACCAGTTTGCGCGCGGGTCAGTTATACTTTGTACTACTTAATTTCGTTTAAAAAGAAACAAATATTCAGCATGTAAGTCATGAATTTTGTAAGGAATATCATACTTTACTGCGTACGTTATATTTTCATTTTAAAACAATTAAAGAAGGTCATAAGTAAACAATTCAAACAAACGAATATCAAATCTGTTTCATGACACTATTAGATATATTCGGTTGACTACGTAGGCAATTTATTACATTTGTATGTGTTAAGAGAGTATGTGTGTGTGTTGGCTATAGTGGGTTTCTAAGTAATTTCTTATCACTATCTTTCTATCTACATTTGTATTCTGTGGTCCTAACTAATAACTATATCGAGTTATCTAATTCTCACTCCAGGACCAACTAACTCCCCCATATTTTGAATGTTATTGAAGAAAACGAATTATCTAGAATATAGAAATATTAATATCACACAAATACATTGTTTTCATTGTATGTTGGCGTTATGTGGTCTACAAATAAAAGCTATTTATGATTAATGTTGAGGAAAATACTTACAATTCCAGTGGCATCGACCCTAGTACCAACTATTTTTAACCTAATGACATCTTCTTCCTGGATAACATTATCTTCCTGTTTACTCTTATAGCACGGGGGATTTACGTTGGGGCAAAACTCCATATCGGCAGGTATTGACTGTAAATTTACTTACTATTTATACTCTTATCAACACAAAATAAGTGTGAGTGTAAGATATTTTTTATATATTACTTCTAATATTGCTGTCAACACTCGAGGCCCTTCCATTGGTATACCTCTCCAGATAAAATAGATTTAAGTTCAGTGTGAAGTCAAACCACGTCTCGACGCCGCGTCAAATGTACGCGTTAATAATAAGTCATGTAGCACAGGATTAAATAAACTTACTAATCTATACTCTATACATATAAATAAAATTGGAGTGTCTGTTTGTAATATTGAAATAACCGTTTTTTACTTTATTCATTTGAATATAAATACGGTACTTACACCAAAATAACATTTTTTACATTTTTTGTCTGTTGTCTCTGAAATGGCTGGACCGATTTTGACGGGACTTTTTTGGACAGGTAGCTGATTTAATGAGGAGTAACTTAGGCTTCTTTTATTTTGAACAAGATAAAGTTAAATTCAACGCAGACAAAGTCACGGGAACAGCTAGTATACAATAAATAGGACAATTACTCCACCTGTATATTCACTACCTACTAATTATGTAGCGACACATCACATCATATATAACGCTAGAGTGATGAGGTGATAACCACTGCACTACAATGGCAACATAATGGATTATCCATGTTATTGTTAAGTCCAAACTTGATAAAATTACATTGTTTTATTACAGAGCTGTTGGTCTCTCCATCAAATTGAACATTGTTACCATAATATTCATCTGCCACATATTGGTTGTGGAGTGATGTTACATAATACATAATCCTCAATAAATGGGATATTTTATACTAAAAGAATGTATTTAATTTGAAACAGTAGTTTCTGAGAAATATAGAAACAAAACCTTTAGTTTTATAATATTATTTTTTTATAATATTGATTCTGATTTTTATTTAGTTACTGGGAAGCAATATAAATTAGAACTACAATATTATTCTGAATGTTACTAGTGTTTACTGAATGTACTTTTACACTTTGTTTAAATATATCCTGCTTTTAAATGTTACTATCATATAAAATTTTCTCTAGTTGATGTCAGCCTGTATATTACACAGAAGTTACAACTATTTCTGACACATTCCAAAAATATACAGATAACTGTTTATTGGGGAATATTCATTTTACAAAACATAATATTACATTTAAACAAGGAAGTAGCTAAAATATTTAGATTTAGACATTATTATTGAAATTTCCTTGAAGTTACTATGACAAAAATTTCCTCTATACCACACTATCAATACACATACGGGACTACAACAGTAAAATAATCATCAAGAAGTTTCTACTTACATGATGTGAAATAAAACAACTCAGAGGTCCAATCTGAGCAAACATTCCCACCTAAAAACAAAATACCAAGTTATTAAAATCATTCACTAAGGTGATGTAAGGTCTCACCAATTTCAGCAGTCAAGCAGCTCACTTTCAAAGCTGTGTTTTGGTTGATGGGTGAGATAAGGCAATAAAATTACAGAATAAGAGGCATGACATCTTAGTCCTTGATAATGTAATGTACATAGTGCTGTAATGCAAAGCTACAAAGGTTTGGTGTAAGAAAGGGTAATGTGTAATGTGTGACCCCATTGCTAGAAATGTTCCATATCAGGTTGTCCTCCATGCGGTTCCCCCTGGAAACCATAATGATAAATTCGTAATAAATTTGCCACTATGGGCTATCTGACCTGACCTCATGTGCATCTCATCACTATCCACTGGTGCCCTGCATGTGGAAACCGTCAGCACAGTTTGGTGCACCAATTTATTTATATATTTAACTTTTATGTTCCAAACAATTTCAATTTTAAGCATATAGGTATGTCAAATTGAATTAATTTAGCTTCTTTGTGGTCCCATGTTGGTGAAAGCCTCCATCAACTTGCTCCATAATTTTCTTCTACTTGTACTTATTCAACTTTTCCTTACTATTTATTTTATGTCATGGGATCATCTATTTCTCTGTCTACCTACTCGCCTAGCCATTTTGTTAATTGGTAAATTCACTTTCTGTCTCTATACCTGGCTACGAGACCAGCTCATATGTACTATTATATCATTAAAAATAAGTGTAAACTGTTACTATAGATTACATAATTTAAAAAATAATTTTGGTGGACACAATTTACACTATGCTAATATCAAAATAAAAATAAAACATACCTTGTTTACTTGAGTCACAATAGCATCAAGCACTTCACCCTTAAATGGCCTGAATACTATTGCCTTATACTTGACGGGATACACCACAAACCCCTGTCCAGGTTGTATAAGCCCTGCACCAATACTATCTATTGTTGTTACTGCTATAACAAATCCATATCTGGAACATTTAAAACCAATTTAAGAACTTTAAGGTATATATATTTGTAGCAATTCATTAGGGTACATGAAAAATGTAATACATATTTCTCTCATACTAATTAATATGGCATACTTAGTTTTTAAAAAGTTATTTTGTAATATCATTAGATTTGATTTTATTATTAAACAAGATTGAGATAAGGAATGTCTGGTGTAATTATGCTTTCTGCCAACTACCACCCTGTATAACAATGTGCAACTAATAGAATTTCAGTGATAAATAATTACAATAATACAATGAAATATGTTTGTAAACAATTTTTATAACCTCAAACCAGTAACAGAAATGTACATTTTATTTACTTACTTGCCTGTACAAGTGCCCTCAACTTCAGTATACAGTTTTTGTTTCACAGTATCTAACAATTGTGGTCCAAAATATCGAGGGTGAAGAAGTATTTCATGTTCTAATGATATCTGTAAATGCATCCAGTGTAGTATTAGTTTATAAATGTTTATTCAAATCGGTTCAAATTAAAACCTGACTTACGTGATAGAACATTGTTATAGCTTGTAATTACAGTATATACTTCATAACATTCAGTGATAAATATAATTTTAATCGACATACAAACTATAATAAAAAGTTATTAAAATTGATAGCTCAAACAAAAATTTAAATTCAAAATAATGCCATGGTGAATTGATGATGTCAGTCATTGTCAGTCAGCAGCGTTCCATGTTTTACTACAGACAAACATTATATTAGAAACATGAAACACAGTGTAAGGAATATATATTTATCTTTAATACTTTAAAAAGTATTGGTATTTATTGCTTGTACAAATTTATTCAAACATGTGCAATTACTACTAAGGGAAATTTAAATTTAACTTTTATTTTTATTATATGTATTGTAAGCTTGATTTAAGGAACTTGACTAATCAGCCCAAATAATTTTTGGTGACATCACTATTACAAGTTTACAAGTGATGTGATTACTCACAAAAGTCAAAAATGCCAAATGAATGGCTTATGTATTCTTTAATCAGTTTGTTGTAAAAAATGGCAAAAACTTACGATTATTTATTTAAATTACTCCTTATAGGAGATTCCGGTGTGGGAAAAACATCTATATTATTTAGATTTTCAGAGGATGCTTTCAATATTTCTTTTATATCCACAATTGGTAAGTGCTTTTAATATTACCTATCAAAGGTTATTGTCTGGTAAATCATTTTACATACCATTTGTCATAGGATCAGTTTTTTTTAGTTTCCCATTTGTCTTTGTTTTTCTGATTGTGATACTTTTATATATAGTAAAGGGCGCGGCCGGAGGATAAATGAAGCCCTTATCGAATTATATGAATGTAGAACTTATGACATCATAGACACTAATTTGTAATTACTGGCGTTGAATTTTAGCAACTGATTATTATTCCAGGTATTGACTTTAAAATTCGGACAATAGACCTCGACGGAAAAAAAGTTAAATTACAAATATGGTAAGTGTTTTTGTTTTATAATAATTATATGGTTTCTACCATTATTAAAACTAGTACAATAGTTGAGTTCATGGGATTTAACCTTCGTAAATGTCTTGAAACAGTTTAATTTCATGTATTTATCCTACTTATTGTTACTATTTTTTATGTACAAGAAAAGATACATGTTGTATTTGGCTATTTTCTATTTTAGGGATACCGCAGGCCAAGAAAGGTTCCGTACAATAACAACAGCATATTACCGAGGTTCAATGGGTATCATGCTTGTGTATGATGTTACAAATGAGAAGAGTTTTGAAAATATAAAGAATTGGATAAGAAATATTGAAGAGAATGCTAGTGCTGATGTGGAGAAGATGATTCTTGGAAATAAGTGTGATTTAGATGCTAAAAGACAGGTGATTTATTACTATTATTTTCTTACTAATAAAAGAGTTATTTTGTGATATTATGTATAAGAAGGTTTTCTTTTAATGGATATAATTATGTTCTAAATTCTGCTACTATTTGATGAAAGTGAATCTAAAAGGACACAATATATCAATATAAATATAGATGAACATTAAAGCTATTATTTGTTATTTAATCACAGAACATTAAAATTCAAATTTCAGGTATCAAAAGAGAGAGGTGAACAATTAGCCATAGAATATCAGATTAAATTTGTAGAGACATCAGCAAAAGACTCTCTAAATGTTGAATATGCATTCTACACACTAGCAAGAGACATAAAGGCTAAAATGGAGAAGAAACAGGTAAGAATATTACAATACTCTATCATAGTATCAATCAATTATTAAGAAAATGATAATAAGTGTTAAGATATATTATCGGTTTAATAAGAATATACAGAAAAAACCTAAGATTCATTCCATATATATGGTATTTGGACTAAATCTTAGTTTTTTTTTCCTGAAAGAGTAAGAGTAGAGTTGCTTTCATTAGATCAAAAATTTCAATTGTGAGTGAGTTAGATACATGCAATTTATCTCAAGGTCTTATTCATAAATGTGACCTAAATTAAATAAGTAGCTATGTGATATATTATCAGTCTGATTACTATGAGTATTGTTACTGTTCTAATAGACTCAAAAATTAAAAAGAAGTACCTACCTATATGTACAATACCATAAGTGTAATATATTAAAAAAAATTATAAATAGAAAGTATTGTATTTCAATTGTAATATCTAGCCAAATTCTTTGTGTGATGAGGGCTGGAATGATTTGATAGTAATTTTCCTTTTTTAAATATGATATATTGGTTATTGTCTTGTGTTAGTCCCATATTCGCTTTGATTTCAAATTGTATGCCCTAGTCTTTATATATTTATTTCTACTAACATATTGGGTCAGTACTTGATATACTTTATATTATTTTAGAAATAATTATTGTTAATGTATATTTCACTAATCTAAATTTGTCTTGTTTCATGGCTCTCATGAAAACAGAAGGTAAATATTTATGTTTTTGCATTGATATTGGTGTTTATCTGAAAATATTCATTGTTTTTTCAAACAGACCCTTAAAATATACCTATATAATTAGTAACAACATTTATATCACTTTGAGGTATTTATTCCCACGTTGTTATCAGCTTTAAGCTTATGCATGTTAATCACACTTACTGATAAGATGACTAATAAATATCTGTTTTATTTATCCATGACAAGCTTCTTATGGCATTACAAAAGAGAGCGAGTACCACTACACAACAATTATGATATTCTGTAGGTTACAATATCTGTTGTTACTAATGCACTTGACATTTTGAGGGTCCCATCAAAAATGACTCATGCTTTCCAGCTAGTTTTATTAATTACAGTAGAGTTCATTGCCTTAATTACATTTCGTCTAATAGCTATTGAAAGAGGAATAAAATATTGGTACATTGCATGCATACAATATCCAAGTTTTTAATCTTGCTAATATTATAATTGTTTTTGATGAAGTTTAATTTTTATTTATTTATTCATTTATTTCAGGCAACTAGGCCCATATTATAAATACCTTATAGACTAACATACATACAATATAATATTTAAAAACTAATGTTTGTTACTCAAATCTTGAATGATTATAATAATATTTAAAGTTTGGTATACAGACAACCTATATATTTACAAGAGCTTAGATTAACCTAGAATGTTTTGTATTATTTAATTTTTTTAGGTATACTTTATACAAAGTTCCTGTTTGGTTTCTGTCTCGCAACAGTGAGATATACATAGTAGTGAAATTACAGGACACAGAACTTTGTTCTCTGGATTGGCAACACATGATGGGTACCACAGGCATTATAATGATGTAATGGTTGTTATTTATATATATACTTACTGTCATGATGGACTTCAGCATTTTGCCATTCTAGTTACAGTGATGTTTGTTACTGTTGATAGGGATATATATAGGCGAAGGTTAAATATAGACATACGATTAACCACTAAACATATTGATACATATAAAGAATATAGTGTCTTCTCAAAATATTGTATTCATGCAAACTAATCTGTTCACGACAACACAATATACCGCATATCTAATAGTAAATTGCAAAAATGGACTTTAAGATTTTATCTTGAAAGTCGAATTTTATTAATGAGCATGTACGTTCTATGCATTGATATACAGTGGGAGAGTCAATTGTAATTATGCATAATGTTTTAATGTACCTAATAGATTTATCGAGATTTTTTTTAAGCCAGAGTCAAACATACAGACATCAATTCTATAATCTCTATATTTGTATATCTAAAATATCGAACTTGAATTGCTGATATTTTAATTAAACTTTCTAAATTCTTGAATGTCTCGAAAAGAATTCAAACTGATAGGTTTTTTATATAAATAATTCTATATAATATTATTGGCAAATTAATACGCATAATTGTATTACTAAAATTCACGAACGATATTCATTCGTTTATTTATGTAGATTAGCAATTTGATTATTTACTTTAGATTTTAATATTAGATTAGCTAACGTATTTAGCTACATTTTCCGTGTTATATTTCCGCCATTAAAACCACTCTACCTACAGAATATAAAACAGGAAACCATAATACAGCACTACAACAGAATATTAAGTTATGGTTGATTTGTAGTTCATTCTCTATAAAATATATCAAAGGCTTTTTAAATATAACTGGACAAGCAAACATGTATATAACACAGTGTATACATGAAAATCTGCTAAAGCTGCTTGGACCTTACGCCATCATGTGACGTCGGTGCTCCTCATGCGTTGTCATTTCCGACTACGGTGTCATGTCAGATACATAATTTCAAAAAAAGCTGCTTTACATCTGAAATAAATGCAATACCAGAGATTTTGACTTGGTAAATCTGAAATTTATGTTAAAGATACTTCTTGTATTTTATTGTTGTGTACACTGTTGCTAACAATAGTCATCGAAACACATTAAAATCTATGAAATTGTGAGTATATATACCATTTGTTGTAATTACAAGGATTTTACGGTTCTAAATTACTTCTGTGAAATGGGCTATACATAACAGTAAAGCAGTAGATTTTAATGTGATGCAAATGACAATTGTTATCAATTGCAATACATAACTAAGCTCCCGTACATCTTGTTTTCTACATTTTGTCACTGTTCTTTTGAGATCTCTAGAATCTATTATGCTGTCTTTACAGTCCGTAAATAAATATAGGCATGGTTGAAGTATTTGTTTGGGATACAGGAGGCGAGTAATCCGCCGGCACGCAGTGGCGCCCATCAGATCAAGCCGAACGACCCGATGCGCAAGCCGACGTCCTGGCTATCGCGCTGCAGCCTGCTCTGACAGCATCCCGCTGCCCCCCCGCCCCGCGCCATCGCACTCGCTACTCAATAAAGTGGACAATTTTAACGTACCCACCTCAACTATATTTTTCGACCTATATTTTATAACTGGTGCGTAAATTCCACGCGGGAGGCGACTCGCTTTTTGTATTTTTATATCCGCGACATTACCTAATAATTTGTCATTTAGTTAATTTTAAACAGTATTCGTCATAAATAACTTGTACATTATATTTCTTTTTAAAATGACAATTATTTTGTAGAATAAATATTTCTTGGTGTTACATTTTCTTAAGTAATGGTTTCAATGGATATTATTTCAATAGATTATTTAGCTGTACTTTTTCAGTTCTATTTTAATTAAGATTTATATATATTTTAATGTAATATATTCTATTTAATTTGAATAAACTGTGCTTTTATACATATATTTTAGTTTGATATACAGTATTTATTATTATCATATCATAAGCATTATCATAAATTGCTTTGACATTGTATGCAAAATTTAAATATATCACAGTATACATTTATTTTTCGATCTACATGCTGAATCACTCACAATGTAGGCAGAGAAAACCAAATGCTATTTCTGTCCTTATATATAAATTCATCTTCTATTTTTATGACAATTAAAAACAAAATGACCACTTTTTATTTTAGTTAGATCTAACTAATAGAACTCAAATAATACTACAATAATTAAAATTTAACTTGTTTTATTTTCCAACATATTTAAATCAACATGAAACAAAAGTCTAGTATGCCACCATCACCAAATAATTACAGCTTACATAACACATTTGGTAATTCAACAAGCTAGAATTTATAACAACTGTACAGAGCAATTATATCAATAAAAAAATAAATGCTTTTATGCAGCTTGGACCTGTTTAGGAGTGGTCCTGAACGGCCGGAGGGCTAAATATTTCACCCCCAGTAAGGCACCTTTTGAAGTAGTAGCAAGTAATTGTAATAGTTTCCTTGCGGTTAGAGCAACAAGCTCTATACTAATTTGTGACCCTTTTCGCCAATATACAATATATAATGGAATTGGTGGAAGTTTGTCAGACCAAATACCATTGCGGTAGTTCTTAGCATGAGCCTCAGCCGACAGGATAGCTGGTGCCAACTGTGACTCTATGGTATTTTTCTTAATTGCTTGTGGAACAGATGCTGTGGCAAAACCCAGTTCTACCAATTTTTGTCCAATATCCAATGTTTCCACTGTTTTAGACTGTAAATTAAAAATAACTTTTGTAAATATTTTTTTTATAATTATTACAAACTAGATCTTTAGTGTAATGTTTCAGCCTTATTTGATATATGAATAGTCTTAATATATATGAATACCTTACATTAAAAGCTATGATGTGACATGCATACATGTGAATAATACAAGGGGTATTTGTGTTTGTCTATGACATCATAGTATTAATTAATTCTGTTTAAAAAGTGTTTTAATTGAATATGGAATTGATTATGAGGCAACATAATGCAGAATGAAACTCTTCATGTCTTCTTCAGGTCATTGTGAGTACCTTGGGCTGTGGTAAATGCAGGAGTACAGTAGATACTAGATCCTCTTTATCTCTTCCAATAGGCTTCAAAGTGATTTGTTGGCCTTTAGCTACACATTCAAGCCAGTTAACAGCATTTCCACTCACAATATCAACACCCCATAACTGAAATAATATGAAACATATTTCATTATTGATCTTAACAAGAGATCCGATTATTAATAGTTGAAAATTAAAAACAAACCTTGACTGGCAATGGAGGTTTACTGGAATGCCATAGTGGTAAGTACACTGGTGCTTTGTGGTCTATCAAGAGACGTACAGGAGAATGCTGCACACCACTGTATACTCCCCTCAACGGTTCATGCTGCCTTATGAAGTGTTCTGGTACTTTGGTGGCCTTCGAAAACTTGCTAACCTAATTACATATATTTCCATCAAAAATTATGTAATGACGATAATGATAAAAATAATCACTGAATATTTACCGGACGTATTTTATGTATAGATATAGCCAGTCCAGCAGTAGCAAGAGCATATACGGCTATCTGTAAAAAAAAACAATTGGAAGATAAACAACTACAACTCGTGATAACATTCAAAGTGTAGTATACGTACATTTACACCACGATAATCCTGTTCAAGCAAATTAGTTACATTATAAAAGATACCACCGTCTTTTTCAGACATTTTGTTATTTAACTTTGGACCAAAATAACATAATTCTCTATTTATTAGCTCATCAATATTTTCAGATTTTACCAGCTAAATCTGAAATTCTTTCACATACACAAAATTTGACGTACAGTTGAGTGATTATGACATATATTTTTTTATATTTAGTGATCATGGATACTATCAGTGAACAAATTACAATCGATATTATCTTTGAATTCTTACTAAATATATGCTAATAATTTTTTTTATTACAATGAAATAGGGTATAAAGGACACAAAGCAACATACAACTTTGAATACTATCACTTATCACCCGATTTTTGTTTTCATTATTAAGTAAGTATTTACTTGACATTGATATATGAATAACATGGTAGACAGTATGGTAACATTATCTTCCACGTCAACTCATTTTGACACAAATTTGTGTAATTTTGACTTTTCTTCAGTTGACGTCAGTTCTACTTCCTAACATATTTTCCAAATTTTTATTTTAAATATTTTGTAAATTATTATACAAAATGATTACTGTTCTTAATACAATTGATACGGGCCATGAAGATATGATACATGATGCTGAAATGGATTACTACGGATTAAGGCTTGCCACATGTTCTTCAGATAATTCTGTTAAAATTTACGACTTAAAAAATGGTACTCAAACTTTAGCGGCTGATTTGAAGGGGCATTTTGGACCAGTATGGCAAGTCGCCTGGGCTCATCCTAAGTTCGGGAACCTCCTAGCCTCCTGTTCTTACGACAGGAAAGTGATTATATGGAAGGAAGCCGGGGAATGGACGAAACTGTATGAATATACCGGACAAGAGAGTTCTGTGAACTCGGTGGCGTGGGCGCCGTCTGATTATGGATTGATTCTCGCCTGCTGCAGCTCCGACGGCACTATTTCGGTCATCACATATTCACAAGACAGTGGCAATTGGGATGTAAAGAAGATATCTGGCGCGCATGCTATTGGCGTGAACTCTATCAGTTGGTGTCCGGCTATATCTGCAGATATAAATCTCGACCCTCTTAGCAACAAAGATGCTCCCAAAAGAATAGTATCTGGTGGATGTGACAATTTAATTAAGGTAAGTACTATCTATATACAGCCATTTCAGAAATTAGCTGGAAAAATAGACCAACAGACACACAGACAACAATATTGGTGTATATACCATATTTATATTCATATCCATGTTACAAACAGACACTCCAATTTTATTTATATGTATAGGTAAAGCAACTTGTACAAAAGATATTGTCCTTATATAGAAATCCAGCGGTGTAGTATGATGTTGCTCTCAGTCTATTGTAGCATGGTGCAAGTGATATTTTCAGGCTTATTACAGTAAAATTGTGCTTATATACTTAAATCTATCTGAGTACTAATAGATTTTCTTATCTTAAATTAATTTATTAAAAATGGCGATTCTTACTAACTGTTCTGACCCTTATATCATTAGGTCAGTCTCAACACAGGTTTGTGGGCTCACTTTATATGAGGTATGTTCAGCTAAGGAAATGTGCACCAATTCACTGTTTGTCAACAGTCTTGAACTTGGTAGAAATTATTAAGATGAAAGAAAACTTGACAAATACTCCCCTACTTCTATTTGTTGAAAAAATCTAATGACCTTTATATTATATTTTTGTAAATAACTTAGTTATTATACTACTTTTTATCTATTTTTATTTGTAAAATTTTTTAATTGTATAAACAAATGTATTTACAGATATGGCGGGAACAAGGTGATCAATGGGTTGAAGAGAATCGTCTTGAAATGCACATGGATTGGGTTCGAGATGTGGCATGGGCACCATCACTTGGTCTCCAACGATCCATGATTGCCAGCTGTTCTCAGGACAAGAGAGTAGTAATCTGGTCTAGTGATGACAATATATCCTGGACCCCAACAATCCTCAACACATTTGATGATGTTGTGTGGAGTGTAAGCTGGTCTTTAACAGGCAATATCTTGGCAGTCTCAGGAGGAGATAACAAAGTGAGCCTTTGGAAGGAGGGTACTGATGGTCAATGGTTATGCATAAGTGAAGTTGCCAAAGGATTGGGACAGACTCCAAATGAAGAAAGAAGTACACTTTAAAACCATACTATTGTTTTTTGTCAATAATTTATGTAACTCCTTATCTTTCTTTTTTTGCCAATGTTAGACTATTTGGCAGTGGCACATGTTTTCTGCTACTGAATTTACTGAACTCCATGAATAACATTTGTATATTGTAACAAACTACTGTTGATTTAATAATATTGAGTATGATTCATAAAATTTTTAAAATGTAACAAATAGGTCAAATTTGTTCGACATTATAATAAAAATGTGAACAGTAAAAAGCAAAATAACAGTATAAAAATATATTTTCATGTACATTTAGAACTACTACTACAATACTTATCACATATTATTCAAATTAAATTTAATAAGTTCTAATAGAAGTGGCATTTTATAATATTCAGCTATTGTTTTGAATGTTGCAAGCTGTGAGTGGATCTCCTTTACAGGGACCATGAGGGTGAAGTCGCCAGCACAATCACATACCATTGAAAGGTTTTCACGTTTTACCTGAGAAATATATAAATATTTAATATTTTCATTAAAGAGCAGAAAACAAAAGAAACACGCATACAAGACGTCAACAAGATATAATTAACACAGTGTAGTAATAATATATAATAGGAATGGATAGACGAATTGTATTTTGTAATTTTTAAGCCCTTCAATAAAAAATATATTTAGTTTACAAAATCAGTCAACAATTTTATAGAATTGTCACATGATTTAAAATAATTATTGTAATTAATAAAGCATATAAAATAAAAAATAATTATTATTTTTGTTTTAAAGTACTTTAGAGGATTTTAATCACAAATGACATTACGTTTCCTATCTTTTGTCTATTATTCATTAACTTACAATACGAAGCATATTGTAAAAATTAAAATTAATAAAAATAACAAATAACTAATCCTATATAATATCCTAATTTTGTAGCGGTAGAAGTTTGTTTTTAGAAGTCTATAGTAAAGAGATATGTATAAGGATAAGAGTTTTAGTTCCTACTTCCAGGGACAAAATTTTAGTAACTAAAATTTATGACACAAACCTGGTGACATCTGGCACATTTGAGATCTTGTAGCGTGTAGGTCATTGCTCGCCTATTCATAATTTCTATGAGTCGCCATTCCAACTCTTGGTTGTCATAAGGCGTGTTACATGTTGGGCACACACAGACAGGTCTGAAACAGATGCAGATTTATTATTATCCTGAAAATTGTAAACAACCTAACAGCCCACTTGATTCAGTCACTGCAATTATTAAATATGCTTTTATAGTAAACATTGTAACATCAATGATTTCATTAAGAGCCGCGTCATGTCAGTTCAATACTCGTAAGAATTTTCCTAACTTTTCCCTTTAATATTTTGTAGGATTTTTTAATATCTTACTCTATCTTGCCAACTAATTCATCTTGTCTTGAAGGATGGACCTTTACAACGATAAAGATGGTATCAATTATGAAGAATGAGTCATTCTTAAATACTTATCACCATAAATTTGGTTTAGTAACGGTAGCTAACCGTTTTTTACTACTATAAGAATTATGGCCCCCTACAAGGGGGCCACATATGTATGTAGGTATCAAAAAGTGAGACAGCATGTACTAACACATCGTCAATCATATGGAGACCAGGGTCCCGGCAGAGGTCGAGGTCGCGGCATCGGTTGCAAACCTTGCAGATAACTTCGCCGACTACGCAGCTAGCGCATGGGTCCGTCCACTCAGCCGCGCTACTGAACTCGCCCACGCCAACTAACCTCAGCAGGTTGCGCCGTAACACCGTTAACTATGAGTATAGTAATACAAAATATCACCACACAAAATATAGTTTTATTATGGGTGATAATGGATAGATACAACCTACTCCTCTCATCTTCAAGCCAAGTGGTTCACTTGCGCTAACAGTAATCGCTGGCGGGGCACCAATGGAGAATGGAGGAGTAGGATGAGAATAAAATAAGGTCAGTTAGCCCATAGTGACGAATTGGGAATTAACTACGATGGTCTACAGGAATGGGTACATTAGTTTCCATTACTAATTATAAGCAACGTCGAGTATAAGACTTGACTTATACTCGAGTAGGTAATTGCAGGTATTGTCTGACTGAAACTAGGTTTTATACTAAATATAAACAGAATTTTGGGATAATTCTTTTGTTCTATTTTTTAGTTTTCTTTATAATATATACTATATTTGATAATAACAAATAATTGTTTACTAGATCAAAATGAGTCAAATGAATACTTGCAAATTCGCAAAGCGTTTCTAATAGGCACACAGGTTTTTGCAGCAACGTGTGTTCAGGGTTTCACTTTCACGGTATTAAAAACAACGTAAGACTAAGTACCTCGTCCTCGACGTGGGTATCGAGAGAGAAGACCTTGCAGATGGCATTAATGTAGAGTAGGGCGGGCGTAGCGCCGGGCGGCAGTGCAGCGGGCCGATGCCCCGGTCGCGCCGACATATCTGCCTCGCGTAGAGATGGGGTTCGACTCTTAATCTTCTCTGTCATCCTGGATTCATGCAATTACATGTCATTACGAATAATTTATAATCCTTAAGTCTTAGAGAAGGAATTGATTTCTAAATTGAAATTGAATATTTTTGACATGTCTCTGTCCAAACACTAATATTATAAATGGAAAAGTGTGTGTCTGTTTGTTTGATTTTTAGATAGATAGATAATGTTTTATTTGCATTATACAGTGATAGAAGATAGGTACAATTAACTAGTAAACTAAACATAAGTGTATATATACAACAAGGCGACTATATGGCTGTCGTTTAACTTAAACGGCTAAATGGAATGTAATTTTTGTCGTGAAGATAAATTGTAAAAGTTGAGACCCATAAGGCTTTCTCATCTTTTATCTAATAAAAGACAAAGTCATGGGTAGAAGGTAATAACTTATAAAATATAATATAAAAAATGGTGATTATTATGTTTTATCAATCGTTTGGTTTGAGTTAATTTGCTGTAAGCTACATGCTTACTTGAATTTAGCAATACAAATATACTAATAAAAACATTATATGCCATGATAATGATGGCAGACATAGGAATTTCTGCATGCATAATATTACATATGCTAGAAATAAGTATGTTTGATATATGTACTGGAACAATTTCTGCGAAATCTCGCCGCGTAGGAGAGAGCCCAACTGGTCGGGCTGACTGTAGGCAGCGCTAAGGAATCCCGCAACCGCCGCAGCGAACTGCTCCCGCACTGAATTCGGCAAGAAGTTCGCCAAATTCCATTGCATTGTTATTGAACATTCCTGCAATAATATTAATACCATATTCCTATCTAGTCTAGTCCCAAGTTAAGCTTGTGTTGGCAGTACTAGACTTCAGATAAAAAACATAGATTTTTTTTGTAAATACATATGTATTTACAAAAGAAATCTACACAATATACGTAGAAAACACCCACACCAGTACAAACAATCGACAAAACAAATAAATACAAATGTTTGTTCCGTGCGAAGAATCGAACCCGCGATTATCGGAAGTAAACCACTAAACCACCGATGCTGTCCTATTTATTTGTGCTTATACTACAATGTTGAAGACTGGATGAATGGGCATATCAAAAAAAAAATTATAATATGATCACATACTGAAAAATTATTTTAGGGTTGGAGGTAGCATCACGTTCTGAACAATACGATGAGCAACAATTTCAAATGTTGCAAAAACAATGTAATTCCTAATAATTTAGTGTGTAATCAGCATAATCATATTTCATAACAACATCAATAGTTTAGCAAAATAGAACTGATACCTACAATAATATAAAAAATGGGTCTAATTATTTGGCATTTTGTACTCACTGAATTATATATATAACTAGCTACCCGCCCCGACTTCGCACGGGTGTACAAGTATTATATATTTAAACCTTCCTCTAGAATCACACTATCTATTAAAAAAAAAACCGCTATAATCGTTGCGTAGTTTTAAAGATTTAAGCATACATAGGGACAGACAGCGACAGTGACTTTCTGTAATACTATGTAATGATATAATACATACTTCGTTTTCAGCGTCTTCTTCGGCGGGTGGAAGTTGCGATGACCCGACTTCGACTAATCCTTGTGGCAATTTACCCTGTCAATAAACAAATAGTATTAATAATTAATATTTTCTAATGTATGTGGCTGAACAATTTATATAAAGTTATTTATATTTATATAAATTATGAATATAATAAATCGGGTCTTAACTAATTGGATAAATTCTCACTGGATTCTTTCTCTTTCTGAACATAACAAGTAGAGGTGAGATTTTCGGTAAATAATGATATCGGCACAGTTAGAATCAGTTATTAAGTTCTTCAAAACAACGTTTAAAGTGCAATTTAACCATTCCATGATTTACTTTTTTATGATATTTCAAAATTCAAAATTTCGAAGCATTCTGGTTATAGTCTACGTGGAAAAGAGAAGGAAGCATTATGTTATCTCTAGCGCACCCTGTTGGTGTCATCGAGCCATTAAACTGCGAACGGTGAGTGCGGACACATTACACGGGTGACCAGTAGTAGAAAGCGTCGCATCGTCATAAATATTTAATGTGCATATTGTAATTTTTTTCAATCTATGTATATCATAATTTCTTTGTTTTTACTTATGCTTACCTGCACGCCAGCGTAGTTAGCCTCATCCAGCCATAGTAGATAGGCCCAGCACTGCTTGTACCGAATGTCGATTCCGTGGAAGAGCTCCTTATTCCTTATACTTTGTACCACAAACTCCACATAGCCTATAAATATAATAATAGACTGTATAGATATTTTAATGATTACAAAATAAAATCTTGGTATTATTTATTAAATTAGGTTATTGAACGTCTGAGTTGGATCACATACTAATCAACTCAACGAGTCAATAACTCAATCACCATTGAACATATTATTGTATTCAAAGATTAATATATTACAGATTTTGAATGTGGCCGTGGATTCTAATCAACCTAAGGCTTGAAACCAGAGCCTAAAGCGCCCATACCTGAGCAAATTTTGAAAAGTGAATATCTAACAATGTAAGTATGAACACTTATTATCGTTACTCAAAGGTTGAATAATTCTAATGCACCAATTTACAAAATGTGAAGAATAAATAATGAATGCTCACCTATACCGTCCAAAATGGAGTTCTTTTTCGTACATAGTATTATTTTGTTAAAGTCAGCATACACTATGACGGAACCAAGACGCTTGAACTCCGCCACCAGCATAAGGAACAGCTTCTTCATCAGGTTGTATAGTGTGCGCCGGAGAGCCGGGTCGTATAGTAGTGATGTGGGAGTTTTTAGCCAACTAGACATTTTTAAAAACAAATATTCTTTTATTTACAAATAACAAAACACTTAGTGAACATTCGTTTTCTTATGGTCCTTTAATATTAAATGTGAATGCGCTCAAACTACATCATATATTTTTTTTTATACTACTAATATAAGGAACATAATATTGCAACTAAAGTGGTCTATTCCTTTAAGAGCTACTATGGCTCAGACGTTAAAATTATAACACCCCTTTTTTTGTGTCGAGGGTAAAACACTAATGTAATGAAAAATAGATCATATAAAAATCTATTTACAGTGACTGTCGACTACTCAGTTGAGACATATCAATATCAGAACAAAATTAGAATTTTGTTGCTAATGTATTAGTATGTAATTAAATTACCGATAGAAATGCGATATCTGAAAATCAGCGAACACATTCTTGTACTGCGTGACGTCACGTAGCCACGAGGCAATCATAGTCCGTAATATCTTGAACGCCGCGCTACACTGCGCCGTCTCATCGTAGTTAACCGAAGCATTAGGACCTAGAAATTATTGTACTAATTAAGATTGTTTGTAACATTCAGTTTCCTTTAAGATACATTAACTATTGAATCCGCCTGCAGCGAGTAGTGTGCCTGCGGCAGCTAGTGTACAATGACCTTACCGATGTTGGCCATGACGTCCTGTATGGTGGCGTGTGAGGCCCCGAATGAGGTGGCGACGCTGGTGCCCTCCGCCTGCAGCACGTGGTGCGCCTGCAGCAGCGCACACACTCCCAGTGCGTCGCTCTCCAGCTCCACGCACACACCGCTGTATGCGCCGCTCGCGTTGTGCGTACACCCAGACAGCTCCTCCACTTCACTCACCAGTCTATAAGAATTAGTAACTGTTTATTCCAATTATTAGGCGCAATCACAAGATCGGTAGTATATGTATCCATCCAATTGACTTTGTGACAAGGTGTCGAACCGTATTCAATTTTGTGACGTCATATTTCAAAATCTATTATATATAGGTATTAAATAAAAGTAAAAAATAATGAAATTGTCTAATAATTAAACCTCTCTATTATATCCTTTAAATACCTGTTGTCGTCTGTTTCTCTTCCGCCGAGGTCGGGTCGCTCGAGGCTGGAGCACCAGAGTACGAAGTTATGCTTGAGCAGATGGCGCGCATAGAACAAGTCGGCGCCGAACAACGTCGGGTCAGCAGGCATATTACCGAGAGGCACGTGAAAGTACCTGTCCAAATACAATTGATTGAAACGCATACCTGATCACTTCTAGTATTTATAACACACACATCAAGTAGAAATCTGAGGAATATAATATTGCAACTGAAGTAACCAGTAAAACTTAATGATAGGCTTAATTAATTATAAAATTTCAATTTTGTATTCACGTTACTATACAAATATAAAAAACGCATGATAATTGCTCTATTCCTTTAAGAGCTACGATGGCACAGGTGTTAAACTTACAACACCCCTTTTTTATGTCGAGGGTAAAACAATAATATAATGAAAAATAGATAAATAGCTAAAGATGTTTTATATGAATGCTTTGTATATGAATACCTGCACTGTTCGATGGTGAGATCAAGCACGGCTTGTAGATTGAGGTAGTGCCGTACTATGGCCCGGGCGCCCAGCCGCTGCCACTCCAACGAACTGTACAGTGCCTCTGCGTCACGCACTTGAAGTGGCACCAGCGGAAACTCCGACAAACCTGCAGTGGAAGGCAATATTATTTTATTTGTATAATTATCTATTTTCTTTAATTCCAAGTCAGGCATTTTGTTATCTATTGCGATTTTATGGGGACAATATTCGATATATATAAACTATAGCTTAATTTTGATGTTAAATGGTATTTTCCAACAACAGAGGATAAATAAAAAATTTGAATAGCAGATTTTTAATTCAAACATATTAAGATTCAAACGTCTTAGATTTATGCACATAGGATTATGGTAAATAAGGACAATACATAACTAGTAATCGGCTCTTCAGTATGGATACAAGGATCTATGAGTAATTTTTGCAAAGTAATTCATAAATTTTGTACTGTGTCTGCATCACACTTACTTGACATACATAATTATATTTCGCCCACTTTTATATATCTTTTTAAATAATGGGCTTTGTGTTATTCTGAAGAATAGCTATATTATTGTGAAGTTTCAATAAAATCCGGTCACCTGTACAAGAGTAGCAAACATCTAGCCATCCAGACTCAGAAACATAAAGATATAATATTAGTAAGATTCGTAGTAATTGTCTGCAGCACCAAGAATGCTGGCCGGTAAATCAGCACCAATAGAGCGGGCACGTACCCGGCATGAGAGCGAGTAGCGCGGCCGCAGAGAGGTCGGCCTGCAGCGCCAGCAGCGTGGGCCCGCAGCGCTCGTCGCGGTACCGCTGCAGTGCGCGCTGGACGCCGCGGTACACCGCGCGACCCTCCGACTCTACCGACACCTCCCACGATAACTCCGCACCCGGTAGTGTACTTTCGACAGTTCCTAGGTTGATCCTGATTCATAAAGTAAAACTGTTTCATTTTAAATTCACCGTTACCCACGCCCAATCATAATAATTCACTCCTTATTTTAGTCCCTTCCAAATATTTTGTTAGGGATAATAGATATATCAAATTACATTAAGCAACACCAGTTCACGTGTATAACGGATAAGATACCCATTGCACTCAACCATATTAAAAAGTGCACATTGACCTCACCACCCAAGAACCACAAGTTTGAACTTTATAGCGAGAATGACTGTCTAAAGTTACTCCACTATGTCATTTAGAGGGAAGGTTGTAACAATCACAATAGTCAACTATTGTAATATTTAACACTATAGAGTCCTATGGTGGCTCTTGAGTTGCTATTCCTGATTAGAAATCACCACGCCATGACGTACCTCAGACGTCTAACGACGTGATGTATTTGGTGCATATTATTCACATATATATGTATATAAACAATAGTTATCACTTTACATGGAGTAAGTTGTAGGATTGTTTGCTCTTTCAGTTCCATTAATGTAATATTATGTTTATCTTTTAATAATATTTATATTATGTACTATATAAAAAAAATACATACTTGGCTGTGCGTTCTGTGGAATAAAGCGTGTTCATATTGGGCATTTGGTTGGTCTTTACAGTATCCAGCACGAAGATAAAACCTTTCTTGATAGGTGGCAACACCAGCGCCCACATGCTACGACTAGAGTTTATAGCTGAATGTTGGTACAGGTATATATGTTTTATCGGGGCCGCGCCATCCTACAAGAGAAATAAATATTCTAATATTCTGTAAATCTTTATGATTAATTTTAACACGCCATTCTCTAAACACATTCCTAAAACAAACCACACCTACACATTCTAATGTAATAAAAAAAAAAATTTAAACTCTAACAAAACTATAGTTCAAAATATAAGGTGACCTAAAAAAGTATTCAAAGTAGTGATTAACTTTTCATATCCTTCAATATGAAAAGTTAATCATGAGATATTTTACCTGTTTTTGCAAGTATGGTTGATGTGCCACACTCTTAAACTGAAGCTGGCTGAGAGTAAATGAATCCATATTAGTGGATCCAAATTGTATCAGCCTGAAATAGAAATATTTTCATGAAAACTACCGTACAAATAACATTTTTTTTATTATCAAAGTAAAGATTATGTTCATACTTCCTTGCTTCTGTTTGATCTACGGTACAAATGCAGCCAAGTTGCACCAACACTCTAAATTCCAGGCTCATTTGCGTTTCATATATTCCCTCGATTTCGGGTGTTGACAGTTCTCCCATTAATTCTCTGTAACACAATTATAACTCTTCAATTACACTTGTTGCTTCCAATAATAGTTATAAAAATGTGAGCAAGTTTGGGCTCATCATTAAAAGGTTTTCCAAACTGGAAACCTGACCTACTTTACCTTAATGCAGATATTAGATCTTAAAATATTATATATTGGGCATTTAGCATTCTTGTTTGGGGTGTCTCATGTACATATCAAAACATTATAATTTACGATACTATACCATTTATATCATTTACCATTTTTCACAATCAAATTAATGCTATAAAGAATTCATGTTTAATTTCCATCAATTTGTCTAATTATAAAAATATTTAGTTTACATTTTTTATAAGTGCGACGTAATAACTAAAATTAAACTAACTTACTCCTGATGTTCCCTGTAGAGTTGTTCGGGCACAGAATACTGGTAGAGATGTAGTACGGGATGCGCGCGCGGTAGGATGCGGTTACAGCGGCGCCAGTGCGGGCCGCAGTCGGTAGTGCGAGCCACACGCTGGTTCACGTAGAAGATACGCGGTACAGTCAGCTTGATCTGGTGCAGCTCGGTGCCCACTAGCGCCCACAGTCGAAACAGACCTGGCTCAGCTGTTTCCGCCACCTTATATTAGGTACACGACATTTAAAATAAAGCACAGGCAAAATGGGGAAACACAGGCGAAGTTTATGCCACACATTAATGTAATTAAGATTACCTGATTTAGATGTTTAAAAATTAAAATATAACATACATAGGCTGAAGAATGACAATACATTATATACTACTTTATATCCATATATCGTATATAAGAAGCATGTAAGCAGAATATACATATAAAAAATAATCGAAGATGGAAGCACGTAAACTGTGTATGCTGTGGAGAACATAACACTTGACTTGCGTACATTTCACTCGGTATATTTAAATCTAACTTGGTAAGGGGAACCAACCGCCGTTTCTTTGATTATTTTTTGGATATCAGTGTTACCGGAGAGTCGGTCAAAAACTGTTAATAACTAGTTATAAATTAATGAATAAACCGAAATCTGTTTAACCTGTATTATCTGCCAAGCCGTATTCAAAAGGGTCCGTTGCGCCCTTCTGATGAATCCTCCCAGTGTAGTGGCCGGGCCACTCTTAGCCGGTACTACAGGACCATCGTCTATTTTACCTGTGGAACAAATAAAAAAAAAATTGTTTTGAAATAAGTCTTGAGCTCTTTAACAAATAAAAATCAATATCAAACAACGCCATCTGAAAACTAATAATGCCTAAATATATACGATTTTGTGACTATTTAACACTGTAACAGACATAAAAAAACTAATATATACCTCGTTTATTCCGATTCCTTAGACCACGCTGTTCCATCTGCCACATCCATTTCCTCTTTTGAAACAGTATCCATTGTTTGCGTTCTCCCTGTAATTAAATCTCAATTTATCTATTCTTACCTAATAATGTTTGGTCATAACATTAGATTTTCTTATTACAAGTGGTATGTAAAACAACCGCATATAAAAGTTAGTATAGTATCCGTTTGAAAAGCAAGATTACTTTGTACAAATTACTCTCTGTCTGTAATAGATTTATCACATGAATAAAAATTTATCTTTCGGTCTGCTACTGTTATCTTAGCGCTCAATTGTTCAAAATCCAGAGTTACGATTTTAAATATTGTAACATTCTATGGTCGTTGTTGTCAAATTGTTTGCTACAACTATACCTTAGTAGTGCCGAAAGGTGGTGGCGATCCTAGCGCCTCTTTCCATGTAGAGGGCGGCGGTGGAGACTCTGCACGTTTCCTCTTCACTGTGTGTACAACGGGCCTTATCTCGTTGCGCTCTGTGTTTTCTTTCCCTATATCTTCTATATCGATTTCTGTGACCTACAAAATTACATATCATATATTCAATATTAGTATATATTGTTATTGAAATAAGTTATAAATTACAATTAGAAATATGTGGTAGACAGATAAATAGCTAATAAATTACCATCGATTGTTCTGTCTCATTACTACCAGTAGCGTCATCTTCACCAAACTGCTTCAACTCCTTTGGTTTCGCTGTGAACATATCTGTTATCTTTCTGGTTTTGTACTTGTCAGTCTTGGCGAGCATTTTCTTGTGTAGCCAGTCTGGATATTGTACCCGGGGGACAGGGTTGTCCAACTAGTAAGAAATGTCATATTTGTAACATTAAAGTAGTAGGTAAGTATTAAAAGAAATATACAGTAAGATATATAAGTAATATTATTACTTATATATACTTTCTAATCAAGTTAAGCGAGTACTTCGGCTTATCAATATGCCCACTTAGAACAACTATTTACAATACATAGTATAAAAAAAGTCGCTGTCGCTGTCTGTCTATCCCTATGAATTTCAATATTTAAAACTACGCAACGGATCGCAAATCGGTTTTTAAATAAATAGAGTGATTAAAGAGGAAGATTTATATATATAATACATGTACACCAGTGCGAAGCAGGGGTGGGTAGCTAGTTTAAAATAAAACAAACAAAAACCTCACATTTCAACCGAAAAGGAGTTTACACAGCAAGCTGTTTGGGAGTGGATATACAGGTAGAGATGACACAGAGGTTGAATTTAAAATCCAACCTCTGTCTCACCTCTACCTAGAATTCAAAATTTAAATTTCTTTATATACTACATAGGGTTACTACATCTTCTCTGGCTTGGTTTCATCTTATTGTGTGGAACATGTATATGTAACTTATAAAGACCTGACAATATTACAGAGATAGTATCATAGTATTTTTGTATACAGCGGACTCAAACTCAAATTTCGATAACGCAAAGTGCTCTTACTATTGAAATTTATCTGATCAGGTATAATTTGTATATTAATAAATAGATATTCATATTCACCCCCTGCATGGCGGCCGGTATGGTAATGATCTTTTGTATGGCACCACTGAGTCGCTCGATGTAATAGGACCAGTCGAGTACGTCGCGAATGTCCACGTCCTCGCTAATACTTGTATCTTTGAGCCAGCGACGCAAGTGGTGTCGCTTCACGCTGGCCGGCGACTGGAAGATGGCCAGCGGAATCGCGCGCTCAGTCACGGGCGCGCCTTCCGGTTTGCGGGATATTATAAATCTGAATTGTCAATTAGAAACGAGATTTTTTATATATTGTGAAAATTGGTGACTTGCTTTTGTTCGGTGATCTAACGGCTCAGCACACCGCTTCACTTCTACGGGTCGTGTGTTCGATTCCTCGCATAAGTATAATTGTTTGTACTGGTCTGGATGTTTTGTATGTTATAAATGTATTTACAAAAAAAATATCTAAGTATTTATATCAGTTGTCTAGTAGATACTCATAACACAAGATCTGCTTACCGTGGTACTTACATTATAACGCCTGCGATACCCCACTTGTGTCGTTATTAGGGAGGCCGTTTTATTATATGTAGCCTGTAATTTAACTTCCATATCTGACGCTACGAATCACAGCTTACAAAGTAAGCTGTTTAGTAGCAGAACTGAATGTTATATTTTATTTGTATCAATGAATTTGAACAGTCTCATTCTGGTATATTTTTATGAAGGAATTTTTTTAGTATAATTCATAATGAAATACAAATCTATTTGTACTATAATATACATTCAATTTGTGTTAATAAAAAAAATAAATTTATACATACTTGCACGCTAACCCGGCGTCTTTCACCATCTGATCACCTAAAAACTCAGCAAGCCTCTTTGCAGTTGATATGGAAGTTGACTTCTGTCCACCATAGTCTTCCAGTTTCTTAGACATTGATCTATTTTCAGATATAAGTTCAAACAGCTCTGAATCTGGCATATTGGACCCTTTACTATACAACACGTCGAGCCAGTAATCGGCTACCTTAGCCACTGCACCATAACAGGACTTCAGGTCATTCCCTTTAAGGAACGCTTCAAATACGGATGATTGGAAAATTTTTATAAGTTGCAGTTCGCCACGGCGTTTCACTTCAAACCCTTTAAAAAATAAACAAATAGTGTAAGACAAAACAATATATTAAAGAATTGTATGAATAAATGCTATATCGCATAAATATATTGTGCTTGTAAAATCCGCAGACATTAGAAGAGTCAAAACTCAATGTGGTATGACGTATCAGCAATAAAACAAAGACTTCAGTAAGGAAAGTTTGATATATCGTAAGCTCTTCTGCATTAAAACTGTTTGCATGAAACACAGGTGTTTTATTATAGAGCTTTAAAAACATGTCTATACTTATTAAGTCTTAAATTTAAACATACCTTTTAATTCAGCCAACGATCCATCGAAATTGAACACAGCATATCTTTTCTTGAGCTTCTTCCCTTCCTCCTTAGACGCTGGTAATACCATAGCGAGATAGGGTCCATCGACTTCAAAGAATATAGAGTTCTCGGAGCGTTGTTCATATTTCTTAGTCTCGGGATCAGTCAGTTCGAAATATTGGTCATTCGTGAAGTAGTCCTAAAAAAATATTTACTAGATAGCATACACAAGGCTTTTGTTTATGAGGATATAATGCTTTTAGATCATTTTATGTGAACGAATGTAATATAAGAAGTGTGGTAAGGAGAGTAGGTACTCTCATAATATTAGTAGATTAAATTGGGTAACGAAATTATGTTACTTGTGAAATGGAAAGAAGAGTATGGTTTATAAATATGATGATAGACGAATTAAATAGCGAAATGGTATATTAGACCAGAAATGATCCTATACATATAGTGATAAATATTCAGATTACACTAGAAATATGTTTATAAATAAAATAAATAGACACTTTTTGAATTACCTTAACCATAGCGTTGAGTACCGCATTAGGAAATGATACATTAATCTTTTTCTTTTTGGCATGGGTAGTGTGGACGGTCACGTTCTCCGGAAATGATGACGGGAGCACGCACCAAATACCTACCAACATTGGTATAAATTATAGTAAATGTGTTGAAGAATATTTATTTTTAATTTGCTACGATACTACTCGTAAATTACTTATGTTTAAACATTCGTGTTTAGTACATATTATTAATATAATCATGATCTAGATGAAACGTTGCTAGTCGAGAGTAAAATACCTTCATTTACCATAAAACTATACTCGTAAATTGTCAATCAAATTGCTGAGCAATATTGTATAAATCACGCCATTTGACATTACCATATTATAGAGCATTACCGTCAGTATCCAACTCCAGCGGCCTGCCGACTTGTTCGATGATCTCCCGAGCACGCATTATAATATTAGCGCCCGTGTAGCAAACGATGCCCGCCATTTCCATACTATGCCAGCGAGCTCTAAGATATATAAAATCAATATGCTGAATTACAGTTGTACTGAATTTTTAACATAATAAAACGTACCATCACTACTATCATGCACTGTCGATGATATCGTGATGAATGCAGCACTTGGCATGCTCACATTTCGCAAAAGTACAAGTAAAGCGGTATCTGGGATTTTGTTTTGGTATTGGTGTTTTCATCATCTAAATGTCAGTTAGAAAATTCACTAATTGCCGCACAACGCTTTTTAGGTGTAGGTCATATTTCAATATTCAACTTTAAGACTACTATATGACGCATTGAGCGCAACACGCAATTTTCTTTAAGTAAGTTAAGTATGACTATTCAAAAATTTATTTAAATAAAGATTACTTCTATTTCTGTACTCTACAGTTCGTCACAAAGTTATAATAAATAATATTTGGACTTCTGCCTCATTTTCTGTTTATATATAATATGTACCTTGGTATTTACTCACCCTCTCCTCATGACGTAGCCGTAGAAAGAGTTAAGGATGCACTTGTGCGCAAGTTGCAACGAATCGTACAGAACCTCTCTGCTTTTAGCGAGTTTGATTTCGGCCGCATCGCCGCTTGCTACAGCTTCATTTACCTTCGCCTTAGCCTGCTTGTTCAGCGCTTTGTACTCATAGCGGCGATCCCTAGATTATGATAATAAAATAAATATATCATCAGTTTGTTATAAAACCCACCCAATACAAGAAGAACTACCTATGAATACAGATGAGAATTTTTGTTGGATGTTATGTATAGACTAAATTAATAGAAGTCGAGTTCATTTTCAGGAACATACTTCTCGTTTATTTATGTATTAGCAAACTGACTTGATGGAAAAGTTAAGTAGTGCTGCTTATGTACTACCTATGTACATAAGCAACACCACAGATTTCATAAAATACTTTAGTTGTGTCTGGAGATTCAGTATTATAAGTAACCTATAATTTTATTGCTATATTCCATCCTTAAATAGAAATATAGTTTGTAAAGGAAGCTACTTGCAGAAGATTTAAGAGAACACAGAGTAAAACAAGTGAGAGGCAAAATTTACTAAACGTGTAGGGGTCACCCATAAATGTGTCACATCTGGCCACATATGATTAGTTTTATGTATTAAGCTCTTCTGGTGATGTATAGCTATACCTAAAAGCACGAACAGTGTCCACATAGAACGAGTTTTCCTTCTGACAAATAGTTGTGGCGCGCACTTCCGTTCTGGTTACTTTCGTCTTTTTGTACGCCACTTTACAATAATCAGCCAAACGTTTCTTTTCGTAGGCTGCCTGCATTCACAAAAAAGTATACATTTAATTATTATGTGGTAAAAATGTTCGAAAACCGCACATTGTCCATTTTTAAGCACGAAACTGAAAAAACATTATTATGAGTACCTAAAATAATAAATTAAATATACCTATATAAAGTTGTAAATCACGCTCGTATCATTTAGACTAGAAAAGGCAATGTATGATTCGTGTTGTCTATTTTTTTTTCTAAAAAGTATATTTTATAGGGATTTAATTTAAGTACTAAGTTTGGAAACATGGTGTTATAGGTACAATTATAACATCTAATGAAAACAATGAACACCTAATTAGGTGTAATCTAAAAAAAGAAAAACTCACTACTCTCGCTACACTCGGTTACTAATACAAAATGTTTGTAATACACAGTGTTTGAACTTGTAGCGTTGCAGCTATTGAAAAGTTAAGACCATACGAAACGACACCACCAAATTAAGATAATATTCATAACACCTTAATTGAACATATTTAAGTAGAACAATATGTATTCAATACTTTCGAATTTATCAGTCGAATTTTTCAATGTAATATGTTTTTAAAATACAAACAAAATTTATTCTCATGATCCTTTACGATAATTCGTACCTGATCTTCTTTGGGTAAGGCGTGGAAAGCCCTTTGAGGTCCTCCAGGATGAAGTGGCGGGAATTTCTCAGTCTCCAGCTGTTGCTGTATACGCTGATATTCGCTGCGCGATGCTGGTACTGGGAATGTTTAGTAGATATCATCATTGATGCCAATAAGGATCAGGATAAACAATACAGAGAATAAACCAAACAAACCTGTCATATCATCTGATTTTTTTTTAAATAGATGCTAATTAAATTAATATTCAGCCTGCGATAATGGTATACAAAATTGATAAATTAGTGGATACGATGTGATCAGGTAATTTAGCATGTAATAGGCAGCTAATCTGGAATAAACAATGGTTTCAGGGGGAGAAGTGTGGAAGTATAGCGGAAGCCCTTCCATTTGTCGTCCGATTGGCGTATTGGCTGCTAAGCACCGCACTTTTGGAAATGCGAAAAAGGAACGGCATAATAGGTATAGTTTGTCCGGACTAATGGAAATAGTAGTCCGTAGATATAGAGATATAGACAAAGATAGATAATAGTCTAAACGGGATTTACATTTCTCACTTAGACAAGATAACTGTGTATTCCAAAGTCAATCAGTATTCAGAAGAAAAGTATTGACGCGTCATTAATCGTTGATAATAATAATAATCTCAGGACAATTCACACAGCGCCATCTAGACCCAAGTTAAGCTCGCTAATGCTTGTGTTATGGGTACTAGATAACTTGTACGAATACATAGATATTTTTTTCATAAATACATGCATATTATATATTCAGAACATCCAGACCCATACAAACAATTATACTCATGAATACAAATGTTTGTGGCGTGCGAGGAATCGAACCCACGACCATCAGAAGGAAGACGGTGTGTTAAACCGCTAGACCACCTATTTGGCTAGTTAGGACTTTAAAATATGACTTACGGTAATCTCCACGCCACATCCATTCCATGGATCGCTGGCAGGTGGCGCCGGGCCGGTTGTAGTCACACACTGCGCACGTACTGGCCGTCACCATCGCCGACGGCTGCAGCCTGACCAACGTGTACAAAGTCTTACATTAATATAATATTACTAATATATGTAATGTGAAAGTTTCTGATGCCTTGTACATATTAGAGGCATATCCAATCTAATTTACTAAAATAAATTTGTATAAAGAACTGCGGTGCGAGGCATTGAACTCGCGACCATCAAAAGCAAACTGGGCATGCAAAACTGCTAAACCGCCGAGGCCGTCAAGTACTACTACTACTAGTAGTACTAGCAACCAGCAATAATTTCAGTAGTGGGTAAATGGGTATGGGTAGCACTCTACCTGTTAGTCAATATAATATTGGGATACATAGCACCAACATCCAAATGATAAATCAATGGATTCTCGTCCCTCCGAGGATGGTCGTGCATATGTTGTAATTTCTCTTTAATTTCTGCGCACACCTCTTCAAAATTTGTGACCAATTCTAACGGGATACCTTCCTCCACTTCAATGGCATGTTTCATTGTTTTCTCCGTGTTATCCATTAACTTCTGGATACCAGATGGCACTATTTTGAATTTGCATTTTATGTCTGCACGGAATACACCTAAAAGTATAATTTTAAATATTAAAACAGTATAATTAAATTTTAAATATTAAATCTTGCGCTTATATTTTATTAAGAAGTAAGCCTAATTGATATTGCTTTAGTCATTTCATTGAAGGGTAAATATAAATATTTACAGTCAATACTGTAAATATTATTTCTTGCAATTATCATAGACCCGCCTCTGTTAACTGACTTTCTATTGAAGCAGCTGACAACGTTATAATTATTTAAATTGAACATCATATTGCTCTCTTTAAGCCAATGTTCTGTGAAACAGACAATATCAATATTATACTTTTCTAAAAATAATTGTATAATTAATGCAGAAAACTTTGTATGTTCTGATGAACAATTATTAATTCTGATTGCTTTCCCTTTGTCTTTGTGAGCAGTTTAAATCTGCAGTCATAGTATTTATGTCACAAATATTAATAGAATTATTTGTTATGTCAGTATTTTTATGTTTAAGTTTACCATGTAAACTGTTCATGTAGTCAATATTATAAGCCACTAAAGTGGCTATTTTATTTTTAGATGATTTAGAGAGATACATTGTATCTTTTGTCAAATAAAAATCACTAATAAAACTATTAGTATCAAAAAATGTAAAAATGTCACTATGACGACATGTCAACATATGTAATAAGTTATTCAGGTAATGTACCTTACTGTTAATTTTTTTATGAAGATGTCTATTTGTGTAAGGAAAAGCGCACAATACAATCTTATACACATTTAATTGTAATAAATATTCAATTCCTTTAATTACATCCTGCCTATTTAATTGAATACTATTACCAAAAAATAACACAATTGTGGTCATATTGTTCATTTTTATAGATTTAATTTTATTTATTATTTGTGTAAATGATGCTTCTGGCATACAGTAGTTTAATAAATCACCCTTAAGATGATACTTCAAAATAGATCCAAAGTTACAGCCTATTCTGTCAGAGAACACCATTGTGCTACTCTTAGGGTTACAGTCACTGGCACAAACACCCTGAACTTCATTTTCCAGCACAGTTATAACTGAATTATTATTTGATATATTTGTGTGATTACATGTACAATGCTTAGTCAACGACTCAAAACGGTCAGCATTGTATTTACTGACATCAATCAGATCATCCATTGCTAAAATATGCTCCTGGATTTGTTTCTGAGAGATAATATACTTTGTATTTAAATCATGAAGTGAAGATTCTAAACTATTGATTTTTGAAGTTAGGTAGTCTGTATCAATGTCATATAACTTTTGGCTTTCCAATAACTTATTCTTATCATGCAATTTTAAATTATTTAAAGTATTTCTTTTCAATAACTGACCCTTTTTACAACGCTTATTTAATATATTCCGAGTCCTAATAATAAACTTTTTTAGTTTTAAATATTTTTTTAATTTATTATGACTCAACATACAAATGTTATTGTTATAGTTGCCTAATTTAGGAGATGTATCACTAGTATGGTCAATCACAACAGGATGAGTGTATGGAACTGTAGTCGAAGGAGGCACACAGTCAACACTAATAAGTTCCTCATATAAATTACTAATCTCATTACTTCGCTGAGATTCCAATCTTGTGTCTAGATCATTAATTTTAGAATAGGCCTGCTTTAACTCAAGCTCCAATTCAGTGATACGCCTCAAGGCTTGCTCATGGGTGTCACTACACTGATGAAAGCTACTTATTAGTTCTTGAAGCTGATCCCGCTGCTCAATAACTTCCTGATGACTATTATGAAGTTCTGACAGTTCAGATTTTAATAGTGTATTTTTATTTATAATTTTTAAAATTTCATCTTCACTCTCTTCTCTCTCCCTGATCAACTTGTCACTAAGATCTTTGGATGCCTGAAGTTCTTGTAGGGCTACTTTAAGCTTCATCTCTGTCTGCCGTGCAGTTGTGGAACGGGTAGATAGTGACATTATTGAATATATGAATAGTTACTAGGGAGAGTGAAGTGAGTTATTTCTAAAAGAAACAAAGTATCACAACGAGAACAGCAACTGAACCTTACTTATTTTAAGTCTTAAAATTTTTAATTATTTCTGTTAGATATATTATATACAACCTATATTTTATAAGATTAAGTAAATGGAATTAGATTGTGCTCCTTTCCTTCAAATTATATTAATACAAAACATAAAATTACTTACAATATATTTTGTGGGTATTTTTTTTCCTTCGACGTACGCAACAACTGAACTTCACAATTATTAATATTAATTTAACTTGATATGAATATTTTGTATAAAACTTGTATATATTATGAAATTCTTTGAATAACTCCAACAAATAGTTATAGAATAGTTTTAAATATTTAGTTGTTTACCAACGAAAGAAGTTTGACAGATGGCCGGTACACTATTTTTTAATGTCGATTTTTGCAAATAATACACCTCCAATTTGTACACAAACAATAATCGACACTTATTGCACTATTAAATCACTAATAATGATATCGGAACTATAATATTCGTGTGATAAACTATTAAAAATTATTTATTTATTACGGCCAGCTGATAAAGACAACTGTCGTTGGTGTTGCCAGTCAAAGAAAAAAAAAAAAAAAAGATATGACTAGCAGCTAAATATTTCTGAATGATACGCACGCACAATAGCCAAATGAGAGGCTATATGCAGAAAACAGAGTCGAACATACAATACGACCAAACAACGTATTTTAGATCAAATAAACATCCATTTCCAATCTTAAAAACGTAATATGCATTCTCAAACTTTCATTGCAAGTTTCCTTTATTTTAACAGGCACAAGTATGCTGAGACAATACATTCTAATAAATTTCAATATCGCACATCGGGTTTAAATAAATCATACTGTAATAGTAACACACCAGACTCAAGTGCCTCCACATGACCACCAACGTACGTCTCCGTTTCGAGCACGTGTCCATCATTGGTCAGCTTATTTAGCTCCTCCACTTGTTTGTTAGGGAATACAATGTTGGCGTGGAACGCCTCCACCATCAGCAGTGACTCGCAGAGAGTGCCGGAGCCTTTCCGGAGCACCTACAATCATTATCAGGTTACACTTAGACTTATAGGTACGGAACAGCATATAAAGTCTAAATATAAAGCATATAAATTAACATTTTTGTGACTAAACTTCGTTCCTTTTTTATTATTTCTTTCTTAACTGAAGTAACTAGTAAACTGGACAGTAAGGATAGTGATAAAAAAATATGACGTGCATAAGAGCAATATTTGAAACGTACTTAAGATTTGGATAGATTTATTATTAATATATGTAATAGACTGATCAAATAGTATTCCACTGAATTCAGATTGACCCAGATGATTGAGGCGACTCCGTGTAGTGACTGTCTGTCTGCCTGCAGTGAGTGTCATAAACTTCAGTTTCTGTTAGTGACAAATATTTAATTAAACTGGCTACATACCTCATCAGGTTCCAATGGAATGATTGTACAGAGCGCAAATATGAATGGATGAACATATTTCATGTACAAGTAATATGTTGCTACGGCATCTGACACTGAATAATTTGAAAGTACCTGAAAATATATTTCTTGCCATTAAAGAATTCATAATAAACTAAAAATAGTAATACATGACTATTCAGTATTTATTTATTAACTACCTGTGGCTGTTCTGCCGCCATCCTGCACATATCTTCCGGATCTAACTCTACAGGGTCATATCTCAATTTTGCTTTGGCAACTGCTTTCAAACCTTGAGACCCAACTGGTAGATATGAATCTCTTTTCACCCAACTTAAACAATATCATGTTATACTTGTCAATATATTTATTTATTGTAATTCTATAATATCTAATATGACTAATATAATGATGATATTAATTAAATTATATATTATAGAATCTTTATATCAATACATGAAGCAAAAACAGAGGAATATGAAATTTTGCATACTTATAGTTTATATTAAAAATACATTAAATCCATAAAAAATCATTACATACAATACCATTTACTTGACACAGACGCCTAAAAGTTTTATCTAAAGAATAATATAATTAATTAATTAAGGTTCTATTGTTTTAATAATTAATATTCAAACTTATAAGTTTATGAATTATAGGTAAATTCTATCCATTCTGCATAGCATGTTGATGATTTTAATCAAATTAGATATTGTAGAATTATTTTAATATATTAATAACCAAATTCAGAGGAAGAGAAATATTATAAAAATATTACCATAAGCAATCCATATGCATAGCTGGACGACAGGCATAGGTATTATCTCTAGCTGCTATCTTACTAAAACCTATTTCTTGTTTCATGTCTAGTCCTAAAATAGCCGCGCGCGCCTCTACGAAAGGCCAATCGAAAAAATCGCCTGAAATTAATATATTTGACATTTTAAACCAAAGTTTTGTTCTTGTACTACATATATACACATATACATCCATCAATCTCTCTACTTCCAACATTTTACTAGTGAAGTTTCAAAGTGTGTATTACCGTACATATAAGTTACATATTATATATAATTACCTTATATAAATACAAATATATGTGGTTTAACATCCATGATGTGATCAAAAAATTTCTGTATCAGTGCCAGTTCATTTGGTTCATTGAATATAATGAATTGTCTGCAAAAAAAAACTTATTTAAAGTATATTGTTTGGAACAATTTTAGGTACACACAACATAAATAATCATCATCAATGCTACCCATTTTAAGTACGCTAACATGATGGCACGTAGTAACCGTCGCTTAACAGCACCACAGATATCTCATCATGTAAATATAAATTGGACTCTATTCCCCGCATTTACACTTTCATCTGGGACAATGTGCGTGTAGAGCCGAAAGTACTCAAGTACCCGGCCAAGGTCTTCTCAGTAGCCTCCTGGGAAATCTTGTGATACCTCTGATACCACATTCCATAGGACTAATAAGTCTTCACAGGAAATATTTAAATTATAATTTTGTCCTCATAAATTGTACCATTTTAAAAGCAATAACTATTTACTACTTACCCTTCAAATTCTGGCTTTGGTGTATACTCAAAGTCCTCAACATCTACCGATATGATTTCTCTATTGGTAATCAAATAACCCTGTGCATCAATCATGTATGATATCATCATGATCTGATCAGTTTGAGAGTCAGGGAACTTTAAAGGAAGCTTTGTTGTCTCTATATCGAAAGCCAATACTATTGGATCAGGCCTCTCAATGATGTCATCCCTTTTAGTGAATATAGGTGTCTCTGTTCCTCTACCTTTCACTGTGTACCATGTACCACAGAAGATTTTCATATCAATTGATACTCTAACATGGTAAGGGACATCATGCTCTCTATAAGGACAATTAATACTAATTAATTTGAATTACACATTACAACATTTTGTGAAGTACATTAGCATTGTATTGTAAATATATATATGTATGCAATGCCCTATAATAAACTATTTGTAATAAAGGAAGCAGTAACTGATCAAAAAATAATCAGCAACATTTGAATCTTATTTTGACTTACAAAATACATTAATATAAATGTTTAAAGTCAGATCAAATGTAATGATTAAACATCAGTACAGGCTATGTTAATCTCAGATACATAATATATTCCATATTGAATTAATACAATTAGTGCAAGTTTTCACAGTAGCTCCAATACAGTATACAGTAGAATAAATTGATATATAGCCACCTAATATCCAAAATATTTTCCATATGGTCTGTAGTTTTCTTAGCATGTTCTATAGCTGCTGCACTGGTCAATGCATTTGTTAACATTTCAGCATAGATGGCATCCTTTTTCTCCCTTTCTTTGTTTTTATTTACAGCTGTCAGCAGTTCCCTTCTGACTTTCATCATTTCATTTTGAGACATGAATGACAATTTTATGTAGCGTTGCCTTATGCCTGACAAGTGGTTTAACTGAAATATTTACACATAAAAATATATACTAAAATAAATCTTCCCACATGTTATTAATATTGAATATCTTGTAATTAAGTTCACCACCCAGTAATAAAGTTTTCATTAAAGTTAATTTTAAATGTTTAATATATACTGAGCCATCAACTGGACAGTCATAAACAACAGAATAATCTTACCAGATCCAAATCCTCCTTTTCTACAACAATTATTTTATGTATACTCCCCGCAAACTTTTTAGACAAGTACTGTATAACTTCTTGTTCACACTCCCTTCTAGCTAATACCATAAAATAGGGTTGAAATGTCAGTGACACTTTGAACCTTGTTCCATCCATCTCAATAAAGTAATAATCCATGGCTGCCACAAGTCTTTTATCTTCATCCAGAATTTCCGCCTGGAAGTCGAGAGTAAGTTCATTATCATGTAAAATCAGATAACTATGTAGCTATCGAGCATTAAAACAATGTAAAACTATTAAATATGTACAACCGGTAAGGATACTTTCATTACCAGTAGTGTATATTTAAATATAGAACATATTTACTTGTATTAGAAACTGAAAGCTTAACATAATCAATAGATTATAATTGTATTGTATATATATGAATTTGACTTAGAAGAGATTATTAAATTATACTATATATCAATTATTATACAGCAAAGAAGACTTTTTATAATTGAAATAGCCAATGCTGACAGACCATCTGCAAGTGGTAGTCATCACCTTTATATAATTTTATAGCCTATAATATGGGTCTCTTTTCTCCTCAGTTAACCTCATATTGGGACTCCTGTGTATGGAAATGCACTGCCACATCTCATTTTACAAGTGAACACACAGCTTACAAAGCAAAATGATTGGCAGCTGTTATAGGTGACACTGAGGTACCCACACAGCAACTTCTTGCAAAGCATACATTGCTAGGTAAAGTAACACCTGTGTATCACATATAAATGCTAAAAGCAATCTATTAATATAGAATATATCAATGAAATAGATTTGACTTGACCTTTCATGTGGTTCATAGGCATTTAATTAGTACATTAATAGTAAGTACACAAACTTTTTCAATTATTACAATACTGTCTTAAACACTTAGACATTATTTTTCAACACTTAAAAAAGTTTCTGTCTACTTGTCTGAATAATAGTTTCTATAGTAATAGTTTAGAAAGTAATGAAAAATATAAATAAATAAATACTTACTGTATGCATATTGATAAGGTAACCTGTTCTTTCCTTCGTATCTCGCATTCTTTCGAATCCATATTTAGAGTCTATTCTATCATTTTCTAATGCCACACGAATACGTGATTCCGAAGACTCCTCTCTAAAAAATATTTTATATCACAAGACGTTTTTAAAGAATAAAAAGAGCAGTAATTATTCGCGAAATAAACTTCAAACCTGGATGCTGACGATGATCCAGGATCTCGTTTGATATTGTCATCTCTATCAGCTCTATATTTTCCTGTATTTTGTAAAACCATTTTAAACAATAAAATAAACTAACTAATTATTGGTGCTGTAAGCTAAAATTATGGTTTAAAAAATAAATAAATAATAGTCTCCTGCAAAACATGTCTCCTGTCATAAATTGGCGCCAATTTTTTTTTTTTCTCTTTTTAATGGCTTAGCACGTTCATGCATTTGCCAAAATCAAAAATTTGGGAAAGTATAGTAATTAAGGAAAATATTGGAATTTAGGATAAGGATCAGAAGAGGTGAAGCATTGGATCATTCAGATGATTATAATAATATTTAGGATACGAATTACGATAGATACTAATACTAATACAGAATATAAATAATAATGTTTACGTAAAAGTAGGTATCAAATAAAATTTACTAACATTTATCATAATATTTACAGCTTACTATTGTTACTACTTATGAAATATGAAAATGACATTGTATATTTGTAATTCATCTAGGGACACTAATATATTTACCACCAGCACGATCATCTTCGCTATATAATATTATGTTATCTGTGTGTTCGCTAAATATATTAACATTGCATCAACAGGTAAGAGAGGGTGAACATAAGACAGTGCCTATTTAGATATTTTTGTTGAAGTATATACAAGTGGTAAACATGTATATCTTATTAATTAATATTATATACGCGTTAAAGAGCGTAAAAAGTTTATGCGTATGAATGGATGTTTGTTACTCTTGCACGCAAAAAATTCGGAACGGATTTTGATGAAAATTTACAGTAATATAGCTTATATGTCAGAATAACATATAGGCTATAAATTTTACGCTAAACCGCGGGCTCAACTAGTAAGAAATATATTTACAGAAGTCCGAAGTACGTGTTCGGTCCGGAGAATTATTTAATGTCACATAGGCAGTATAGCAACGGTGTTGTCGCGTGATATAAATAATTTCACCTCATCTAGGCATGGAAGTAGGCAAAGGAATCTGGAGGTAATTGAGGTATTGAAAAAGGACAGAATGATCATAGGTATAAGGGGCAACTTAACATTCAACTTAAGATCGTGATTCAAATCACACATTTCTGAAAAATACCTATATTTTTTGTCCGAGATATTTACGTCTTACATTTAGCTAAACTAAAAAGAGCTAGCACATAGAATTGTCCTAGATTTTTAGTGTATCTAAATGTATTGGTAAAACGAACAAGACATATTCTTTTAAAAAGAGGTTTACAAAAAGGCTATAATCATTAATATTAAAGAAGTGCTATGATAGGGAGCATTATTTCAAAATGTCAAAGTAATGACACTTACAAAGAGTCATTGTCAAAAAAATATCGTTGCGACCGTCAAATTTTTTATTGTAAATTCAATAATTTAATAATTGTTTTTGTATTTATAGTAATTAATTAATACATTATTTATATTACTGACTATCGTTATTTACTTGAATAATATAAATAAATTATAATAATAGTCTTTCTAAACGATTAAATAACAGAGCTCTTTAAATTTTGGTGCCCAGTGAATATGGAAGACGTATATAATGTTGATAGAAATTCTAGAAGTAATAGTCATAAAAAGAGCGAATTTAGTATTACTAATCAGTTAGCGAACTTCGAAAAGTTACGTATTTCGGCTCTGACAAAAGCTGCTGAAATTAGTCCTCTTGTAACCGAAGTCACTATTGGACCCAATACTCCGAACAAAAGGCAGGAATTTCAAGATCAAAAACCATTGATAACTGCTACCAAAGAAGGTGAAAATCTAATAGAAGACAGAATCCGCGAAGATCTACGTTACACGCTTATAATGAAAGAGTATGAGACGAAGTTACAGAAAACGACAGAAGATTCATTTATAGAGTTGATTGAGAAAATGATTTCGAAAAGAATAGAGTTTATGGGAAAATATTGGGAAGCTCAGAGCGAGCAATGTGAACGCCGAGCACTTGACCGTAGGAATCGTAAACTACAGATGTTAAAGCAACAACAGGAAAATGACAATCTATCACTGTTAGAAAGAGCAAAGCTGGATGAGCAGAATACTCAAGTGGTAAATAAACAAACAATTGAGAATATGAATAAAATATTAGAAGAACAAAACAAAGCAACTGCTCGGTTTGCTGCAATAATGGATAGTCATACAAAAATATGCATATGCTACAATGAAATATCAAATCTAATACAGACAGAACAAATGGGAAAAACAATATGTGATAAATATATAAATACAATTAACACAGTTGTAGGAAATATCAATGTTTTATTGGAACTGTGTAAGTCTAATGCTATTACTGAGAAGGAAGTGAAACAAGCTGATATTCTATCCTTAAATATAGACAATGTTAGAAATAAGATAATTGAAGATTTACAAGAAATGAAACGGCAGGAGTTATTAAGAAAACAGAAGGAATTAGAGCAAGAGGCAAGAAAAAAGAAAGAATTAGAAGAGAAGGAAGCTGAAAAAGCTAAAATAAAGAATACTGATACTATTCTTACTCACAACACAGTAATACAACATACTAAAAAGGTTAAACCAACATTTTATTCCCCTGTGAATTATAGTTACTATGAAGAACTTAGAACATTTTTAGAACAATATGAAGCTCAATATAAAGAATTGTTAGAAAATATTAACTTAAAGAAATTCAGATTTGATTGTCAAAAGGCTGTCAATACACCAGTTAATGCATTGTCATCTGTTAGTGGACATCATATGAAAGATAAGTATGAAAAACTGTTCAAGCTATTAAAGGGTGACAGAGTACAAGTGTTTGACACTTATGTGACAGCAACTCAACATCCGCAGGGACTATTCTACTGCACAGCACTTTTAGCAAAGAAAATTGTACAACAGGGAGATCGATTGGTCTCCAGTAATCCAGAGGCAGCCTTTCCTCTTGCTGCTATTGCTGTAGCTTTGTGGTCACAATTTCCAATTTTTGGAAAATTATTAGAAGCAAACTTTCATAAACAGTGCCCATATTTGGTACCAATGTTTTTGCCTCAGAAAGAAGGGCAGACTGACAAAGAGTTCTATCTCTCCAGAGGTTACACATACAATGAAGATGGTGTAGTAGAGAAGCAAGATAAGTTTTTGAAGAGAATTTCTGGGATTTTCCAACTCCATTGTGCCATCTGGATAGCAAAAACACCAAAGTTTTTGAATACGCAAAATCCTCACAGCTTAAGATTTGGGTGGCAGTGGTTAGCTTCTTTTGTAAATTTAAAACCTGAACCTGATATTAGTGCCACATTACTCCATGATTTCTTTACCATTTGTGGAAATGATTTTTTTAAATATTATAGTGAACAATTTAGAAAAATTATTAAGTTAGTAAGTACTGACTATCTTGCTATATTGCAAAACATTGACGAAGGTGGCCCTAAAACTAGATTAGAAGTTTTCCTTCAAGATGTACTAAAATCTGGTCACATTGCACCACCAAGTGGGCTATTACAACTCAGTAGTTGGTAACACATAGTTTTAAATTGTTGTTTCTGTATGATTCATTTTCTATGTTTTTTTTGTAATAAGTAAAATGTTTTTGTATTGTATGTAATTAAAATAAATATCAAATTAAGTGTAAAATGCAATGCAGTCTATAGTTTTATGAAATGTTTTGAATATAATTTGTCAATGTGACATATGCATCTTATTTACTACATATACATTAATTTTAGGAATAAGTATGATTGCTTCATGATGGTATTGTTAAATAATCAATTACTGTTATCAACCCTAATACTAGTCTCTAGATAATTTCCTTAGTTATTTAAATATTATATGTCTTATCTCCAAGCAAGGTCCTTTAAGGGCTAAGTGGAGAGAAATGAGTGTCATTGGCTTTACTTTCATTGACATAAATCTATAGGAAGAAAAATAGTGTGATACTACTTTTATATTTATACTACGTTACTACTTTCAAAGCACATTATGCTTTGAGAGTAGTAAATAATTTTCGACAATTGCTCTAAACCTATTGTGGCATGACAGTAAAAAAATGTTAAGACTAAGAACGTATATTACAGATGACAGTGAACTGACAAATGTACTTAAAAATATTGCTCTTATATACACATGATTCCTATGTAGATACAGCAGTGCTTAGTAGACATCATTTAGTTTGTCTTACTAGCCATAATTTATAGAAAATGTTACATTGATGTAGGTAACTGTGCCCCATACCTATTGTCAGATATATAGAATATATTATTCTTTGCTCAGATTACTGGGGCATTGCTTCGTTATACAATTGTTATGTACTGTAAATAATAAATTAAAATAAATATCTTTCTAATTTATATGAATTATTTGAGAATTGTAGTTGGAACTTATATGGTCCATACGGCCTTCTATAGTTTGGTGAAGATGTAAAAGTCAGCTGCGACAAACAGCAATAGAATAATTTTAAAAAGAACGAGCTTCAAGTACTATAGTTCTAGTCAAACCGTGCACTGAGCAAGTAATCACTACGATAACGACAGTGATGCTTGATACCGTATGTGCAGCACAGAGTACGCTGTCAGTAACAAAACAGCATGTAATCTGTATTGCTATCATTGAATTACTTTTGGTTTGTTTAAATTAAATATATTAAAGTTGCCCATGAATAGTTTAATATAGTAGAATTAATCACAAGAAATATGTATCAATAAAATTAGTAATAGATTAATTTCATTACGTTTTGTTGATATGCCGTGTACTTAAATACAACAGTGTGTGTGTTCGGCTGCCCTATTTTAAGGTTTTTTATACTATAATGACCAACGCAGAAAGTATGAAGTTTTTGGCGAAAAATTCCGCATTCAGCCCGTACCGGCTGATGCGGAGGGAGACAGGATTCGGTACACCTATCGGCGCTGGAGACGCTATGGCACGAAGTCTGTACTGTGGCATGAAGCCGATAGCATCTTGGGATTGTGAACAGGCCAATGCAGTTCCCACAGGAGGAGTTTTCAACCTTGAATTTTCTCCGGAAGGGTGAGCACAATCTTTTTCTACAATTAATAACAATCTTTTATAAATAGGTACGCATATATACAATTTCCTTTACTTCATTGAACAGCTGATCCTACTTATAGTAATATCAAAATGTCTAAATTTCAGCATTTATTTCTTATATTTATTATCTGAAAATATTAAAATTTTGTATATTTTGTATTGGTACATGCCTTCAATAATTATAAATATAAATTTGTAGATAAGAGTCATCATTATTAATTTTAATGTTCAAGTAATAAATTCTAAGTACCTTTCTGCTTTGTGCTATTTTTATCTAAATAGGACATTACATTCAAAAGATTAATTAAATTAGAAATTACTTAGTACTACAATTTTCTAATAACTAAAATAATTATCCATACATGGGGATCTACTGCTAATATTTTACATGAACACTAGGATTTTCTTTGTATAATTGAATACAATTGAGATGTCAAGCTGAAAACATAATGTTAATGAAGTAGTTAATTTTCATTGGTGGTATAATCATAGCCCTTAAACAATTCTGTTCCAAAATAATGTCTACAGAATGTAGTAATAAACTTGAATTAATATTTACAGGACTCTACTTGTTGCTGCTTGCGAGAAGAAATCCATACAAATATTTGACCCATTGACTCATAAAAGAATTCATTCTGTGAATTCAGCCCACTCCGATTGTGTTAATTGTGTTAAGTAAGTATTTATTGTGTTGTACAAATTAACAAATGGTTATTATATGTAGGATATTTTATCCTCTTATGCAGTTATTATCTTTACATTATTCTTACCATCTAGTGCAAGCAATAATAATATTCCTGATCAATTTACACAGTGCTATCTAATAACATCTAGTTTTAGGTAAGCAGAACTAGTGGTATGGGTACTAGATACTTTGTAAGGGATCTGAAGTGACTGGAGTGAGTTAACCCTATTGTTCATGAAAGAAACAGGAAATTATACATGTATATTGATCTGCAGTGGGCTCACATAGAAAGAGTAAAGAGATGATATTTAAAAAAGGGGTATCAAAATAATATAAAAATTTATAAAAACAATTACTTGACCGGGTAAACATTGTTTTGCCATATAAATTATTTTAGTGCATATTTTACTAGTCAAATATAAAATTGGGGTTGAAGGTAGAAGAGTGAAAATATGGGGTTATATGTATTTTTAATACATAATCATAAAAAAATGTATTCTAAAGTTTAAAATAAAAATTTGTGGTGTCCCTCTCTCATTACCTAGAGGTATGAAAAATAGATTACATGCTATTCTCAGACCAACTGAATATACATACAAAATACCATAAGAATCAGTCAAGCCGCCTCAGAAGAGTTTTGCTACAAACACTGTGACATATGAACTCTATTTATTATACGATGGCCAAGCTGCCACCAAGAGAAGGAAAGATTGATATACAGTTAAAGTAATTTAAGGATATAAATTTCGTCCTTATCCTTAATGACATGTGTATAAATAATGTTGACATTAACTCACCTAAGTATTGTTTGTAATATTCTCTTTATCTGTGGTAATATGTAACTGTGGTAACATCATGTTCTTTTTAGATTTCTTGATGGCAGAATGTTTGCGACATGCTCGGATGATACCACAATAGCGTTATGGGATATAAGAAATATGAAAAAAACAATACGCTCATTGTGCGGCCACACATCCTGGGTGAAAAATATAGAATTTTCATTCAAAGACAAACTCCTAGTCACTTCTGAACTGAACGGCAGTATTTACACTTGGGATATTAATTCTTACACAGAATGTAATTTGGTGTACCAAAGAGTATTTCACGCTTCTGGTCTGATGAGGTGCCGCCTCTCACCGGACGCTCGACAAATGGTCATGTGTACGACGGGCGGGCTTCTCGTCATTATACATAACTTGAATCTCTCAACTTTAGCACAAGATTTGCATGGATTTAAGGTAATAATCATTTTAAATTATAATATTTTATTAATTATTTCACCTATAGAAAACTACTTTATCAGTGAGTAACATAACTGGGGCTGCTAGTAATATTTATTATATAGAATATAACTGCGCCAATTTGATACCGATCTTTAATTTCATGAAAGGCACATTATTCCAGTTTGACAGGCTATATATTATATATAGCTAACAAAATAAAGCAAGGAAAAATATGGGGCTATCCACAAATATTTTTGTATAATGTTAACATTATACAAATTCTACTCAAAAATTGTTTACAAGAACAACGGCAACAAGAGTTTCAAAATGTTTTTTAAAGTTGTAACCATCACCTATATGCGTTAACTGAACTATGGGCATCACTTTATTATGTAACACCAGCGAAACAACTCATGCGTTGATATTCTTAATTTATAGACTATATATATATATATACTATGTAACTTTATTATATTATAGACTATGATGTTATTTCTCTTATCTTGTATTATCACTGCCCTATTTTATGCTACAAACAAAAATAACAGTTTAAAAAGCAACTTGTTCGGCGGTTAAAATGGGGGGACAGAGGTAACAAGTCCACCTCAGTAAAATACATATAATACATATATTCTATCTTATTGCAGCCAAATTTATATCGGCTGATGCAAACGAGTCACCAGCTTATTCCAATAGCGGCTTTGTATGACCATTTGTTTGATGACAAGCGAGAGGAGAACCGCATCGAGTTCGTGTCGGATTTCCCTGATGGGAACGATGCCAAAGTCGTCAGTTCTTTGCAGGTGAGAGTTGCATTGAAATCTACAATTTCTATGTAATAAAAAACTAATATATCTATATATATAATATTATAAATCCGAAATTGTATTTGTCTGTGTTTGTATGAAAGGTTCAACTGTGAAAAGGTATTTCACGTCTGACAGACCTTTATGGAATTTAATTAGCAATAGTTTGTATAATGGAGGAAAATACGCTATTTTTACCTCCAAGATAAGTAAAGAACGTTGGTTATTGAACAGTATGTGTAGTATAACTTAAGAGTATCATTTAAATATATAAACTGGATAATTAACACAGTACCGCCTAGCCCCAAAGCAGAGCTTTTATATATACTTTTTTTAGTACTATTTTTTGTAAATACTTAATAAAATATACAGGCCAATACAAATGGAAATTCGAACCCTCGACCTACGGGAATTAAGGCAACTTGCTAAATCCCAATATTATTATTTTATCATTTCAAATGACTCATTAACCTTGACTTTTCCTAGGGAGTATGTAGCCCTTGTTCTGCTAGTATCAATGTATGTCTGTAGGTTTATATACGACAGACAATGTGTTGTGATAAACTATATTGTTTGGCCGGAACTGATATGGTATATAAATATTAATGCATATCCAGATAATGATAATGCATTGACAAGTTGATTATATCCTAGATATAAATAAAAGATAAAAAGACACAAAAACTGACGATGAAATAATAGCGAACTAAGAAATGCTACTATTTATTCTTTCTTTCAGATACATCCTCTAGGCTGGAGTGCATTAAGTAGAAATATTAGCCATGATGACAGGTCTGAGGTGAGTAATAAGAATTTCTGAATTATATTTAATCCACATTAATCCGTCTGTTGAAACCGATGTTTTCAGAATATGCTTATTAGTGGAACAAAATAAGATCAAAAACTACCAGACTACTAAAACATTACTTCCTAGAAAGTAAAGAATCAAGAAATATTTATTTTTAACATTTTTAGTCATGGTAGTTATTACTGATTTTCGTATTCATTGCTAGGTATTTGACGTCTGAAAATAAAGTCCACCTATTCTGATATTGTTTCTAAAATATTTTATTGCTATCTTTTCTGAGTACATTAAAGAACATACAGAATATTGACCACTGACAAATAATATTATACTATTCAACCAAAAGGTTGAATAGTATAATATTATTTGTACATTGTGTTGGAAATGTAAGAAACTTAGTCTCTGGTATGACAGCGCTTGAGTTATCATGGGTATCACATGGTAACGCGATGTACAGATGCTATTCATATATGTATATAGTAGACAGTTACCTCATATCGTTGGCATGTTTGCCATTTCAAATCATAATAATATCTCAGGATAATTCACACATCGCCATCCAGTCTCCAAGCTAAGCAGAGCTTGTTTTATGAGTACTAGTCAACAAATATATTTTTTTTTTCGTAAATACATACATAATGTAAATACGAAATACCCAGATCGATACAAACAATAATTCTCATCAATATAAATGTTTGATATCGAGGCCGTCAAAAGATGTAAGCGAGACGTTTGTGTGCATTCAATGTGCAGTGGTCATGCATACACGACATCCAAGCGAGCACGGAGACTCCAGACAAGTCGACGCGCGACTGCACGCGTGTTAGGCCTCCGCCCCCGCCGCGTAGGCCGCCGCCTCGCCGCTCGCTGCGGCGCCCGAGACCGCGGCTCGCGCGTCCCCTGCGCCCGCAGAATTCGGTCACGCCCGCCGGCGAAGCACCGTGAGTATACACTAGTAAACTTCCATAAAATAGCATAATTGATTATTTATTCAATGTTCTATCATTCATTTGACGTTTTTATAATTATATATTTCGAATAATCAAAGACCTTAAGTTGAACTTTTACTATTACCTGCTTTTACTACGCCTAATAATGAATTGTATATTATTGTTATACCGCGGTTTCGCCCGCATTTATTGCCTATGTGTTATTCTGATGTATAAGCTATATTACTATAAAGTTTCATCAAAATCCGTTCAGTAGTATTTGTGTGAAAGAGTAAGAAACATCCATCTATACTCACAAAATTTCGCTTTCACAATATTAGTAAAATTTACATGAATATTTATTTAATTAATTTATTTTTTATAATATATTTTCTTATTTTACGACAATTGGTTCTACTTAATCTGAAAGTCATCAAGGTGATATACACCACTTATTCGCTTGAGCAGCTCAGTGCGAAACAAGTCGCTTTATATTCATGAAATTCTCCTAATTAAAAATATAATTTTGGGAAAATAGAGAGAAGTTCAAATTTTAAAAAGGATTTTTCTAAATTTGTGATACTTAACTCAGTTTACTATTAGGCGTCGAAAAAGATTATAAAGAATCGATCCATTACGATTTTTAAGATTTGATACACTTGACCCTAAAGCGGAACATAATTATAATAGTAATAATCTAGAATATGATCCATCTGTGTACGAAATCTCATTGCTTTTAGTACATTGTCGTGATGATTTCTTTGTAGTGAAAAGTAACTTGACATAAATAAGTTTCTGATATAGCTAGTTGTAATTCTGTGACTTAAGACTTAAATGTTCGCGTAAACTGTATAAAAACATCGAAACGTCAGAACAAAATAAATATAAGTAATAATAAAGATGACAAAATAAATAATACGTTTAAACCGCAGGTTTAAAAACATACCCCAATTAATCTCGAAACTTGATAACATTCCCAACATTATCATAAACGTACTGACTTGCCCGATATTTAATGAACGTCAGCAAACTCAGAGGCTTTATTGAATTAATAATGATAGAATGTAGATTTAGTTATGCTGCTTAGCGCGACACCTATATTTAATGAATTGAGGAGCGTATCTATCGTAGCTGGTCTTTTTGACCAGACTTTTGAGAGTGATTGCTTAGGAGTTAACCATTGAATTAGGAATTAACCAATTAATCATTGATTTTCAGCGGGACCGCGTATTAATCAGTCTGACTACGTATTTAATAAGGGCAATAATTGCTGTTACAAATTACGTATACGCGTTATACCCTAAGCTAATTATATAGAACCTCATATTGTTGTTTCGGAAATTAACGTAATGTTTGGCTTAAACCCAGATCGTCGTCAATTCGCCGTATAGACAGAGATAGCGACAGAGAGGATGAGCCCGAAGCTGGTCCCAGTACGTCACGCATAGAACCGTCCAGCCATAGTAACGGGTCTTCGTCCTCCGCGACTTCATCGAGGCTCGATGTAAGTGACATGTTATAAAATGAAATTACCATGTAAATAACGTTTTATTACGAACACTAGACTTTTTTTTATTAAATTCTGTATTTTCAACTACGGTTTCAATATCTCTTCAAAACTAATTTTGTTCGTCTGTTAACGTTTTAAAATGAACTCTATTATTTAGTAAAATTATGTCGAATTTGATTATAGTCAATTGGGGCTTCAACTTTAGAATTGGTTACATCTTTCGCCAACCGTTAATTTTGCAATCCTATAATTTTCATAATATAAAAAAACCTATAGAACCTATTTTTCGAATTGAATTTTTCCTTCGTCCTATATCAAACAAATTTAGTAAACTGATAATATTTATAATGAAACTGATTTCTTTTTCTCTTCTAACAGGGATTATCAAGTATTCAAAATGATGTATGGGAGGCTTCAATAACTATCAAACAACATAGGGTATTACAAGAATTATATAGCAGGTTAGTGAGATAATTATTATTTCACTGTTATTTGTTTTTATTCGCCTCATGAATTTCTTTTGGATATTTAACGCCAATCAAAAGAAATGCCAAATAGTATAAAACTCTCTGATAATTTTATTTGTATTATAATACACATAGTGATAATTTCACGTCTATCGTAGATATACAAATATATATGTTTATTTACACATCCCAGCAAAAACACAGGTGGATCATACTGTATTACAATTATAACATACTTGAGGCATAGGTAGCTCATTATCATATTTTACTACAACTTTAAAGCTATTTATGTCGTCTAATTTATAGTACCTAATCTAGTTTCTTTTGAAACAACCGTCAAATGAATATAGATCTAATTCAAGTAAAACCATTACATTAAAAAAAATCATATACGTACACAAATATAACTGTCTTGTATATTAATTAATAGTATTCACAAATTGTTATGATCATTTGATTGTTATTATTCGCATGCTTTAATAATATATATTTTTTTCTTATTCCGGCGCTTTGGGTTGCCATTTTCTAGTTTAATTAAATAATAATATTAAATCAACAAATAAAATGGGAAATCGATATTTAATTGTATTCTTAAGTGAGTTTTATTATAAAGGGTACAATGTATGGTTTACAAATCTTGTTTTGTCATATACCAGGGGTGTGGGCCGCAACTTTAACATGCAACGCATCATGGGCATCAACACAGGCATCTCACCGCCGAGTGCGTTACGTCCTCGTGCCCTCAGGGGAGCCGTCGCAAGACTTCTGCCGCACGCGCAACACGCACAGCTCGCGTCGCATGCTGAGCTCAGGTAATTTTTGTGTTTGTCTGCTACTAGCACTCACAATTCGAACGAATTACACGTCCAACATTAAGAGTTTTCTATAATCATTTAAGAAATTTGTTATCAGGCAATTCGCACGCAAGGCATAAATAATAAAAATGGTTCTGTGATGTAAGTCACTGAAATGACTACAATATATAGACTTGACTATGGTTGCTGGTTCCTCGCAGGCTGCGAATATTTGTATTCATGAGTATGACTGTTTGTATCGATCTGTTGTATATTATGTATATACATAGAAAACACCCATTTGTATTTATAAAAAAAACATCTAAATATTTATATCATTTGTACACAAGTTCTACTTAGTTTTGAACTAGGTGACGTTGTCTTAGACTATTCATACGCCTGGCATAAATAGTAATATAAATGTCTATTCTATAAGCTACGCCTACACTTGTAACATTTCAATTCAATTGTGAAATTTTTGTGGAGATAATAAACAGGCTTCAAGAGACAACCATTAGTTTGAAACCATATCATCGTATAGTCCACTGTTAGTCCTAAGTGTTGGTCCTATATATTTATGTATTTCTATCGATTATTTAGTTCCAATATTATCTATTTTGTTTAGGACTGGATGTATGCTTTATCCTTAGTTAATATTACATTTTCATCACAGCCCCGTGTCATTGCCGTCAACGTCGAGGGATCCATCGCCCGCAGACCATGGAGACTCGTGTGACGAGGATCGCGAGACACGACACTACATTAGACAAAATAGAGACAGACTTCTGTACTATATAGAGGAAACTAATGAAGGAAAAGGATTTATCAAGGTATTATAATAAGGATCAAGGCAACTTACCTACTACATTTAATTTCAAATTGTTCAATACACTAAGGTTTTCATTCCCTTTGTGTACAGAAGGCTAGGCCCACATCAACTAGTGTTTGTGTAATAGTATGCCTAACCAATTCTTGCAGAGGGGTAGGGGGTTATTAATAATAGTACTGATAGGTCTTATTGTTAAGAATGTACAATGTCAGATTGACTTCCTTGCGGTCTCTCCTGGAAACCATTGTGGTCAATTCTTGGATTCTTAATAATGGGTTAACCAATTTGATTTTATGCTCTTTTGATCATTTATAAGTGTGATCTCTAATAAGTGCCTTATCGACGTATACCATTAGTAAACATAGTGAATCATACTATCACCATGCATTAAAAAAAACTGTTACCTGTGACAACAAGAAAGGAAAGGACAAATCCATATAGTTTCGCGACATGGACAATTTGTGTGAATGTACTTTTTGTTTACAGGAATTATGTTACTCGGCTGATGGTCGACTCGTTTGCTCTCCGTTTGGTCGAGGGATGAGGCTCCTAGCTCTCAACGAAAATTGTAGCGAACTGTCGCAGTGCGTTCAATACGTCAAAACTCCTAAACCAATGGTGGATGTAGGACAAAGTCTAGGAATACATCAAGACTTAGTTGTGAGTTCGAAATTCAACCCGAGGTATCATATGCTTGTCACTGGCTGTCTTGAAGGCAAAATAGTCTGGTATGAGCCCTACAGCGGAGAATCGTTATATTAGTTACTTAATAAATTTAGTTATCATGTAAATATTATTTTATTCATGGAATCCAAAGTAATTAAAATATTGTAGACCAAAATTTTTGTTTATTTAACAATCTATGAAAAATATTTGAGTAATTTTAAAGGAATTTCGAAATACTACTTTTTGGTACAAGTATGAAGAATCCGCTCGAAATAGACTGACGTTCCTGTAAGAGTATTTAATAGTATTTATGTATACGAATGTAAATAATATAAAACATTTAATTTCTATGATCTCGGTAGGCACTATTTTTAAAGCATAGAAATTCTTAAAACTCCACCCGCCGCGTCAGAGGGCAGCAGAAGGACTTTATGGAATCTTTACCCATAAAAAAATAATAATTCGTCTCGTAATGTTTGGCTTTGCTCAATAAATATTATTAGCCAATTGTGAACCGATATTAGATATTATTCGAGGACTTTCTAGCAGCTTAATTGGGCATCGAAATTAAAAAATATTGTTCATTTGAAAAGTTTATAACCATATCAATGTATATAATGCATTGAACAAATGCATTTATATAGTATCTTTGTTAATATAATATTATTTCTACCATAGTACAAGCGCATAAGTAATAAAAAAGAAATAACATGGTAAAATTGTATATTCAACACAAATAGACTACATAATTCACATTACTCCACAAAATCTCATGTACAAAGTTCTATTGATATATGAATTTATACAGGGAAATTCAACTTTGTTACTATAAAGGGCAGTTGGTTTTCAAATGTGCCCACCCTCCTTTAGTTTGGCAATGAGTGTGTCAACATCGGGCACGACTGAGCCCGCCTGTCTTACCGGTGGGTCTTCAACGGAAACCACCTTTATTCGCGGTGTGAGATCGACGCCAAGATCTTTTGCAGTTACCTTCTTCAGTGGCTTCTTTTTAGCTTTCTGGAATGGATTTGAGAAATATTAATTAGAATTCAGTAAAATATATGTCTGAGGACCGTGGCAAATTTGTCGAATCGGATTCTTTATACGTAAAAAATATTCTAGATTCATAAATTTATTAAATAAATTATGTAATTAGTGTTAGAATTTTCCTGTGCTCACTGTCTCTTGAACCAGGGACGGACGCAAGTGGTACTTTGCTAGGCTATTTAACATTAAATCTCTTTTGAGAGCACTAATTACAATTGCCTTTTATCCTTACAACATTACTCTCATTCACTTTCATCATATATGCAGGTTACAGATACACAAGAATCTAGGGAGACCGGTGGGTTCCTCTGAATAACTGATTACCAGTCCTGACAATATTGATATGGAACTGACAAGTGAAATCTGAGTATGTTAAAATACCCACTTTAAACGAGTCATGATCAAGCGAATCATAAACATCTTACACTAAGGTCCCAATATTAGTGAAACAGTTCAGTTTCATGGCCCAGGTTATACAAGAAATATTCGTGCAGATATTTCATAAGTGGATATGTTGTTTTAAATTTATGAGCTTTTATTCCATTAACTTAACTTCATATTAGGTACTGATCAAATATTGATAGTTAATCCAGAGAAAAACAGAATGCAATGATTGAGTATTATATTATAATACTGTACCATTATATTCGGGAGGGTCGCGTATCTGGGCTCATTAAGCCTGAGGTCTGCGCTAATAACGGCCGGTAGCTTTGTCTTCACCACCTCCAAGCCTCCATCTATCTCACGCGTCACTGTCAAGCCGGAGTCGGTCTTTTCAATCTGCAATATTTAAAAAAATTAACAAAGCTGAAAAAACAAAGATTTGTATTTAAATTGGTAAGATTATCAGCAGTCTAGTGGTTTCGTCTACCTTAATTTACGGCCGATAATCGTAAGTTAAAATCTGGCTAATTAAACAAAACCTTTCTGTTATTTTATATTTCTGAACGCCGCTCTAGCTACTGGCATACCATGATATCAAACAAAAAAAATACCAAGCAAAGACGGTAGGATCACCCTTTGCCACAATGAATTTAAAACAATCCGAGAGAAATGTAAGTATGTATGTCAACTGTTGCATTCACCACAACAATATCAGTTGAGAATGCCTCTGATTACCCCGTCTGCAATAATAGTCGTGACGGTATGTTTGTTCTGGCATAGTGACATGTTTTTTTTTCTTCTGAATATTATAGGTATAATAAAAAAAGCATGTCTACCTAGAATCCACGACGACACAGTCTTCTACACCTCCATTCAACGGTAGAATCAATAGTACATTCATATTATTCCAAGGTACTATATATTCATGGGCATTTATTTTATGCACTGTGTTTGAATGGAAAAGTTGTTTTAACATTAATTTAATTTTGGTACAAATAAGTATTTCTTTGAATCATTAATACTTGTAAGCACTACGCTTTTAATCATATAAAATATTTTTTCTGCTTTTTAACAACATTCTAACATTTTTTTTTACATAATATTAACTATTATATTTACTATATTTTTATAGCATCAACTAAGTCTACTCAAAGACCAAAGATAAACACTTATAATTTTTGCAATTATCAATACATGGGATTATTTCGTAGTTAAAATGTTTGATAAAAAGTCATAAAAGGTTATAACTGTAATCTCAAGCATAGATAACAATATACTTCTATATGTATGATTATGATTTGAGACAACTCAATACCAAATAAATAAATAAAGAATTGAATGTTATTTATTTTAAAAGCAGAATAACATTAAATTTCAGTTGTAGATATTACATATTATGAAAAGAAAATGGTTTCTTATAATTAACATACCTTTGAAGCAAATGCTCCTTGGGGCCAGTCTAGGAATGCTGCAGTCATTTGTGCAGTCTGATTCGAGTCATCATCAATTGCCTAAGAAAGTAAATTATTTTAGCTATATTATCAAATTGTTGATCACGTCAGTAGAATCAGAGATTAAATTTAATGTGTGAATAATTATATTTGATAGGAGTGAATATATTTATGTATAATAGCATTGTGAATTTGTCTTGTGAAATAGGAACATTATAACACTAATATAAAGCTAAAACACTGACACAATATTCTGAAGGAAAACTACAAAATCTTTTCTAAACAATATAGTCTTTTTTTTATTTAGCATATATAAAGGTATTGCTAAAACAAAAAAAGGGTATAAACTTATAGTATAAGTATTTATAATCAGTGGCATAGGTATGTCATATGTAGCCCTGGCAAATTCAAACATGTTTGAGAGCTATGGTATTTCAAGCCAGAGATCTGCCCAAACCATTACCAAAAACAAAAACCATTTTAATTTCTGAGCTGTGGTACTTAGTACATTTTCAATGTGCCATTAATTATAGACAACTTCAAAAAAAAGTGGAACTTCGTACCTGTTTGCCTACAATAACAAGATCAACTTTCTCATCCTGTGTCAGCTTGGCAAGTATTTTAGCCACATGGATTGGCTGCAAGCCTTCATACTCTGCTCCAGCTACTTCAACATGTATAGCTCTATCCACACCCATGGCCAGGGCTGTTCTAAGAGTTTCCTGCACCACAATAAGCACTTTATTAATAGTCAAGTCACAAACAATATGAATTATGGATAATTATGTATGTTTATTTCTTATCTAGATATTACCTTAAGTGTTACTAATAAATATATAGTTAGGATTTATCAGTTGGACTTTTACAGTAATATAAGTTTTCTCTGCCTATGCATCAAGTGATATGCTATAAGGATAGATATATAAAAACTATTGCAATAAAGGCCATTTCAAATTGTGTTAAATTGTATGTTTATGTATATATTAGAAACATTGCAGTCAGCTAAACTAAGCATAATTTTCTTACAAAACCTACATGTATACATACACTTACATAATAATAGATAAAAAAGGTTATAATTTGGTAGAAATCTATTTATATTGATGTCAATATTGATATTTACAAATTTTTATGAGTGAGTAACATACTACCAGAGATTATTAACTTATTAGAACTTGAATGAGTCGAGGCTATGATGCATTACTGTGTTTGTCAATTTATTTATATTATATTCGCTTATATTATATTGTTAGCATTTATGTATAAAGTTTGTGTGTGCAGTGTAAGTTTATGTGTACCCACACAGCACCACTTACACACTAGTATAATTCTGAATCCATACATATAGCATGAGTTATCAGCATTTATGCAGCTGAATTCACTAACATCTTACAAAGAAACTTTATTTATAAATCCTTAACTATATTCTTATAAACAGATATTGAATAAATGAGGAGTAATAAAATACATTAACACCTACTTGTGCTTGTGTTGGGCCACATGATACTGCGATGACCTCGCTGGCTAATTTTTTCTCTTTCAATCTGACGGCCTCCTCTACTGCAATCTCATCGAATGGGTTCATAGAGTGCTTAACGCCATCAGTCACCACGCCGCTTTTATCAGGCTTGACGCGAATCTAGAAGTATTTCGTTATTGGAACGTCAAATATAATGCGACGATGTAATTATGTAGGGGTTCGAGAACAAAATTATCACATTGTTACAGGTGAATAATAGTTAATCATTTTTAATTACTAAAGTATGGTAAAAAAGTTTTAAACATAGAAATTCAGTAGCTAAAGAAAAGCAACCTTTGAACTTGAGAATTATAACTCACTTTAACGGCATAATCAATAACTCGCTTAACACCAACTAAGACACGAGCCATTATACTTATTTTTAAATAAATTTACTATTAAAACAACTTAATAACTAGAAAATTAATAAAAAACAAATTAAAATATAAGAAAGGTACGAAGTCCGTCCGTCAAAAAAGTGGACTCAGGAACACAGCATAGAGTAACTTTTTGACAGCTTCCATGACATTTTCCATCACATTCTTGTGTGTTCGTATACTCTGTGTTTTTTTTTTTTTTTATTTAATATTTTACGGCTCTGGATACAAGTCCTTTTTAGCCCAACATAAGATACAAAACCTAAAAAAAAAATATATGTTAGAAATAAATTTATATAAAATCTTGTATATAGCTTGCTAATCTTTAGAGTTCGGTACTTCATTAATATGTATATATGAATGGTAATAATGTCGAGTCCGTATTTTCTACATTTGAATATAATATGATTCAAATCTTCGTCTTCATTGTACATTTTGGGTTGTGAACCATTTTATTTAAAAACATTATAAAAAACATTTGATAAATATATTCACATACGTCTTTAACAGACAACAGTCTTTGATTTGGCATACCACATCGTTAGCAATATTTATGTAATAGTTAAATAATAAAAGAACCGGCAAATACGGTGAATGAAACTTTAAACATATTAAGTGGTCTTCATTATGAACATTCGAGCAGCTTGATCCGCTATTTCATTTCCAGCAATCCTTTATGACCAGGTACGTCACAAGAATGTTATCGACCGTTGTTTTTCAGATCATAAATATTTTGTCTGATATTATACAATAAATAGTTTAAATTATATCTAAGAGATATATTTTGTAGAGCTTTTAAAGCACTTTGCGAATCCGTTATTATCATAAAATTTACATCATTTATATTATTTATATGCTGTAATGGTGCATATATAAGCAGTAAATATACTACAATTGTTATCTATTTTAAAACATTTTGTTAATTTAAGTTGTGGGTCATAATATGCTGATTTAACATTATCAGAAGTTTTTGAACCATCTGTGTATATTCTATTCATATTTTCATTTATCTTATATATAAGCGTCACCATTATTATCTATATATATTGATATGAATATGCATCCAAAGGGCAAATTTTACTTTTATATATATTTACAGTTTGAGAATGAATAGCCTGTTATTCAGTCCACAAATGAACATACAATGTCGGGTAATATAGAGACATTATTATTATTCTTTAAACAACATTTCTCTGCTATTTGTCGCTTAATATTAAAGGGGGGCCTACTCAATATCCAGGTGAACACACGGTAATTATTCTTAATGCTTTACCGCAATAGTTAGTAAAGTTGTTTGTATTCATATATGCTAGGGAGCTGTAGTCAAAATGGATAAACTATACTCTTATATAACATAGATTCAGGTAGCGAGCCAGGGTAAATATTATAACATGCAGATTTTAAAAACTTAACGGATAAATTAAATTCAAAATTGATCCACACATGTTGCCATTAATACAAGGCATTGGTAATTCTCCTTTTTTTGAAAAGATTACACAACATTATACTACATTAAAAATATATTCAAAATTCTCTAATACTATTTATATACAAATTGCAACGTTACTGATAAAATTCAGCAAACTGTTTTATATCCTCATATGGATATTAATATTGCTAGGTACAACAAAGGAGAATATACCTTGCATAGTGAGTTTATATTAGTCCTGATCCACAGTTTTTTATAAAGTAAAGATATTGATATGCCAATATCATCAAGAATGTGAATCAGATTGAAGTTATTCTGGATTTCATATTGTAAATGGATGGATTTTTTATATCTTTAGGCTCTAGGCGTCCATCTATGATAATCTTTAATAAGCTTTTCTACATTTAAAACTACAATATAAAAAGTTTATCAATGAATACATTGATTTGGTGGCTTGTCCTGTTTTAATTGGTATTACATTGTGTTTTCCTATATGTTGACAATGTTATAAAAATATCAAGGAAGAATTTTTTTGCATTTATTGTAAATATCTAACCACTTTATATGTAAATCAGTAATACACGCCGACTGTAGTTTTTACAAAGAGAAAGAAACTGAGTAATTTCAATTTTTTTAAATAATGCAAGTGATATATTGCAATTTGTCATTTAATGACGTTCAATAAATGATTGTCATTCATCAGGAACGCTACTACATCTAAACTTTAATATAAGTTGATAATATAACAGCGTATATCTATTAAAAGAACACAGTTTTTTCCAAAATTAACATTTTTTTCTTCAAAACTACTTTTTTATAATTAATGTAATTTTTTTTGTAATACTATTTTTAATGTCTTTACCAAAGAATATATTTACCGTTTTTTATATATATAATAGGTTATTATAAATTTAATTTTTTCTAATTAAAAAATATCTATGTTCTATATATTTTTGAATGCCTTTTAGTTATCTTAATTTTTAGTTCTTAAAACATTTTCTATGTTTGGATATCAATAGACTACAAGGAATAATTGTATATTGCTACAGATGCACTAATAAAAAATATATTACGGTTGAGATTATTTATCTGGTGTCTAAATAACAAGAAAGGTCACGATTTTATTTTTAAGGCTATACAGGCATTTGAGTGCTATAGATTATTTTTTGATAAAAGGCCTCTACCACTTTTTGATGGATATGTACATAATATAGAACCTACCATGATGCATATTCATATGTAAAGTATAATTTAAAATCGTTTTTTATTAATATCGAACCTCCATTACAAGTAACCATTTTGCTCCATGTTATAACCTCGACAATTCTCTCTCCATGTTTCGAAATATAACAGAATATAATTAAATCGGTTTTTTATTATCTCTATATTCTAATAAATGCTTAATCACTTTTGAAAATATCCTTAATAACTGAGGATGTCACATTTCTGTTGCGCTGTTGTCGATCACTTTTAAGAATTTTTTTCAATTAGTTCTTTATTTTCATCTTTGCTTGGTAATGGGGATTTTTCCCAGAACTTATTTTGTCAATTATTAGTTTCTAGAACTAGAACAAATATCAGTTTTTTGTAATAGAGCAAATTTTTAAAACACAGCTTGAGCATATTTAATTTTATTATTTTTTCCTCCATTTTATACTTTTTAACAAGACAACCAGATATAAGCCATAATAATGTCGATTTAATCATAGATGGACTGCACATATTGAACACTAAAGATATAGTTTCGCCATGGTTAAATATGAAACATTTATAGCATTGTAAAAATGAGCATATATTCATATATCTTTATCTTATAAATAAACTGTGGATCAGACTAATATAAACTGAACCGAAGGTATATTCCACGTCTACTTTTTTTGCAATATTAATATCCATATGAGGAAGCTTTTTAAAACAGCTTAATTTTATCAGTAACGTTGCAATTAATGTATATAAGTTAGTATTAGATAATGTTCAAAAAATATATTTTTAATGTTTAGTATAATATTGTGTAATCTTAGGAGACAATTACCAATGCCTTGTATTTGTGATAAATACTGTGTGGGATCACCATTTTGAATTTAATCTATAACCAGGTTTTATGTAAGTTTTTAGTAATCATCTGAAAAGTTTTTCGGCCCGGAGGCGGGACGTACCGTCCCCCTCAGGCATGATTCTAAGATAGGTATTTAACAACTATATACGACGTAATTATTATCTATATAAGGAAAAATAAACTATTTGCAGTGAAACTAGCAATAAATATAAATATTTTTTGAGAACTATTCAATTCGCGCCTATTTCTTCGAAAAGCCCGCCAATCGTATACTCTGTGGAAGAAGTGGTGTTACTAGTTCTAAAAATAAATGTGTTTTCTATGTATATAGCGCTAATTTTGAGTTCGTACTCGTATGTATATATGATGGATAATGTACCGAACTACTTCCTATAAACGAGAAATAACTTAACTAAGTAATATTATTTAAAAATAATACAAACTATGACGTCACACTGTTTGAGGATAAGCCACAATAGAGATACTATAATAGGATACTACATATATATTACTGATATTATCCCATTGTAAATTAAAATATAACATTGAACGACATTGGTATTGATACGGATATAGCTATAGACCAAAAAACATAATCTAAAAAGCTTAGCAAACAAATTTACATGTAAGTCAACCAAATCATGACTATGGTATGTAAGTTAGGAAATAATAATCAATAAAATATTACCAGTTATTATTCGTGTTTTCGTCTGCATGCAGGTAAAAAATAAAACTAAGATTGTTGTTAATTCTTTTATTATTAGGAGTTCATTAAATCTTCTACTTACACAACTAAAGAATGCTCAGAACATTTCTTATTATAGAAAAATGCAGATGAAGAATATTTTCATTTCACCACAGTGCTCTTAAAATGTGTAAGTTAAGTTTTATCAGTATCTACCATTATTATTATATTAAAACAGATAGATAAACAATTCATATTCTTGTAGAATAATAGTTTACGCAATATGCTGCATTTCAATAATAATAATTTGAGTATGTGTAATAGAAAATGTTTTTTGGTGGTGCAAACATTATTTTACATTCACATTGATTCTTAGAATTAACAAATTAAGATCTATTATTATAACATTTGCAGTTACATCAGAATTATACATAGCTAACTATAAAACAATAGAACCATTCTATATTTGTATTTCATAACATCTCTTCCCGAGGGGGCAGAAGATGGTCATTAGAAATGGGGCTAGTGCTAGCAATATACAACGTCAGGTGGACTTCCACTCACCATTCTTTTATAATCAATGAAAAAGAAACTATCTCTTGTCCTTCATGACAATAATATTTTTGTTGATTGTAGAAAATTATATAATAAGGATACTAGCCTTTCTAGGTCGGGATTGTGTTATCTCTTGTTACACATCATTATTGAAGTAATTATTATAGCAAACAATAATATAATTATACAAATACTTGTATCACAATTAAAATTTAAATTCTTTGTATTTCTTGGCCTGTTTTGAATCTGTATTCTGCTGTCGTTTCCTCTTATTCTGCAACAAAAGTAAGCATTTCAGAATATTTGTATTATTAAATCTATTTGTGAGGGGGGAAGGGGATTGTTTGTAATGTGGACTAATGACCTCATTGCTAGCAATGTACCATGTCAGATCGACCTCCACGCGGTTCCCCCTGGAAACCATCGTGTTACATTCCCGGTGAATTTGTCACATTGGGCTAACTGATCTGACTTCATGTTCATCCTATCATCCTCCACTGATGCCCGCCAGCGTAAACCGTTAGCGCAGATGGGTACACCATTCCACTATCATCCTTTAAAAAAAACCTAGTTTGTGAGATAAATTACTTTGAGATTCATGCATACTTGCTATAATGTATATGTATGCGTGCAATTTATGCATAAAAATACATAGTAAAGAAAATAATCTAGCACTAGTAGAAAATAGTAGTAGATTTGTGTATAATGGTGATTTTATCGTCACCTTCTGCCTGGCGACGTGGTCAGCCAACATGTCGGAGAGGTCCTCGCGGCCGCGCGGGCGGTGTTCACGCAGGTGCCGCTCGTAGCGCGCCGCCACCGCCTCGGGCTCCAGCTCCAGCTCGGACGGGTCGAGAGCCACGTCTACGCCGGCCGCACCCGCGCCGCCGGCTATTGGGCCCTCGCTGGCAGTGCCGGCCGTCGGACCCGCACCGGCGCCCGCAGCCGACCGCTTGCCTTATATTGTGTTCATATTATTAGTATTGCAAATGCCTAGAGAGGTGTTACACATTTATTTATATTTATTTATTTACTTACACAACTATTATTACAGGCCTAAGCCCAATACAATAGTGTATCTAATTCTATATTATACATATTCGTTAACATAACATATAACATACAATGTTGTTTTTGTGAATTCACACAGACTACACACAAACAAATCCGTTGTTTCTGCTATTTTATTGAGAGTGGCCAGTGCGAGTGTCATGGGCGCCTTGTTTAATAAATTAGTTCTGCCGCGATATACTTTTATAATAACTGGGGCCTACGTCGCCGCCCCAGGTAATTATCTGGTACCCTAAAACTTATCAAACCAAGAACCAGAGAATTGGTGATTTGACCCCGAAACACTTTAAATATGTATAAGACAATAGCCAATATATGCGTACTGTTATATAATTCATTATATCCCACCATGCCCAATACGAACAGAGTGGGATACATCAAAGGATACAAGGGATATACTCCATATTGCCTCATATATATATACCTAATAAACTTATTTTGAATTTTTTCCAACATTAGTCTATATTTTATTTCATATGGATCCTATATTACAGCGTTGCACTCAAGATGGCTCCTTACTAATGTGTTGTACAATGCGATTATTACAGTAATACTTGAAAAATTAACAGTACGAAATATGAATCCTAACATCTTATTGTTTTTTTGATATATCTATTATATGTTTCTTAAAAGACAAATCAACTGTAAAAGTCACTCCCAAATCTTTCATCTCTGTGACTCTCTTCATCGATTTAGCTTCGATTGTATAGTTACAATGGATCGGGTTATGCGACCTAGTAAAACTAATACTCATACATTTAGAAGTATTAAATTGCAATTTATTTTTATTGCTCCAGCTACTACTCTGTCTATGTCTCTTTGCAACATTTCACAATCAGCAGCAGATCCAACTGTGAGAAAGAGCTTTAAATCATCAGCGAACAGGAGACATCCGGAATGATGAACAACCTTCGGCAGATCATTGATCATAATAGTGAATTCGAGGGGACCCAACGTCTCTCCTTGACTCACTCCTGATCTGACCAAATAGGGATCTGACGTAAAATTATATATATATTCGACGTATTGATATCGATCTCTCATGTAACTATATAAAAAAAACTTAATAAATTTTGGCGTACAACCTATACTCGCTAGCTTCCCAAGTAATATGTCGTTATCAACGACATCAAAAGCTTTTCGAAATCAAAATAGACAGCATTTACCTGCCTACCCCCATCCACAGCTGGTATAAGTTCAGCCATATAGTTCACTAGATTACTTGTGGTACTGTAATCGAAACCCATGCTGCGCCTCTGAGATACAGAACTCAATTGACTGAACATTTTTTTTGCTGACTCAAAAGTTAAAGAGTAGAAAGAACTGCTACTGGTCTATAAAATTTCTACACTTCCACTACCCATATATAGGAACTGGATTACACTATATATTTCCATATCGCAGGAAAAACCGCTGTTTATATAAACACAGATTGTAGATGTGTAGTAAAGGCTATACTAAGTTACAATTACATTAAAAATGTACGCAGGGATACCATATTGCCCTGAGGATCGTTATATATATGAGTTTCGATAGTGCTTGCCGAACGTCGGCTAGATTTAGTGCCTCCAAATGCACTCGTGCCGATTCATTCGCACCTTCTGCCTGTGCCATCGCATCGCTCACATTCATTTCTATTGTTTAACAATACTTTTTTATACACGGAATGAAAATAATGGTGCAAATTCTTTAGCGCATTTGTGTTAACACAACACCATTTTTCAATATTTTTGAGACCGGCTTACTTTTCGATTGTACGTATTTGTGTGTTAATCTTTTAAATGATTTTGAATACGTTCCCTATATCGTTCGTAAGTTTGTTGTATCATTTTTTTTATATATACACAGCGAAAATGCAACATAATCAATACGCGATTTACTCTGACTTATATCGTTCTAAAGTGACGCCTTATATTTTATATTATTAATTAATTAGATACCGTTGGGATAGATATCCGAATTTGATCATGTTTTTGGTGTTTTATTGGGATATAGCTATTCATAATATTATTAATGACATAAAGATAAAAATTTTTACTAGTTTTATCGTCTCTTAATTCAATTTTATATAATGGACTCCAGTCGAATGACACTTTAATGAGTATATAATATTTGATAATCAAGTTTAAAGTTTTTCCATTGTGGTGGTGAATAATATTAAGTAGGTAACACAGCCACAATTTCCATTTTCATATTGGGAACAAAGTAAAATCAAGGCTTAGGTTGATTAGTGAAAAAGTTAAATATTTAGTCTTACTTAGATTTAATGTTAGAATATTTTTGTCAAGCCAATTTATTACAACACAACATAAAAATAAAAATATCGCAAATTAGACGCACAAACCAGTTCAAACGGACAGTTGCTGATGTTGACGATCGGTATATCATCCGTAGTTCACAATTTTTGTATTTGATAGGTTTTTTTAGAGAGACTACATAAATTAAAGAGGGTCGGTGCAAGGACCGAACCCTTTCTTTCCAAAAGTGACGGTTCGATTGCTCTATATCTGTTCTCAATCCTTACGATTTGGGATCTATCGCAGAGGTAACTCTTTTAACGGTAATCCCCTATTATGGATACCTTACACATTTTTCTTGGGATGGACACAGTGTCAAACGTCCTTGCCAAATCTAAGAAAACTCCAACACATTTTCGTTTATTGTAAAGTTTCATTATTGGGATAATTCATTTGTAGACAATTTTTCTCTAAACCCGAACTGATTGTTTGACAAAATGTTGTTTGTTCCAGAAAGCTTTTTTGCGATTTTGGTTTTTCTAGGATCTTAGCCAAAACGCTGATAATGTTATGCGTTTTATGGCCACACCTTGATTTGTTTGATTTACCTGTGGTTGGTTTTGTGTCAGTACACTTGCATATGATATCGAGTTCTTATTTATATTAGACGTTTTAATTGACGCATTTTCGTTCCTCTTGGTGTTATGTAAACCCGTTTCCAGACATTCGTTATTCTTTTTTAATAATAATATCTGTTCTTCTAATACCTCAACTTTGTTAGCTTTTTCTTGAACTACCGCCATACTTTTTCTTAATTCTTGCAATTCCATTTCTGTTTTACAAAACCGATCTTGAAGTTGATTATATGCTTTCATTTGATTATCTAAGCGAGATAAGATTTGTATGCTGTACTCACGTAGTTCTTCTAATATTTTAGTGTCATTAACCATCATGGATACCTCACTCAGTCGCACACGATTACCGCGTTCTGTGTTTATATAATTGTTTGCTGGTGTAAATGTTTTGTTCAGCAATAAATTACTCCGGACAGGCGTATCTGAGTTATCTCGTTTAGGGTTAGTGCAAACACATTCAGGACATACCCACTGCTTCTTGTATTCTTCTGTAAGAGCTTCAAACGACTCCACTGTCATGGCCAAACATTTCAGGTGATACAATTTTTTGCACTCGTCCACTGAACACTCCATAAAAGATATGTCGTATATGACGGCTTCACAGCCGTTACATTTTGTCCCCATCTAAGGTAACTTAAAATAGATAGGACACCTTAAACTATTTTTAAAAAATATTTGTAATTCTATATCTCCAATACACGTCTTTCCAACAATGTGGCAACTACCCTTCTTTGATTATGGTGTACAAATACTTGAATAAACAATTCAGTAGCTTCATTTGGATCCCTAGACATATAAATATCATTTCAATTGTGTGCATGGTATGTTATTACCAGTCAATTAACATAATTTATCCTTTTTTTCGATTTTAGTGTTCGAATATTGTGAGTATGAGATGTCAAGTTATGTCAACTTCAAACAATTTGTGGTTGCATAAAAAAAGTTACGTAGTTAAAACCTTGTTTTCAAATATTTTTGTAAAACTGTGATCGAGACATTTTGTCTCTCTAGTAGGTATTGATGTGTGACTGGGGATCAGTCCATGGGAGGCAGACAGGCCCAAGTACTCATCTGATCTGGGATCGCCAGTGTACTATTACTTATGTAAAAATATATAAGTCTCCAATTATATATAAATGTTTAAAACTGCTTTGTTAGTAATGAGTCCAAGGAGCTTTAAAAAATTTGCTGTATAATCAAATGAAGGTGATCGATAGAACAAATGACAATCATAATTTGCATTATTATTTTATATAGAATATATTCAGACAAAGATGGTTAATATGAGGATTAAAATATAAAATATTATTGCGGACAAGACCACTATCTACATTTTTGTTTAATTAGTCTAGATATATCATGAATCAACAAATGACAGCAAATGCTAATTGGCAAGATCTATATGACGTCAACACTCTGACAATATTATTAAGTGTCCATGATTACATCTTGACAAGAATATGTTCAGATCGTTATTTTTATTTACACTTCGAATATTTAGGGAAACAATTTTCAGAGAGTGTTTAGATAAAGAAAAAAGTTCCCATGAAGACATTTTACAAAATCTACCTCTGCAAAAGTAGAGAACTTACCCCTCAATATCTGTGTCCACTTTCTTCTTCCTGAGCTCGATAATGTCATTAGCCATTTTCAAAATAATTTATACGGTTATTTACTAAAGCTTTGGTATTCGGTTGATGACTTTTAGAGAAGGTACTGAGTGTGTGATAATAGAATATATATACTCCATATTTGATAAACATCATCCAGGGATCATATTGGGAACGATATATACTTTCATCAATTAAAACAATCTATCATACCACACATTTTATGCAATATACCCACAGATATAGTATTTGGTTGATTTTTATTAGCATATTTAGAATTCCGATAATTTATGTATGGAAATAATAAAAGCCTACCTAGACAAAACCAGTGGTCTCGAATATAGAGCGTAGGCTGCTCACAAGTCGTAAGTGACCTATGTGCTATGGTTGGAAATTATTGTGATCTCCATCTAATACCGAACTTGGCATTTAAACGTCGTGTTTACGTATACGTTTGGTTTTTATTTTGGAGTATTGCAGTAAAAACTTCCGAGTTATAGCGCATTCCAACAACAAATTGATTTAACAAAGTAAGTAGACAAACTCCGGCATATTATTTACTGACGTGAGCATACCTTCCTCTGATTCCTCTTCAGATTCAGACTCCAATTCTCCCCACATCGACCTGTCGATATCTTGGTCTTCTGCATCCTGGAATATTTTATAAGGATTGTAATTAAACGGCTCAATTCAAGATTCAAGTAATTTGCCCTTGTTTTTAGTTATCATCAAAGTAGAAAATGTATCCATATAGCACACATTTTACCTGTGCCCTTATTTAACTAGCAAACACAAACTTATTTACAAAAGTTCGCACACATATTGGCGTGATAAGATACTGTTATATATATCATACATTATAATAGACCTACTATACTATTACTATTATATAATATAATAAAACTACACTAACATCTTGACCGCTATTCTGGTGACCAAATACATCCCCATATAGCGGTTTTCCAGTTTCATCCACAGGTGGCTTGCCCCAACCACCAGCGTGGTATCCGAATGCACAGCCTTCAGGTATTGGCGCGTTCAGACCGGGAATCTTCAGGTTAGGGTACGACGGCGGAGGGCCGTATCTTTGTTGAGCGATCAACCATGGCGGTGGAACCTATTTATGAAAAAAGTTTTTAACTTATTATTAATGATATTTTAAAAAATGTGTATGCAATGAGTACATAGAATAAAATCTATACAAGATCAGCCCATTTTATTCATATTACAACTTACCTTATGAGAGCCAGGGCCGACGGGCATACCAAGTGCAGTCCTTAATTCCTCAGATAGATCTCCGGGTTTCTTCTCTCGCAGTCGAGTTTCGAACTCCTTACCCTCGTAGTAAAGGTCGCCGTGAATGGTCATACGAGGTTTGGTTTGCCATCTATATATAAATAAAAGTTACGTTTTTATACAATATTGTTTCTATTAATAACTAATTGTAAGTTAAAAAATTACGCTAACTGAAAATTATAACAAAAAGCACAGTTTGTACTAGAAAAGTACTACATACGTAGTAGTAGAAATTGCTTTTTTCTTATTTCGATTTGTTGTTGCGAATTAAACTAATATCAATAATAATGTATATTTTTTATACTTTACAATACAGCTGTGACTTTGTTATCTTAAATGAGCAAGATGGAGACAATATTCCTGACTTTTTGGTGAGTGGAAAAAACGACTTTAAAAGATAACGAAAATTTGTTTTTATTAAATGATAAATGTCTAAATTTATGTCTGTAAGTATTATATTATGTATATTAAATATAGAATATATTTACCATTGGTTCTTCCTGCTTGGATTGCATTAGCTATTGATATAGGTACTTCAGTTCAGTACTGTTGGGGAAATGGTACCAGTTGTCACACTGGTTCAAGTGAGATCAAAATATGAGTTAAAACAACTCCTTTTTGCGGTCTCATTTGTTATAAACATGTGGAATTATAGTTACCAGAGAAGGAACAATCTGATTTATCGTAATCTGATCAGTAATTAATGTGATTAGACTGGTAAACAATTTGACTATCTGCTGATGAGCAGTGAACAGCACTACGACATCAAGTTATCATGTAACACCCGTAATACCATTCTCGTTGGCATTCTAGAGGATTAAGATGTTAAGCCTCTTATTCTTAATGAGAGTCAGATAAGGCAGCGAATTGCCTAATCTGACTCTTCAGCAGGAACCCAGTTCAACAGGCAAACTGCTGATGGAATAGGTATCTACATATTTCATCCGATGTGTAGCAGATGTACCAACGCAGATGATATTTACAAAGTCTATCTCTGAAAAGTCCCTATTCTATAGTAGTACCTATATTTAATACAGAATAGATAAATTAATTAATAAAAAAGTATTAAATCAGTATAAATATTTCATCAATGAAGTTTCACTTACTTGAAGAATGCATCATGCAGCTTCTGGTAATCAATATCGATCTTGCCAAGCTTGGGCCGTGAACGTTCGCGCATTTTTGCTTTTAGTGTCTTTGTTTCCTCTTTGTCTTGTAGCGATGCTCGCATTTCCATAATACCCGTCTTCTTAATGAAGTCTGGTAGGTCAAACGGAGGCTTTTCTATACCACGCTTTCCTTGCAGATACTGTTACGGAATTACATTAGTTTAGATGTTAAATAAGTTAAGAGCGTCACATTACTACGCCAACTTGAATCCAAAGGTAGTGAGTTCGAACCTGACCAATACCTAACATTTTGTTTGCCAATTTATACTTCATTCACTCACTCATGATGAAAGATCAACTTGAAAACAAATTATTCGAAGAGTCAGCGGTTGTAAAGTAATGTGGCCACATCATGTCTCGCATTCAGTATTATTATTTATTATTAGATAGATATTGATATTATTAGGTGTTCCTGATGTTACAGACAGGCGCACCTTGATAATAGCAGCAAGTAACAACAAAAAGTGACGACTACTGTAGTACTTAAACATCCTGGGTTCAATATAGCTGATACACATCAATCAAATTGTTTATCAGAATTATAAGTTAAGTACTAACCTTCCGTTTGTAGCACCAATGTCGAGGTACTTGGACAGTATTCCTGTGGGCCTTCAGCTGGACAAGTAACTTGGGATCTCGTGCTGTTACGTCATACATCTCTACAACGTCTGGCCGTGACACCAGCTGCTTCAATTCCGCAACTGACAGCCGCGATAACTTCTTTAGTTTGCGTTTTGACATGCGTTCTTTTTCATCTGCAGCATTTTTCTGTTAACATTGAAAATACAGTAATTTGCTGGCTGTGGCAAGTAATTAATCTGAAGTTACTCCTTACTAGTTCCAGCACCTAATTGTTAAATAAACATTTATAAACAATTAGGTACTGGAATAGTCAGAAATGTACTATATCTATAATACATTATGTATTATAGATATAGTACATTTTAAAGGTGAAAAATATGTTACTTTGTCTCTCTGTTTCTTACACTTTCATGACTAAATAGTTGAGCGGATTTCAAAGAAATTTAATGCGTTAGTCGCCCATGGTAACAGCTAGAATTTTGCAAATCTGTACAAATTTAGATTAATATTGCATTATTGACTATATCACAAAGTTTAAGTTTCAGGGATAGTTTAATTTATATTTTCGTAAATTCATTAATTTAACTAATTCTTACCTCTACAGCTTCTTCGTCTACAGCAAACTGATCTTGAACTTTCTCCTGGGGCTTAGTTGATGGTTTTGGTGCATCTTTTTCTTCTTTTATTTCTTCCTTCTTCTCTGTTATTTTGAAAGCTTCAAGGATTCGATGGAATTGACGGTACATTGGCTCTAGTTCATGGAACTGAATATTTTCTTGTACATATCTGAATTAAATAAACATATTAATTATATATGTATATTAATTGTATTAGTAGATAATTATGAGTATATTAAGCATAAGATTTCCATAAAGATATCGGATGGCCTCCAAGATATAAATAAGTAACTAACTACTATGAATCTAGCATGGTATTCATAACTATGATTGTTTGTATCTCTCTGGATGTATTTTATGTTTATTAAGTATGTATTTACAAAAAAAACGTATCGAAGTATTTACATCAGTTTTCTTGTACCCATGACACAAGATCTGTTTAGCTTTGGAATAGATGGCACTCTGTGAATTATCCAGGCTCATTACTATTATTCTTATATTCCCATTAACTAAAGCACAGGCTACAAAGCAAGTTACTTGGCAGCTGAAATAGGTGAGACAAAGTGTAAATAAGTATTATTGTTATAGAGCAATGTGGTATAGTAAAAGCTTTCAAAATTAAATTGTAACTACTTACTCAATATCAGCTTCTTTATTATTTTCTTTGTCACTACTCTTCTTGGCCTCATCTTGGCTTGTTGTACCACTGTCAGCATCTTTCTTTTTAGCATCTTCTTTTCTTTTCAGCTTAGCCGCCTTCTTCTTTTTCTTCTTTCTCTTATTTTTATTTGCTTTGTTCAATTGTGTCTACGAGAAAATTAAATGATTTATAGAAATCAATTTTGTTAATTAAGAATTAAAATAGTTTAATATTATGATGAAAACTGATATGTTGGGTTCATGTAAACCATAAGAAACTAATTTAGTTTTTGAGGTTGTTTTACTTAAGCAAATATGTATTGCTAGTATAATGTTATATTTTTAATAACATTATACTAGCAATATAATTCATTATGCTAGTTACCTCCTGTTTTGAAATAATTGGTGGCTGTGGGGCAGCAGGTACATTATCATCATCAGAGTCTGCATCATCTTCCTCTGCATCATACTCCCTGCTGATTACCGGTGCTGGTGGGGCTTCTGGTTGGGTGTCTTCATCTGGAAAATATTATGAAGTAATATAAAAAATGGTGATCAACCCTTACATAATAAGTTAATACAGTTCCTAACCCTTTTTTTATGGTGTAAAAAATCTTCAAAAGACCATTCCCCGCCAGGACGACAGTGAGGTGGTGTGTTGGATTCTTACCCACTAAAATCCACATAGTGTGCCCAAGAGCACACCATTGACGGAGTCCCAAGGTACCGTTAATAACAAGAAGATAACTTATAAATATCCCCTACACAAAAACAGTATTGTATGCTCAATTATAAATTCTTCTACTACTGATGTAACCCATAGCATTGTCCACATGAATTAGAGTAAAATATTATTGCAAATTATGGAGTCAACCATACACAAAACTTTATACAAAAGTAGAAAATACAATCCTAAATAATGTTTCTTTTGAAACTTTCCATTAAGGAACAAATATTTAGAAATCCCTTTTTATATAGCAAACTAGTGCATTTCCTCTTTTAGGACAATAAATAGTAACAAATGTTGTACCAAATCTATGGATTATCACTGTATGGTTCTAAGAAACATTAAGTGATTCAATTTAAATTGTATAAACATTTTAATTCTAGTTTTTTTAACTATTCTTATGCAGTTGGCTATAGATGGCCTTTACAGCTTCAACCAACAATATTGAAGATCACTGAATGATAATAATACCTTCATCTTGAGGTTGGCTCTCATCCCCTAGAGCAGCTTGTCTTTGATCTTTATATGCAAGGGCTTCTTCTAAAGCTTTAGGCAATACAACTCCTCCTGGGGGAGCTGGCTTATTTCGAAATTCTTCTGGTGTGTCAATTTTCATAGTCAGTAATGAAGGAAGAGACGAGGGTGGTCCTTGTGCCGGTCCAACATCTTCGTTATCTCCTTCATCCTCCTCAGGCTCTTCTCCATGATCGTCCCAACCTGGAGGTCCATCATGACCCTGTCTGCCCCATCCAGGTGGACCTTGGCCTTCCCATGGACCCATAGGCATATTTGGTGGAGGGCCCATACCAGGGGGACCCATATCCATTCCTTGGTTGCTAAAATTTCCTTTTAAATTAGGCCCACCACGCATCATATTCGGTGGCATTCTCTGTCCCATGCCAGGTGGACCCATTGGTGGCCCCATACCCATGCCTGGAGGTGGGGGACCCATTCCGGGAGGTGGCGGTCCCATACCAGGAGGTGGGGGACCCATACCGGGAGGTGGTGGACCCATGCCAGGAGGGGGAGGTCCCATACCGGGAGGTGGCGGACCCATACCAGGTGGACCCATTCCCATCATCCCTGGCGGTGGACCCATACCCGGAGGTGGCATATTAGGCGGCCCACCAGAGGTTGTGGCCGGTGGCATTGCACCCGGTGGACCCATTGGTGGCGGTGGCATGCCCCCCGGTCCCATAGCTCCCGGAGGAGGCGGCATCGGTGGAAAGTTAGGCATACCCGGCGGGGGTCCCATAGATCCATTATTATTGGGCGGCCCTGTTCCTGGCGGACCTTCCATTTTATTTTTTAAGTAAACACTATATTAGACTATCACCATGAATCAGTTATGATAATAGAAGTCTGTTTTGTATATCCAGAATACATACGTAAGAAAACAAACGAAAAGGTTAATTTTGGAAGATAGCACAGAATAATTATTTTAAGCGTATGTTGCATAGATTAATATGTAAGTTCATAGATAGTACCTCTATGGTACACTTTTCCGACAAAAGTAAATTTTATGAAAGAATCGTGTAAAAAGGAGATTTAATAAGGAACTCTATTAAGTCTCTGTTGTTTATAAATTTGTCTACTCAGTTCAAAGAGTAAAGTATAAAAAATACCCTATTCGTTGAATTAGGATTGTTTGATAATCCATCGAGATTCAAGGCACAGAGAACTATGATAAATCATGATAGACATTTTTGCTTTTTATGACACTGACAGTGACAGTTATGACATCATATTACTTTATTTTTATATCTCCTGTTTGATTTCTTTGAGAAAAATTGTTATCGAATTTTCTTGTATGACTTTGCTAAACTGTCGTCAGTGTATTTTATCGTGAATAAAATTAGCTTACGTGTTATTCTGTAGTCGGTACAGATCTGCTTTTGTCGTGTTCCAGTCCTAGTATAGATCGAGGCACTGCAATATGGCAGAAATGGGAGAGAAATATAATACAAAGTGTCCAGGAGTGAAACGCCTTATGAGAGAAGCTTTGGAATTAGCAGAAGCTACTGAGGAGTATTGTGCTCGACCCTTGGAAGACAACCTTTTTGAGTGGCATTTCACAGTACAAGGACCAAAAGGTACTGATTTCGAAGGTGGCATTTACCATGGAAGGATTTTATTGCCTAAAGAATATCCTATGCATCCACCTCACATTATTCTCCTGACTCCTAATGGTAGGTTCGAAGTACAGAAGAAGATTTGTTTATCCATTTCTGGCCACCACCCAGAAACATGGCAGCCATCATGGTCTATCAGGACTGCTTTGTTGGCTTTAATTGCATTTATGCCTACTCCAGCTGAAGGCACAATTGGCTCATTGGATTATACACCAGCAGAACGTAAGATGTTAGCAAAGAAATCTACAACTTGGTCCTGTCCACAGTGTGGTGATATATCAAATCTGTTGTCCTGTACTGCAGCCAAGCCTTTAACTGAGGAAGAGCAGTCTGCACTGAACCAAATTGCATTCAAAGCAGAAGAAGAACCACAAGCCCCAAAGCCTCCAGAAGAACCAGTACAAGAAGCAGAGCCCCAGATATTAGAGTCATCAGAGCCTAGTACAAGCTTTTTAGATCAATTAACTGAGGTTCTAGTGGCTCTTCTTGTGGGAGCTATAGCTATATTTGTGTACCGACGCTGGAGTTCTTTGTACACAATGGCAGAAGCCGAAATGTAAATTTTAATGTCACATTAGATTCTAAGTAAAGTTTACTATAATATGCATTGTTTTCAGTATAGAATGTCAAGATAATACATATTAAATAATATACTAATGACCTACTACCTAATGAATGATATTATTCCATATAGTAAAACTCATAATATAACAATAAATATAGACTCATGAAACTTCATAATTCTAAAGTTGGTAAACATTAAGATTTATTACACCAAAATATGTAATATGGTGTAATAGTATAAAATATCTGTATTGTTTATATTACCTACTTTTTATATTTATTTAAATGACATTGTTATATGAAGTTTGCATATAATTTTCAACTTGTGCCTTAACAACCATCATGTTTACTGTAAGGCCGCCACTGTACCATCTTAAAGAGGGCAACTGCGATGTGATTATTTACATCACACTAAAATATTAATTATTTTCTAATTATAGTAATTTAATTTAAACTATTTATGATGTATAGAGAAATCTTTATGAAGAGTATGTTCTTTTATGTTTTATAAATATTAATATAAATAAAAAGTAAATTGACTGTACCTTTGGATACAGTCACAATAAATACTTCGGACTTGTATCTTTGTATGATTGCAGCAAATACATTAAATTGTAAATATCTATATATAGGCTTGGAAAAAACTTAGCTTCAGTCAATTTAGTGGAATATATGGTTTTGAAACCCTTTAAAATTGTAATAAATTCAATTGAGGATCCATTTGTCGGGTGGAGCTGTATTCACTGACACTGTGACTAGAACTTCTCCTAAGGCTGTCTCACTACCATAAATTTTTATCATGAAACATGCAATAAGACACTATGTATTTAATTCATTGGATTATAAAAAGTGTTTTAGGGGAAAAAAGATTTGTTGGAAACAATCATAATGTCAGGACCACATTTAAAATGTAGTCAGACAATTGAGTGAGATCTTGTATTTTGAAAATATAAATTGATGTAATCTTATTTTTTAGAGAATTAATCTTGATTCTTAATTATTATTTATTTCTGAATGATTATTTTGAATTTTAGAGACCAAAGATAATAATGAAAATATGAATTGGCCATTTGTTATAGTAAACCATACAGAAGTAGCTTTAAACAATGTTCTCAATATTGGTGTAACTAATAATTGTTATATAGAAAGAAAGAAATTGTGGAGGAAACTATAATTAGTAATAAATTTCTGTAATTCAGACAGACTTGGAAATCTGAATTTCTGAGATATTTTCTAGAGTGGACAATTATTTCCTTCTCCTTCTTCTCCAGCATGTAATGGTGCCCACAATTGATGAAGGTGGGGTAGTAATTTAGTCAAACACAACAGTAACTATGTTATAAACACTTAACATAATCACACATATATTTATGACTACTTACAATTACTTTAAGTATATGTTAATCAAAATTATAAAAGAATTAAGTCAGTTGAATTTGTTTTTTGGTATTGCAAAGTTTATGATTAGAAGTTTTTTTTGTAAGTATACGTATATTATATTACTGAATGATATTGCAGCATTTATTACTGAACTGTATTAAGCAACATATAAACTGAATACTTTCTAAAACTGTTCCAAATTCATTAATTTAAAAACATGATTTAGTTTTAAATATGTGTCAATTAAAATTATCAGTAATTTTAATTGCTATTCATAATTTAAAATAAATACGTAACATTCCATATACATGTTATTTTAGTTTCAAATTTCCAATAGTTTGTATGTTTAAATGACTAAAGCCAACTTTTAATAATGTTTTATTTTTAATTATTCAGTTATTTTAGATTTTATGAAACCACCGTAATCATCTGTAGCATCAAAGTTTTATTAATACATCTATAAAGGTTTATCTGTTCTTTTATATTAATACTAAGTCCAGTATTTTTTTTTCTTATTAATCTGCCATACACACTTAATCTAACATGTGACCATATGCACACTATGTGCATAAGAATAAATAATATGCTATTTGGAGAAAGACACAGAATGGCTTTCTCCAAATAGCATATTATTTGTATAACATAACAACATGAAGTCCCATAGATTTAATTCAGCATTAATCTAATAGAATTCGACAGTAAATTTGTAAGTAATCAGTAGTTGTATGTTTTGCTTTGAGATTGTATTGCACTTGTAATTTCGACTATAATAAATTTGTTATTATGCTAAGTAAATATTGTTGTTGAATTATTTACATAATACCACAAATATAAACATGATCTTGATTTTATTTTAGGCTGTATAAAATATCTCAATACTGATCTACGCTTTTTTAATACTCCACTTATTCACATTATTTTATTTTCCTTTCTAGTATGTGTATATACATATTTATGTATTTTTTATTTTACTTATTACTTATATTTCTTATTTTTTATACTATATTATATATTGTAAGTAGAGTAAAAACTTCACATTCATGATGTGGAATGAGAAAATTTTAAATTTAGTATGTAGCCATTGCTACATATAAAATGAAGAGTAAAGTAAAAGATGGATGGCGCACTTGAGTTGTAGTAGAAATCGGGTCATTGGGCTCCCTAAAATATGGTCGAGCGCAGTGATAGCTGGTGTCATACTCGTGAACGAGTGCTGCTTGTAGGGACTGGTCTGCTCTAATCACTACGACTGTTTTAATCCCATTGTGTACTTAATATCTGAACCTAATAACTTAATTCTATATGGTGGTTTGTATTCGCACGTTTCAAATTGGAAATGTAAAATCACAATGATTATTTAAAAGAGCAACACACGAGTTTCTATCTCGTTCTTCTTGACGAAACAGCTTTCCGAATGAGCGGTAGATTAAAAGAATAATAACTATGACTATTCAAAGTTTGTTTAAATAAATTATTTTCTATTCTATTCTAAATGATCTTCCACTAGGCCATAGAGTACATTTTAGTATACCACGTGGCAAAATTGTCTTTCTGTACCTGTTCTATATACATAGATATCAGCAGCAACTTTTATTTCTGAATATATGTTACTAGCTTCCCCGTCCGGCTTAGCAAGATTGTACATGTATTACACATATAAACTTTCCTCTTAAATCACTCTATATATTGCGTATTTTAAAAAATCGAAGCGAAGACAGCGGAAGCGATTTAATTGCATAGTAATCGCTATTAAAAAATAGGGTTTGGCGATAGAAGGGTGAAAATTTAGGGCTGTATGTATTTTTAATGACACAATAAAAAATATGAATAGAAAGTTTTACCCAAAACATAAAAAAATAATGTTAGGGGTGGACAACCTTTATCACTTAGGGGTATGAAAAATAGATAGTAGCCGATTCTCAGACCTACTGAATATGCATATAAAATTTCATAAAAATCGGTCAAGCCGTTTCAGAGGACCATGGTTAGTTACATTGTAGCAAGAGAATTTTATATATAAGACAAATAAAGACAGAAATAAAAGTTGTAACATAGATTACGAACAATAAAATAAAACAATTTATTATCAATTATTATATAATAAGACATTTCAATGAAATTGGCTTAATATAACAGATATTTGCTGCATGATGTGGAAAATTTACAGAAAGAATGTTACACTGATCCATCCACCGATAGAGTTCTTAGTTAAGTATTGAGTAATGTGTGGTTCTAAGGAATTATATCAAATCTGCTACGTTCATTGGCATTTCATCTATCTGGGTAGAATAGTACTGTTCAATGTCTCTCAAAATCCTGATGTCATCTGACTTGACGAAGTTAATGGCGACACCTTTGCGTCCGAAGCGGCCAGAACGGCCAATTCTGTGGATGTACAGCTCACGATTATTTGGCAAGTCATAGTTGATGACTAGAGACACTTGTTGCACATCTATACCTCTGGCCCATACATCAGTTGTGATGAGGACACGGCTGAAAATAAACGAAATCTATATTAGCCTAAGAACTTGTAAAGCAATTAATTCACCAAGGAGGTACTTATCTGAATAATTTTTAAATGTTATTTTTCAACACTGGAAATCAACAATAATATTATTTTTGTCTATCCCTATTTATTCTTTGAATGAAATCACTAAAATAAGAACTTTTGACAGATCTTACCTCTGACCAGATCTGAATTCCTTCATGATGTTATCTCTTTCTTTCTGAGGCATGTCACCATGCATAGAGCTGACTGTGAAGTTGGCTTCCTGCATTTTTTGAGTCAACCAATCTACCTTCCGCTTTGTGTTACAGAAGATAACAGCTTGTGTGATGGTCAATGTATCATACAGATCACAAAGTGTATCAAATTTCCACTCTTCACGTTCCACTGCCACAAAGAACTGTTTGATGCCTTCCAATGTCAACTCATCACTGTGAATATAAATAGTGATAAAATTAACACAGAAAAATATATAATAAAATTGACAACTATAAATATGTTGCAAGTTGTTTATTAGCTGTTACTTATTCCTGAATTACATATAAATAAATTCAAGTAAGAAATAAGAAAAAAAAACAAGAAATAAGAAACTAAAATCAATTTCTCTTATATTCAAGGGAAATTATTTATGCATAGTAGTCATGTTCTCATGAAACATCACACAACAATAGACTTTGATATTAAAAGAATATTTGGATACATTCAAAGGAAAATATGAAGTGGATGTTTGACTGTAGGCAGTTAATTCCAAGCACAATACAGACATTTGTATTCATGAGCTTGAGTTTATTATTATTAATATATGTAGATTTATGAAAACAAATTTATTTATGTCTACGAGTTGTCTAGAATATATACCAACTTTATAAATATCATACTACATATATTGAAACTAGAATTTGCAATAGTATAGAACAATGCACATACCGCTTTACCAAGATCCTAATGGGATCAGTCATGAATTTTGATGTCATTTCAAGTATTTCATGGGGCAATGTGGCTGAGATTAGTACTACTTGTGTAGCTGGGGGCAAGTAACGGTAGACATCATATATCTGCTCCTTGAAACCTTTGTTCAACATTTCATCTGCCTCATCCAATACTAGCATCTTGATTGATCTAGTCCGCAGGACACGTCTCTTTATCATATCTGTAAGTTTTGGTATTAATAAGATGAATAAATAGTGAATGTACTGTCTGTCTGTCTGTCTGGAGGGATGCTGATGCTTGACTGTTGCCAGTCTCAAATGTAAAAAATAAATTTATTTAATTATCTATTATTTCTTATATATTAGTATCATAGGTTTCTTTTCATTATACTTTATTTTTAATAATAAGAATTAGAAAATTATATTAGGCATTTTAAAATAGCTATCAATATATAGGTTGTTATAGTTTGGATGGAAAGGCAATTTATAGGCAACTATCACATATTATTTAATTTACTCAGAAATACAAAAGTAATATATATTTTCTGTTCTTTGTATATCCACATTCAGTAATTGTATTATAATTGGATTGGTTGGTAATTACTATACAAGTCTGCAGTCCAGTGAGTGCACATATTTTTATTTAAAAGATGCCTCCAGTACTTTGATTAGATTTCAAGACCCTCAGAGTACACTTTATCCAACTCAGGTATTTGTATCCTTTTCAAGCATTTTGGGGGTTGTTAATGAGTAAAAACTAATAAGTAATCATATAATCATTAATTGAGATAATAATTAAATATAATAAGATTTATTAATGCCAAATATAAAGTCTAACGTAACTATATTTGTGTTCTATTTTTTTTTTTTTTTTAATGTCGGAAAAAAAAAGAGTATGCAGCATTTCTGGTTTTTTGCCAAAACATATTATAGTTCTCATCCAATAAGGTAGAGGACACCAGGATTAAATAGCAATACAATTCATAAGAGGCTGTGTTTTATATTTATATACCAGTAGAGTCATAGTTTAATAAAGGTCTTCTTTAAATTTGTCATATAATTTATGCAACAAAAATTAAATTACTTAGTTCTAACATTCAAGTTATTATATTGTTACTTACCAAACACTCTCCCTGGGGTTCCAGAAACAACATGTTGACCATAATCCAACTTCCTAATATCTTCACCAAGATTGGTGCCACCAATGCAAGCATGACACTGTACATTCATAAAATCTCCTAAAGCAAGGATAACTTTCTGAATTTGTGTTGCCAATTCACGTGTAGGTGACAATACCAGGACTTGGGTCTCGCGTAATGTTGTATCCAGTGACTGAAGAATAGAAATTGAAAATGTGGCAGTTTTGCCTGTGCCTGATTGAGCCTGTGCTATTACATCCCTCCCCTTAACGATAGGTAAAATGCTACGCTGTTGAATGGCTGAGGGCTTTTCGAATCCTGAAAATAATGGTTTAACAATGTAAATGCAATGCCTTATTCCATAAATAATACAGTTATATTTGAGTAATTATTGTGAAATCAACTTACCGTAAGTGTATATCCCTCGTAATAATTCGTCCCGCAATCCCATTGAATCAAACGTTGGAATAACTTCCACATCTTCGCTTGTGTCGAACTCGACATTCGACAAATCTTCTGATATAATTTTACGATTAAACGATACCTCAGAAGCAGTCATCTTAGCTGGAATATTTTTTAAACTGATCAGATATTACAATTATTTTACCTTACCTACTTTGAAAATTAGAAATTAATGGACACGCTACAAACAAAATATACAACATGTAATGAATGACATTAGGGAAACTGAGTGAATGAAATTACTAAGTCATAGATCAGAGACTGGAAATAATGAAAACGAATGAACTATTTTTATAATAAAAAAAAACTAAATTGAATAAACTTTACTTAATTATAGTTCCAATTTTCCATTACTTTACAACCATAAGTAATAAATTTTATTATACAAGTGACATAATAATTTGCATTTACAAAATATTTACTATCATACGAGTTGAAGCTGAAAGAAAGAGTAAGTTAGTAGCATTCCCATTTTCACTATGGTATCTCAAATAATATTTTTCGTTAAAGATAAATATATCAATCAGATATAATAAATCAGATATCAGAAATATTGTTTATTGCCTATATTACTTTATTTAACTGTGAAAGACTAAACAATGAATCAATAACAATCCTAATACAAGTATTTTTCACTTGAACGCAACCAAAGGCGTTTAATTATTTGATTTCGGACTTTACAACTTCAATAACTTTCTAAAAAGTATAGTATAATTGCAGTTTATAGCTAAATTGATATTTCATATCTAATTAATTTTCAAATATTTAAAATATTAAAAATAATAATTTATTGAGAATATAATATTTTTTTTATTTTCTATAATCTTCCATGAAGAATTTTCTATATTTAAACTTGAGTGATATCTAAACGCATTTAACAACGCATTCAGATTTCACAAAAAGAACGATCATATTTGATTTTGAACGAATCAAAATGGATGCTGGGCATTGCTGGGTGTGAATGAACTATGTACTGAAAACGAACACCTTTTATTGAACTGTGTCGTGAGCCCAATTAATATAGAAAATCTGATATCGCCGTACATTTTTTACTTATATAAATAGTGATAAAAGTGCCATTGGAAACGTGATCAATCAGTTTATAGAGCACTGGCTCAATTCAGTAGTCACCGTGTCGATAATGTGTTTATACGAAACTTTTGGTTTGGCATTTAATCCGCAGGTGGCCTTAGGATGAGGCCTGTGACGGAAATATTGAATGTCGATCAAAATCCGCGACTGTTTTACGAGCCACCATTCTCCTTGGTCGGTGCGACATGGCGAGAGTGTACGGACTAAAGTGTTGGTCGTTTGCTGTATGAGCGGTCAGAAATGAAATGCATATACAGGAAGGAACTAACACAACTCTGACAACATGTTCCAAAATGACAGAAGAAGTAGACAGAAGACATGGCGTAAATGGTAACAGTAGTGGCAAGGGTGCTAGTGAAGATGCTGCTGTGCACAATTCTGCTTTCACTGGAACTGGTGGGCGGCTCAAATTCTTCAAAGGTCAGTTGATTAAGGTTCAATATACATATATAACTTATTTATACACCTTTATAAGTTATTTGGTCTGTGAAGTGTAAGAAAAACGAGAAAGTCATTCATGCTCTGATAAGCATACATAAGCATATTTGAGCCATTGCCAATTGTCTGAGTACAGCCTCTGTGCTATTGTTTGTGTTTCGTAAGGAGCTTGTGCACTGCAGTGGAACCAATCATATTTTTAACATTCAGTACTTGTCTTTATTTCCATATTTTTTTATTAGAAATAAACAGATTTTGTGTTTTGTAAATATTTTCATATCACTATTATTAAATTAATTAGAATAGTTGTAATCTTTAACAAAACAGTTTGTTATTTGTAAAAGAACTGGGGATTTATGGCATATAAATTGGATTAAGTGCAATTTAGAATTCTGATTACATATAATTCTCATTGCTATTTGCAGATAAACATTGAAAACCAGATATTGTTTTGTAAACATGTGAAATATTGTATGATATTTCCAAAACAACTTTATTATTACTTATAAAGATGTTTAAGATTATAAATAGGCATGGAAATATAAGTTTAATGTATATGGTTCCTATTATTTATTTTGACTGACTACACTACATTCATAAATGACTGACTACATTTATAACTAAAATGTTTTATATGTTTTTTTATTATATTATAATTAATGTACTTGTAATTATTTGAACTGTCAGATATTTATTTATTATTATAATAGAAAAAATATGTTATACATATTCACATCATTATACTGTGTTTGTGTTTATTAGTAGGGTAAAAATAGTGATAATAATCATAGAATCGTATAATTATAAAAAATATGATTAATGTATCAATCTCATACAATGATAAATGGTTCATATACAAGCATGCAAGACATCATTTAACATAATATCCTATTGTAGGATAACTTTGTGATTTTTTATAACACAGAGGTTACTTGAGGAACAAGAAATTGTTATGTTACACTATTATATAGTATCACTATTATTCTATTCAAGTCTTTAGAAGATGGTTAACACTTTCATCAGATGGGCCATTAAACTGTTTATCATTCCAAGTCATAATAAATACTATTACTGCAGTTTAGATATTAGAATCCTATTTTGTTTTCTTTTAAATTACTTTCTCACAAAGAAAGACATAACACTTTGATAGAATACATTAATTTGAAAGGTGTATTTCTTACATTTTAGTTTTAACAATAAATGGAGACTGTTATTATTGAAGTGGCATCATGACATGTTATAGTATGTAATGATTTAAACAAACTCTTATTCTTTTACAAACAAACAGGTCATTTGTAAATTTGATATTGAATTGATAAGTTGCCATTTACTATTAACTGTTGTAATGTCGCTTAGTATTATTTCTTTAGCAACTAGATATATGGCATTAGAATTCAAAATCTATCTATGTACCGATTTAATTATTAGTTTAGTGATTTTGTGTGAAAAGGAAACAAACATTCATACTCACGAATTTTCTCATCTATAATATAGGTCTTTATTCACAAATCCAATATTGATTTTACTATATAATCTATTGACATTTTACATTTTATTATACTAAGAAGTTATTAAATTTATTACAAAGTTCTTTTTTATTTTTATAATTATAATTTTTGTACTGGTACATAAAATATAGAACAAATGACAGGTTATTAAATAGCATATAATTTTTATAAAGAGGTAATGTATAAGTAATAGAGAAGTATAGGGAGATGTTTGTATGACCTATTTACCAGAGGTACGACTGTAAAACGATTCTGCCTGAGTATATTAGGTAAGCTGTGTTTCTGTTATAGGATGAAATTAGGTAGTGAAATTACAGGATAGGGCATGATATGTTTGTCCTCTGGAGTGCGAATGATTTGGATCATGGGTGTCACATCTTATTGTGATATTTGGAGTGCTGTAAGTAAAAAAAATCAATCACACACACAATATCAAACACTCTGTTTTAAATTTATATAATTAGAACAAAACTGCCAATGAATATCATTGTAGGTCTAATAGTATATTACAAAACAATATAATCATAGTACATGCTTACAGGTGTACCTATTGTAACAAATATATATTAAAAATGACTAACTGGTTAATTTATATGCACATTGAAGTGGTAGTGAGAGGTATACCAGCAAAAGCACTACAGTCTTCTAAAAGATCTTGTGCATAAATCAGTAATAAGGGTTACAAGTTCCAGGAACTGCTATGAATTTCCGTCTCTGCCACATAATGGACCATGCTTCTGCACTGTGAATCAATAGATTGCTAAGAAATTTGTCTCTCTATTTACATGTCATAATGAATACATAAATGTATTACACATATATACATTACATGTGTGGCACTGAATGTATCATAATGTATTTGTAATTTCTACTTTCCAGATGGCAAATTTATCCTGGAGCTGGTTCGGGGATGTGCTCGTGAGGGTGAACGCGCGGGGTGGGTGTCAGTGCCACGCAAGACATTCTGGCCACCGGCTGCCGCGCCGCCTACGCCGCCAGCCGGCGCCCACCCGCCTTCCGCCTCGCTCAGTGTCTCAGACGATAATAGTTCCGTGCAATCCTCGCCGTGGCAGCGTGATCACTGCTGGAAGCAAACTGCTCCACGTAAAAATGTTTCCAAAGAACTGGCTATGTACTATTGCAGGCCTAGTACGCTGCACAATACTGCCATCGATGCAGTTAGTCGCGTCAAAAGAAGGAGACCTTACGACATAAGTCACCTGGATGCACTAGTCAACGGTAGCAACTCTAGGAAGAATTTGAGTAATGGAATATGCAACAAAAAACGGAATGGCGACGTTGGTTCGCCGGAAGCCAAAAGTAAAAGCGAGGATGCAGTTGATGGGGTTGCAGTAAAGCCACGCACGACCTCAGATGATGATCGATGGACAGATTTTGATCGTGAGAAATATTATCATATGAAACTTAAGAAACCGTATCAGTATCGTAAATTAAGAGCGTATAAAAAGACTAGACCGCTTATACGGCGTAAACTGCTCACACGAATAGTCGATAAACTACGCGAGAAGATTGCGTCACTTCCGGCACCAGTTAATGTAAAGTTAGCGAACTGTCGACAGGAGCATATGATGGTCTCTCCGAGAAAACGAATTCTTAGAGAATTGGAGAGAGTCAGTCTGGAAGATCAAGGAACGAAACGGCGGGCTAAGACCGTACCTGCATTGAGCACTGCATCATACCCTCCTTCGCCGGGGCCCAGCCATACGTCGCATAAACCACCAGTGGAGTCGCCAGCACGCTCCCACAATGGTACGGTATCGCGACGCGAAACCCCTGTTTCGAAGAATGTCAGTAGTTACAGCATACATTCGTTGCTTAGTATGCCAGATGAGAGTCCGACACGGCGATCACCCGAGGCGAAACGATCGCCACACTCCTATCCGCCGTCATTAAAGACAGAGTCGCCATCGAGCGTTAACTCCCCAGATTTGAGCCCGAGCCCTGACAACTACCGGTATCGGTATTCAGCTTTGGTCGGATCGCCCGGACAGGGGCCGATGTCTCGCGATTCACCAACACCGCCGCCTCCAGAATTGGCACGATTTCGGGGGTCGTATGCCGCTCCAACGTCCCCATACGGGAGCGCGGCAAGTACGAGTTCAAGTTCGCGGCAGTGGGGAGGAGTGGGAGTGGGCCCAAGCGGGCCTTACCGTGGCGGTGCGCGCGACGACTGGCGCGAGATGGGCTACGTCTACCCGTACGGCTACGTGCCACCACTGTACCGGCCGCTGTGGGTGCACTACCCGATGTCGCCAGCGGTGCCTCCGGGTCCATGGGCGCCGCAGCCACACCCGCTCCTTACTAACCACATACCTAAGGATGAGCCCACTTCAGGTTAGTTGAGATTTTATGTATTTTGTTCACTCAATTTATTATTTTAATTACCTTAAGGATGGCTTATGCTTTTTATATTAGCCATTCATCTCTTTAATTATAGAAATGTCTTGTTTATTATCTTTGTCACTATAAAGATAAAGACATTACAGGTTAATTTTATTAATAAAATATATTTCTACATAGCTTTTCATAGATACATATATTGACAGTGTTGTATTATGAGATTGTGAGTATCAGATGACATGTATTATTCCTTGTCAAGGAGGTTTCTATTTTCTATTATTACTATTTCTACAATTACTTCTGTTAACGCTTGTATTTATTACTAGCTGTACTCGCGACTTCGTCCCCGTGGAAGTTAACTTTATTTTTATTTTAATAAAAAAATATCTAAAATAAAAGTAACCTAAGTTACTCCTTATTACATCAGCTACCTGACAATAAAAACCCCATCGAAATCGGTCCAACCATTTCAGAGATCAGCCGGAACAAACAGACAGACAGACAAAACTTGTAAAAAATGTTATGTTATGTTTCAATACTACAAACAGTCCATTTTTATTTATATGTATAGATATATAATACACTACTGTAATAGCTTTATAAAGATGAATAAATTTTAACATTTCAGATTTGCCACTGAACTTGTCGAAGCATTGAAGAAGAGGCCGAGATTGGCGCAAATCTGACACGTGAGACTGAGCACACAAACAAAGATTGTTCTTTATTAATGAGTTTGATCTACTTTGCTGGACAAGCGAATGAGATTCCATACACGAACTACAAATTATATTTTGTAGCCGTAATTTTTGAAGGGTGATCAAAGATTTAGAGTAATGCAATATAATATTAAATTATTAATATACATAACAAATTTTGGCGAACAAGTTCGAACAGTAAACTTGTGGTGTCATGCTAAAATGTCTTATTAACATTCCATTGTCATTGTCACTAAACGATTGGCGCGTGTAGAAGTCCAAAAATTACATCCCACCTAACCCATATTTATCGTAGTTATACGATCTAAATGTACTGTGACAAATGTCTCTATTGCAAACGAGCAAAAAATATTTTTGTATAAATTGTGGTTTTCGGACGACTGTTCGTTCGATAATCTATTTACAAATTAATGTATATTACACTGAGAAGTTATATTTTAGTATAGATGTATGTATGCAGAGTCTTGTGTGTATTTTCATACGACATATTTGTACTGCTGAAATATTTTAATATTGGCTATTACTTTAGGATAAGAGATTAAGACAATCTAAATACAAAAATAAACAGTTTATCAATTGTTAATAATCAGTGCCTTGAGAGAAATAAAGATATTATAAACATATTTATGATCTAAAATATAATCATAAAGGAATTCGTGGGTTCGTCCAAATTTACTAAAATAGTTCATAATTTGTGTAGCTAGTGCTCTACTCTTTATGCAATATTACTATTATATTTAAAATCGAACCTGTTCCTTACTCATTTGCAAAATTCCATATTGTTTATGTTCGATCTCATTATTTAATTTAGAAAATAAAAACGAGATAAAGACTACAGTTTTGGGATCAAATTTGGATGTGTGTTTACGTAACATGTATATTAAAATAAGTGACATTGTATATAATTTGTGAATGGTGTATTATTGATGGAGGCGCGGCGTAGTTTTTATCAGAGCAATTAATCGCTTACGATATATCAGTAAGAATTTATTACCTTCAAATAATAATTATTGTAATTGTACAGTATTTTTGTAATGAGTATTTTATTACATAGGGAGACGGAGGGTGATATATATAGTAGGTTTTGTGAAGCCAACGCGCGATGTAAAGTGCTTTAGGCAACGTGTGTGATCGCGGGCGGAGTGTGAGTTACGCCGTCGCTTGACGTTGCCTCGCGTCACGTCGCGTAACGCCACTGCAGAGGATAACTAAAAACAATTATATTGTTCTTAGATGGATAACGTCCATATTCATGGATACTGGAATATTTTAGCCGTTACATAGTAATACAATAATTATAAACAATGCTGTGTAACAGTGACATCGTTTTGATCTGTGGTGGGGTGAAGGTAATTGTATTTTTTCCTTATACTTCACGTATTTGTTTGTAATGTCTAATACACTTTCCAGATTGAGCTACTGTTTAAATTATGTATGTAGTCCTGTGTGGTGCCACTTCGCTTTGCTACGCACATACGTTCCTTAAGGACCTCGTATAGGCTTTGAGATTAAATCATAGAGGTAGTTTACTGCAATTTAGTTGAAGTATGGGGTTATGTATTATAAGGAAAGTTAAACGATGGTAAGGGACTGACTTCTGATGTAATATTATCATTAATGGAATTGTATAAAATAGTTGAGTAATCGGAGGCCTACTGTAACAATCTGTCTGCCAACAAAGTTGACTTAGTGTAAAGTGTAGCTGTAATAGATGATGCTCAATTTAATTCTGAGTACAGTTAGATAACAACAATATTCCAATGTTGTAATGTTTTCGGGAGGGAACCTTATTTATTAATTTGCATATTATTTTTACTTCCTACGAAGCATATACAATTTTTTTAATTTGTAATAGATTGTGTAAATTGCGTTAGCTTTAAAGTATTTTTCAAAAATACTGTAAACATGCTAATCAAGAATCTGAGTAAATGTCAATGTATTTTTCAATACTTTATATAATATATATTATACCATTAATTATACTATATATATATAACATAATTTCATTCCGGTTTTCTTTCAATAATAATTCCATGCAAAGAATTGTTAAAGTTAAATGTTAAAAACTTGTGAACTGGCCAAATGTTTACAGTATCTTTACTGCAGTTGATAATGGTCTCAAGTTTGGAAGTAATATTATTATTTAAGTCGCATTCATTAAATATAAAATTTAATTTAACTGTATTAAAATGCTTGATATCTATTCAGATTCCAATATCGTATTCATCTTTGTTATTTAATATTTTATTTTTATTATAACGATGAAATATTTCTTGTTTATGCTTCGGGATTTCTTATATTTTAATAAATTAATAGATGATAGAAGTACTAAGTGTATAAAGCAAAGGCCCAGTATTTGTGTTGGGCCTTAGTCGTTGCATATATTAATTATGTTGTTTAATTGGAGAATAAGTATAGTAACTGCAATCTCCTAGTACGACTCTTTACGTAAGAGGCGAAACGTCCACCAAAACGGTAGTATCTGAATCATAGAAAAATATCAGTAACAGAAATAATACTTTTATTATCATATGTACTGTATATGGCAAGATTTTTCCGCAAATGCGTGTAACTATGTATTACATGTATAACTGAGGAATCTCAGTACTCCATTAGCCATACACCATGACGCTTATCGATGCTTTGGCGGCTGTCTTGCCTCTACGATTCAAGTACATTACAGTGCCATTAGTATTTTTCTACGAGGGTTTGTTATACCATATAAAATAAGCATCATTGTTATATACAAATTTTTATATAGTGACGTATATCAGTAAAATGATTTGTAATCTAGTACAAGATTGAGAGATCACTTATTTTTTCACCTGTTTTTGCCTTGTAAATATATATAATAGAAGCAATATATTTGATATTGTAGCAACCCTCAGTATATTTGTTTCGACTGTAGTGAGTTGGAGTGATGCACTAATATTGATCAAATATTTCACCTTACATATACAGTTGAACAAAACGTGTTTCAATTTAATGTTATTTTAGGAATACATATCTAACTCGGGTTCCTCTCAGCAACAACGTTGTTTTACTGTTGTTAAAGAAATATATTTTCCTATGCAATTACCACACGTCGAAGCATGTGATAGAGCTTTCGATTGAAATGAGACGCGACGTAAGTGTCTTAAAATCAACTTAAAACATATTTCATTTGGAAAATAGTTATTATTCAATTAAAATAAGATGTAGTTATGTACTCGAATAAATATAACTTTTTCAAATGTTCTTTTTTTTAGTATTTATAAAATTTATCACGGACTTCCCTACCTTTCAGTTTTTTCCTTCGGAATTGGATCATCTTTTAATTTAATAACAATAATAACCCAAGATAATCCACATAGCGCCATCTAGTCTTAAGCCTGGCTGAGCTTTTGGTACAGGTAGCTGACAACTGATATAATGACTTAGATTTTTTTGTGATTGCATACATAATATACATTACATAACATAGAAAATAAACCAAGAGACCTACGACGCTGTCGAAATAATTTTTATATAAGGTAACAGGGTTGACAAATATTAAAAAATAATATCGTAATTACAGTACGTCTACAACTATGTAATAAACCCATGACATTAAGTCATCAAACAGAAGAGAACAGTTATTTTAGTTTAAACCTTTAAATCACGATGGTGCTCTTGGGTAGACAGAGATGTATATATATTTTATGATAGCAAGCACTCATTGTGCTATATACATATGTTGATTTGTTTTGATGTCTGTGAATATTTTATAATTTTCACGTACTATAAATAACAAATTTTGATGACACGAATATAAATTTTTTATCGCCTAGTAAACGTGAACATTTTTATTCAGTGTTTGTTATAGATCTTCAAACAAAAAAACATTCCATACAAGGTGTAATAGGTGAACACAGGAAAAATCAAACCAAACAATATTTCAATTTGTGCTTTATTTATGAAAAAAATTGTAAATTATCCTACAATGAATCTCCGAATGAAATAGACTTACATATCGTTTTATGTATCAAATACATTATTTTGCTCGACGCCAGATCAAACCACATAAGAACAATATAGTTTAAAATATTATCTACAGAATCCATTCTCGGCGATTCGATTACCAAAAATACAATCTTCGTTTAATCTTTACCGTCTCGCGATCGGCCGGGCGGCGGCGGTGGCGGCGCGGCGAGAGATTATTTACATCACGAATATACAACAGAGCGTTCGGCGCGGGCGGCTCGTGCGGCACCGGCGCGGGCTCAGCCGAGCAGCGCCTCCATGGTGTAGGGGTGCGGCGGGGGCGGCGGGGGCGGCGGGCGCGGCGGCTCCTGTCAGTCGAGGATCACCAGCTGCAGCGGCGGCGCCGCGCCCGCGCCCGCGCCCGCGCCCGCGGCCTTGCCGCCCGCGGCCGCGCCCGTCGTCGCCGCGGACGGCGCCGCGGGCTGCCCGCGCATCGCTCGCCACGGGGCCCGCGCGCCGCGTCTCAGCTCGCCGCAGCTCAGCGTTCGCCGGGCCGACCTGAGATACCATCCATCGATATTAGAACCACATCACGTAATAGCTTATTAATATTATGAACGCGAAAGTTTGTGACTATGGATGGATGTTAGTCTTTCACGCAAAAACTACTGAACGGATTTTAATGGCATTGTACGGTAAATGGTAATACAGTTTATACATCAGAATAACACAGGCTATAATTTAAAAAGATGTTATGTAAATTGTGCGAAATATAAATGTCAAGTAACTGTAAGTGCAGACGGATTGCGCGGGTCAGCTAGCATTTTATATAAAATTCTCGTGTTAGAATGTTAGTTACCAAACTCCTGCGAAACGGCATGACCGATTTTTATGAATTTTTAAATGGCAAAACAATGTTTGTGGGGTCAGCTAGTAATGAATAAACATTAGCCAGTAGGCATAGTATTCTTCAAAGAAATTATTTTATTCGGTCACTCAATACCTTGGGCTACTATGTGGCACATTCACAATATTATGGAGCTGGCACCATAGTTCAGCATGCCGTAAGGATTACGCAGTGTCGATTTTATAGTGTAGCGTAGTCGTAGCATGTAATCTATTGCTTGCCAGTACAGCGTGCACCAATTGCTTTTTTGTGCCAGTGCTGTGCTAATGGTGAAATTCAATGTATGTATGGTAATGTCCTTATGTAAAAGAGCTAATGGTACTTACTTGGCGGTTTCTGTGGCTCTAAAATAGAGGTCATCCGGGGCGTCCATCCACGATATGACATGGCGGCGCCCACCGCGGCCGGTTATATTTGTTGGTTTGCCGTTCACCTGTAATTTTTCTTCTAATAAATTTCAATGGCCTTCCAAAATTAACACACAATAACGTTTAAATACAATTAATATGATTATCAGATCATCATACAAATTTTAGTCCTAAAATTTTCCTTTAAACTAAACATAGAACAGTTATAAACTTGTATATAGGCGACAGCCGCCACGTACCATCAGATGGCCCGTCAGCTTTTTGCCGTTAGAATTATATTAAACGTAGAGTGCCGAGAAGTGTGATAGCGCTCCCAAAATCAGCTGTCGTAGCCCCCCGCAGAGAAGTATTGATTAGAATCGTACAAGTTTTTGAATAGACAAAGCTTTTTTTCAGGAAATGCTGTATGACATCAAAATCCACTACTTGCTTGTCATTTTCAGTCACACATGAGTAAGACTCGGATCGGTTAAACAAGGCTAGTGCGTGCGGTGTGCAGACGTACGTGTGCGAAGACGTGCGCGGGCAGCGGCTGCCCCGTGGCCTGCGCGCGCGCGCACATGGCGGCGTACTGCTCGCGCGAGGGCCGCTGCATGGGCGCGGGGTGCTTGTTGGGCCGCTTGGCCGGCGGCGGCGCGGGCACCGCCTCGCGCGGACCTCCCACTCCTGCCACACACCAACCTCCACATCACACTACCGTTTATAATCGGCCGGAAATCTTTAGTACTAAAGGGCGGCCTCGGCAGTCTTCCGATGGTCGCGGGATCGATTTCTCGCACTGTGCGAACGTTCGTATTCTTGAGTGTGATTGTTTGCATCGGTCTAGGTATTTTCTATGTTTATGTATGTATTTATAAAAAAAAATCTTAAGTGTTATCCCAGTTGTCTAGTACACACCCCACAGGGAAAATGCAGACCTCTCGCGTCGGAGCAAAGGGGATTGGTTAATAACGTGGACTGATGAACCTATTGCTAGCAAATTAACATTCCAGGTTGACGTCTATCCTTGGAAACCATCATGACAAATTCGGGGTATATTGGTCATGATGGGTTAACTGACCTGACCTCATGTTCATCTTATCATCCTCCACTGGTGCGCCACCACCGTAAACTGTTAGCGCAGGCGGGTGCAATATTCCAAATTAAAGTGTTCATTTATGGAAACTTCGTTTTAGTACTTAAAATAGATACATTACTATATTGATAGAAAATACAAACCCGTTGCTACAATCCAAGAGAAGCCAGAAGAAAACAAACAAGTTTAACATTAGATCCTTGGTCATGTTCCTCTATTCAACTATATATATAGTAATACCATTTACTGCACAAGTTACTTTATGGATTTGTATTATTTTGTTTGATTTTACTACCATTAGCATGTGTTATATCATAAATATTCAGTGTGAAATCCTGACTACTTTTTTATTCACTCTTCGCGCGTGTTTTAGCGACTACGTATCATGACTGTTAAATTTTTAGGTTTTATTTCATATATTTTATTTTCCAGAGTTTAAAATATATATTTTTTTAATAAGATATTATAATTATTTTTATTTCATAGTAAGATATCAGCCATTTTCAACTGAAAATTAATTATAAACATAAAGCACGATTGGAAAACGTGCATATACGCGAGCTGGTGCGTTCTTTCTCGTTTCTTTGTCTACATGCACCCTCTATCCTGCGTGATAGCCTATTCACGGATGTAAGAGCGTAAGTGTAAAGGAATCTATTAATCAGAGTGGTGGTGTAGTGTTGGTATCATTATTGCGTGCGTGTACGTACTGTCGAGTCCGTTGATGTCGTCGTACGCTCGTCGTTTGAGCGGCGGCGCGGCTGCGGGTGCGGGCGCCGTCTCCGCACGTCGCGCTTCCAACTCTCCGCGCGACACCACGCGCTCGTACATCAGGCTGCCGTCTTCACATACAACCCACACACACAGTTAGCGCAACACGCAAACATTATTATATTATAAAGATTTTAAGTAAGTAATACGAGAGTTGAGATTGTATATTAACGGAAGAAAGTGAACTGACCAAATAGACATTAAAATATTGCTGAAGAATAATAGTTAAATGTAAGGAGGGGTGATACAATTTTTGCAGTGTTTAGTAGACAATATTTATATTTGTCTTACTGGCTGTAATTAAACGAATTGTTTTATATACTGACAAGTGTTCGTCTTCGAGACTTGCAAACAAGCTTTTCGTCTGCTTAATGTAAAATAGTACCCATAAACAAAAAGTCATGTGATGTCTGTTGTAACCCTCGGGAACTGGACTAAAGGGTCACCCTGTAATTTTATTGATTTATCATACCCTTCAAACAACATAACTAAGTGGTAAAACAGAGGTCACCCAACGGTTGAATAAATGACTTGGTACAGTCTAGCAATACGTATAACTACAGCACTTGGGAGGGACAGTCTATATACTGAGCGTCAGCTATTGCTAATAATGTACCATATTAGATTGACCTCCACACAATTTGAAAAACCATCTGAAAACCAGCCTAATAAATTCTTAGTGATATTGTCAAGTCGGGCAAACTGACTCGAACTCATTCTCATTTTATCATCCTCCACTAATATCATTTTAGCGTAAACCATTAGCACAAGCACACAACACATCATGATTGTAAAAACTATAGCACAATTTTTTTTTATTTATGAGCATACAAAACAGATTACAATCAATACAATAATATAATTAGGAGCGTGTAGTTCGATACAAAACTGAATTGTAAATCAAAACTATGTATGCCCAAAAGCTAAATTATATAGACGCATTCAATATACGCTAGATAAGGTTATATAATGAGTAACTAATGATATATAAAGAGTGGAGAAGTATCGACCTGGCGCCTTGGGTGGTTTGGGGAAGGCGACGTGCGCGGGCGCCGGCATGCGGTCCTTGGGCGTGAGCAGCAGCCAGTCGTGCGCGCGCGCCGACACGGCGGGGGCCGCGCCGCGCGCCGCCGCCAGCCGCGTGGCCACCGCGCCCACCGCGCCGCGCGCCCGCGCCGTGCCGCCGCCGCCCCCGCCCGCGCCCGCGCCCCCGCCCGCGCGCATCTCCGCGCCGCCCCCGCCAGCCATCGCCATCGAACCTGCACACGCACACGCCTCGTCAACTACCGTCTTCTTATCGCTTTATTAAATTACAATAGCCAGTTTACTTTTTTAAACTATCCAATTTCAATTGCTTATTCTACCCGTAGTATTTCAAGTAAAAATAATTTTAATTTATATAATTAAAAAGATTGGAATAAAACATACATTAAATTGTAAGCGATGTTTAACACAAAACATTTGTAAATTACATACAAATCGGCGAAATGAAATGAATTTTTATTTGCATAAAACAGTTTGATTATGGTAATACCGTTGCTAAAAGATTAGCATTCTCAAACCCACAAATAAACAGGCAAAATTGAGAACAATCAATGTTCCATTACGTTGATATTTATCACCTATAATTTTTGTTATGCATAGTCCATATACCGATATATGCTACGTGGAAAAGATTGCAGTGTAGCAATACTCAATTATAATATAATTGCATATCTTAAACTAATTTTTTTCATTTCAGTCAATACAACCGGAAGCCATCTATCAAATGACATATAAAATTCAACACAACATTAAGTACAACCACGATAGTCTCTCCAGTGTCTACGATACAGGCCTGCGAGCCTAGTGTATATAAATGGTGTATTAATAAATTATTAAGAGCGTCAATATATAATGTGTAGGTACTCACACTCGTGTTTGACTTGCGCGAGATTTATGGGCGAAAACGGCGAGCGAGCGTAGTGTCGCGGACGGCGGAGCGCGCGCGACAAACGGCGCGCGAGGCGCGTGAACGGAGACGCGCGCAGGTAGAACGCGGCGCGCGTCTTCATCACCGGCCGCGCGCCCTCGCCGCTGCCGTGCGCCGTCGCGACGTGTCGCGCCAGGTGCGCGCGCAGCTTGAACTCCTGCGCAACCAGTCGGGACTACGTGTACAGGCTTTATACGCTTACAAAATTCAATCGGGAAACTGCAATTGGTATTAGACTGTCAGACCGGTCGTTTCATGGAGGGTGAGTTCTGGGTTTTAACTATGTATGGTGATAATTACATTCATCTAGTGATGACGATTTAATAGCAAGGTAAAGATTGCGCTTTTTACAATTCATCTTACGATATTTACGCCTTTTTACAGAAAAAAACTTTATAAAAAAATTATAAGGTACATAGAACTATTCAAATACTGTACACCTAGTTAATCTATTGTACTAGTATGTACGCTGGGTAATATGCATTATATGGAGGGAGCTGGTTACCTAATTTTGACGACAAACTCTGGATTTGCAGGGGACTAATTATTACAATAATCATAAGTCATCTCTAATTTTATTAAAAAAATAACACCTAATTCACTGACAATGTAGCTGTTTATACGTAAAAAACTTACAAATATTTGTTAAGTTAAGAAACAAAAAAAAATCAAATATTTCCTCTTTCTAATATTAATTATGTGCCTTAATTTCAAGTCGTTAATAGCAGGGTACACGAAATGTAATAGCAAATATTGGTTCTCACTATATTTTCTCTAATTATAATATAAAACTTGAATATGTATTTCTAACTTGGTGTAGGTTAGAAATACATATTCAAAAGGAAGAGGAGATTCTCAATTTGTATTTATTTAATTTTTTAATGTTTGTTATTTCATAACTCCGTCATTTATAAATAAATTTGAGAAAAATCTTTCTTATTTGAAAGACTATACTTTCAGATTCATATTGGTGCCATTATTCTTTGAGTGTTTAAAGTTGGTTTTTTAAGAATATTAATGTAATCATGTACCAGCTCATTTGAAAAGAATAAGCGCTGAGTTTCTTGTCAGTTCTTAACTCGATAGCACTATGAACTGTTGATATATTTGATATACCATAACTCTGTAATAGACCTATATTAAGAAAGATATTTTGACAGTACCTTCGCGCAGTTGAGTACGGTGCAGCGATGGGGACGGTGCGATACGGAGAGTGCAGCGTCTTCGCCCTCCCCGCGCGGACCCTTCGCCGCTTCCACATCGCTCTCGCCGAACACTGTCGCCGTCTGGAAAACAATCAAGTTTTAGAAGACTAGAAATAAACCTCGTGTAAATAAATTTCACTGTCACTGTGAATGAAACAATGATTCCAACACATTCAGAGTGTAGATTCAGTTAAGAAAAATGGACAAGAAACTTGGCTGTTGCTTTCGAAAAAAGTCATAAAACTTTACTTATTTTGATTTTGTGTATATACAAACTATCCGATATGCATGTCATAAAATTTCGCAAAGACATTATTAGATACTAAATATTAAATACTTAAGGAACTCGTTTAAATTAATGGGAAACAAATCTATTTAATATTACTAAGAGAAACTATATTCGGTGGTTAATTGTATTACTGATATTGATTTATAATTATAATTTTGATTTCAAATAAATATTGACAATAATTGAGATAAACTCACCTTAAGTCCACCATATTTCTTCCAATAATTCCAGCATGAGCCACACAATCTGTATTGTAAATGTTCTGGACCCCATGCATACCACTGGTTTGCATTTGTCACTAAAAACAAACAATTCAAATTGTTAATAACGAAAAAAATCAATTCTGATTAAAAGTCACGTTTAGAAGAATCCAGAGATATCTCTAAGAGGTAAACTTAGCCTGATAGGTTGTTTAAAAAGGTTGATTTCAAACCTCAGAGACGAAACTCAATAGGAATAATCTCCAATCATAATAATCTTATATATAAAATTCTCGTGACACTTATATATATATTATATGCATATTTAGTAGATCTCAGAATTGGCTGTCTGATCTCAGAATTACTGTCTATTTTTCATACCCCTAAGTGATAAGGGTTGTCCACCCCTAATATTCATTTTTTATTTTTTTATAATTGAAAATAATTACAACCCAAAACTTTCACCCTCCTACCATTAATCCGGCATCATCATCATCATCAAACAGCTTGACCAAATTTTATGAAATTTTATATGCATATTCAGTAGGTCTCAGAATCCGCTACTATCTATTTTTCATACGTCAGAGTAATAGGATTGTTCACCACTAAATTATTTTTAGCACTAAACTGCCAGTTACTTTTGTTTGTGCAAACCTTTGTTCTATGAAGATATCTATGAAGAATAGAATAGAATAGAATTCTTTGTTGAATATTTGATATGAATATTTCGCATGGTGCGGTGGTTAATACCTTGACATGAGGCGCAGAGTTGCGCTGCGGCCATGGCGGCGGTACCGTTGGTGCCGCCATTGAGCACCGCACCGGCCTTGCCTCCACCAGTGTTGCTGTTACTTGTGATTAACGCCTGATTTGGCTTGTTACTGTAAAGTTAAAGAAATGAAAATTGAGAGATATAATAAAACTTCTTAATATTATAAACGCGGAAGTTTGTGAGTATGGATGGATGACTGTTACTCTTTCATGCAAAAATTACCGAAATGATTTCGTGAAACTTTACAATAATATCACTTATATCAGCAGAGTAATACATGGCTATAAATTTCACGCGGCTGAAACCGGCATCAGAGCTAGTATGTAAATAAACTCACTGAGTTATATTTAGTACTAAACAACTGATAGAAATATAAATTAAGTAGTGACGATGCACAAGTGTTTGGATTAGTATCCATGTTGTCCTCTTTTATAATTATTGATTCTCATTTTCCAGTTATCAGGGTGGTTCATGATGCCTGTTTGCCTATTCTGGTAATGAGATTATTTCAGCTTGCTATGAATAAAAACTTCAGTGACTATGTTGAAACGATGTCTATTATTGTAAATGTCAATATATATAGATACAATAATAATTTGACTATAAAAAATGTTTAAAAAACATAACTTTTTAAGAAGCAAACTTAATAATTTCAAAGAAATTTGTAGATAGTTCAATCTACTAAGACATGACACTTTTTATCACAATATATCTATCATGAACTTTATTCTAAATAGTGTCATAACGAAAGTTAATCCTATTATAGACTGAACCCTCTATACAGTAATTAAAATCAAAGGTAAAACGGGCATAACATAAAAATAACTATAGATGATGTTATGATTGGTACAAACACTCACTAGTTGGGAATGTACACTTGTTTCAGCTTGGACTCCGCTTCGACCGCCTTGACGCGCTTCTGTTGCACGTAGCGGTCTGTCGTCTTCCACATGTAGTAGTACTCCACGAGGTTCTTTAGCGTCTTCCATGGCAACTGTTGAACATATGGGATATGTTAATTATACAAGATATTATCAACGATATATTTAATCAAAATATGTCATATTGAAATATTTTAAAAATAACACGGGTCTAAATATAAGGCTTAATCCGATTCTCTGACATAATAATAGTTCGAATAGCATTCAATAGAATATAACAAGGAACTTTCTTTAACCACCTAATTACGCTACGACTTGGCGAAACGCCTACTCGATGGAAACTGGTAATGGTAATATAATGAACACTCTTGGTTCCTATCAGGACTGCTCGTGCATTGTCAATTCTAGAGATTAAATATAGTACTTTTATACTCTGTAATTTCACTGCCTTATCCAGTTTCTCAGACCAGAATACTGCTTGCAAAGCTGTATTTCAATTCAAATTGAAATAAATAAGAGACAGGTAACCTTGCAGATGAGTACACTGAGTCAGTTACTGCTAGTACCTGAGTTTAAAGTGATAGGAAGGATATTGTTTCGTATAATAATATCGAATTCATATACTCACAAAGTCCTGCCGTATGTCGGCAAAATCCTTGCCGTATTTATCGAGTGCTTCCTCGAAAAGGTTGGCTTCGGAGGCGGACCACTCTTCCATCTCATCTCGGCAAAGAACTGGCCCCGATGCGGGCACCAGCGATGACAGTGCCGACTCTATGCTGTATCCGGACTTGTGTAGTGTGTCCATTGCGTGGAACTGTAATTATATATTAGTATTTAAGAAAAAGACAACATTAATGTACATTAAAATACGCATATATATATGTAAGTGCATGTAAGGGCTACTGCGTTGTAGGCGCGTTGAGGCCACATGGTTTACAAAAAGCAAGAGTTCTTTTTTGTGTGATTTCAACGATGTCTCAAAGCGTATCGCTTTCGAGATATATCATAGCTAAAATGTTACATTTTGTCATACATTCCGTGATCGCACCTGTCAAACTGCACTACAAAAAATACCTGATCCCTATGATCTGGATGTTATCTTTTTAAACAGGAACATATTACAAGTATTATTATATCAACATTATCTATCACTGATATATTTTTTAATTTTTCTGGTTAGGTAACAAAAATATTGACTGTCTTTAACCTTCAAATAAAGATTAGAACGACAAATTTTGTCGTTTCTACTACTTTTACTAACATCGATACAGAAAATAGAAAGTTATCGTGCATTAATCTTCACTCATTATAAAACAGAATTACTAAAATACTTTTTAATGAAGAGGGTACGTAATTCTATACCAATTATATGAAAATGCAGTTGATTTAAATAATTTAAAATTATATAAGGAAAACTTATAATATATAAAAAAAATACTGAAGAATTCGTAAAGAATACTAACAAGTGTGATATCGCGGCTGGCGGCGGCGGCGGACATATGCAACGAGGGCTGTTTAACACTGGAGGAGCAATCGAGTGCGCGCGCGAACGTGCCCACCGAACGGGATACCACTAGGAATTGGTCGATTTGTCGGTCTGTCAGACCATGTTCTGGCGTCCACACTAGTGTTTCTAAATCTTCACTGTTGCGCGGATCGTCCTCGCCTGGAACAATCAGTCGATTATTTTAATTAACTATTACGAGTACACAGCATCCAAATTGGAGATATATTATTATAATAGTTACAATGGCTTAATTAAATGCTTATAATTGAAGTCTAAAATAACAACATAGTTTTCTATTTTTTTTTAGACTGTATGACGTGACACGTGTATTTAATCCAGCAGGTGTTTAGTATAAAATTGTTTTTAGAGTTTTTATGATAACAATTTAACAAAGAAACACATCATTTTCCTTCTATTGGAGTAATTAATTTTCTTTCTATGGATTCTTCTTCCGACAGGTAAGATAATAAAACTTGAATTTTTAATTTATTAAATGAAATCAGAATGCTTTTGATAAAGTTGAATAAATATCTCTATTTGTGAAGTACGTACCTTCTTTTAATAAATTAGTTACTTCAGTCTGATATCTACTTCCGACTCTGATTTCTCCCTTATCTGCTAATAAAGTCTTTTGTGAAGGATCAAATACTAAACAATAAAAAAATGCGTCCTGAAACAAAAGAGAAGTCAATATTATATTACATTAATATATGAGTTTCCTGACATTATAGACTAAATGGTGACTTTAGAAATAGTCCTAATTAAATCATATTTAATTTTAGTATAAATCTCAATAAACTTAACTTATAATAGTACCTCTATATTTATTACATTTAGTCATATAAAATTTCATGAAACTAAGAAATAAGTTATTATAAATCTCCCTACAACTACTCCATAATCGTGAATACAATTCAAATGTAATTGTTTAACAGGAAACAGGAAACGCCGTCATGACGAAGAGATATCACTTACAAAAGATTTTCGCTTTATTGGAATCTACGCCAATAATGACTAATATGATTGACGACAGATATTATTAACATATATACAAGCTATTAGTCGTAATTTCGAAGTTTTTTTTAGATAAAAGATACCCCATTCCTAATGGCACGATCTATCGTCTTAGCTAATCATTAAGATCCCTTCAGCCGTTTAATCGAAAAGGTAATAAACAGACTGACTGACACAATTTCGAATTTACAATATTAGTAAATAGTATAGAAGTAAGATAATACAGATAAATAATTGATATATTGACTTAGGTCATGTCTTTATTCGCTGTTTCTGGGAACTCTTGGTTCGTCTATTACAAACAGGAGATCTACTTGTACCTGAACATGATAAGTCAGGTAAGGTTCGATTCTGTATAACTAATCTGTTTTATCAATCTTATATATATAAATATAGATACGTGATTCTCTTTCTAATCTGTAAGGGTCCATGTAAGAAGTTCCAAGTTGGACCTAAAACGTATCTAGGCCACTGACTACCCTACTTGTGTTAACAGTTGTGAAGGTATATCAATATTAAAAAATGAAGCTTTTGGTCTTTGACACCTGGTTGATTTCACGATTCGACGATTTAATTCCCTATATATACAGAAGTCTCAAAGAGAAGATTATATTGTAATTTTTATTGTCTTCATTCAGTTAAAATTTTAGTAACATTTTATTTTTGCGTTTATCTGTTTCTACGTGAACGAAATTAGTCGATTTAACATATAAATGTGGTAGTGATGTACGGTTTGCTGTATAATGAATAGATAAATACGTAATGTACGATCTTCTAAATATATAATTGATTATATAATTTACATTATTTCGTTATGTGATTTTTCGAATTGTGTTTATTACACTTGAAAGCTTTTTCATAGTATTGATTAAATTAGCATGTGATTGCAACCAACAGGATAGAAAGTGGTAATCGTGATTTTGTGTTGATAATGTAAATTGTATTCTTCAACACGAGTGATTAAAATGTTTGTTAACCAGATATAATAGTCAGAGACTGTATTTAAGTGCGAACATGCTCTTATTTCCCCGATCGTATTGAAAAATTCAAATTGAATAAGTTTGCTTGATGAAGTTTTTAAATAAAAAAAACTAGTCATAAATTGCTTGAGATATTTGGTGCAACATACTTTAATCTAACTTAGGAATTCATAAAAGGGTCGGGTAACAATTACACCACGCCGTTCTAATCATACTATCATTCTAAGCAGTTTAAAAACAAAAACAAAAATCAGTTGCGCCCTCATCCGGTACATACTCACATCCTTATTGAGATAGCTGAGCAGTGACTCCGTCTCGTTGAGTAGCGTGACGGTGCACTTGCCGCGTATGTGCGTCGCCGGCAACGTTTCCACGTGCCGCGACAGGAACAGCTCGCGGTGTTTCGCCTGGTGCCGCTGCTTCGGCGCCAGGCCGTCCGTGCCTGGCAGTTCGGTAGATTCCTCCTCCATCGCCACTGGAATATAACAAACGAATTGGTTAAGTTAATTAACTTATAAGTCAGTAACGACGACGGTTAATAGTTAGATACGATTGGTCTTTAAAATATTATGATATAATAATTAATAAATAAAAGGAAAATATACAGAGCCCAATGAAATCGTTACTGTATTTAGAATTCGATTCATTAAATATTTAAGGTTTCCTTTCAAATCATTAAAAAAAATCAAATATGAATAGGTATCAGCTCTGACGTTGACAGTGAGAATGCAGTGTGTATTCTCTATAAATAAAATTTATTTATTATAGAATTATTCTAAAAAGGCTGTCTTTCTGATTTGTTAACCATACTGTGTGTACTGTGATTACATTATTTGGACTCTCTCTCTCTCTAACTAAACTAGCTCTTCTATAAATTAGCTTTTAGCTAAATACCTTGAGGAACGAAGAAAATGTCTTCCAATCAAATGTACGTAATACAACACATATTAATTAATACAAGATATGAATGTCAGTTATGCGTTGTGTTTGCGTGTTTTAAACAGTTTTAAATATACCGACGCTAAACCATAACATAACTTATGGAAGCTGTACCTTTTATGGGTAGGTTGTTAACTCATAATTTACAATCGTAAAAAGCAGACGAATTGTTACATTATACAAAAAGAAAAATACAGTTCACCGTAATGGCAAAATGGCGGCTAAAATCTCAGTGAAGCATTCCATTATGTGCGTGCTACATTATTTTATTAAACGTGTGACACAATGTCACAAAACGTCTAGCGTTGTTTGCGCTAGTATCAAATATATATTACCTGTGAATCACCAAATCAACTAAATTAAGATCAGTGAAGCGAGTCGGTTTAATCATTTGCGTAAGAGCGGAAACGTGGTTGGCTTGTGCGGAGTGCTGCGCTTCGGGCATTAGATGAGAGGGCACCGCATTCTTACTTAACTTAACTTTATTTTTTCGTAATATTTATGGGAAGAGTTTAGTACCATTAATATTGAAGAGAATTGTATTCCCTTCTTAGAAGAGAATACAATTCTCTTTACGTAGTTTGTTGATATAAAATTTTCTAATAAAATCGACAATCAACATAATTGGTATGTAGGTAGGTATACCAATTATGTTGATTGTCGAGTAACACATAGAGAGTCTCTCTATGTGTTGTTTAATACATACAATAGGAATTTTCTTGGTTTGGGAGTAGATGGTGTTGTATGATATGTCCAGGGTTATTTATATCCTTATCTTATCATGGGAAATGACGCAGCGGATTTCAATGAAATTTTACATTTTATTAGGTATTGGATCAACATAACTGTTTAAGAGAGAATACTCCAAGTAAATGATGGGATATAGCTTTTCTTGAAGTATCGTAAAAGTAGAGGTCTTTGCCGACACAGATAGGATACAATTAGTATAGATAATGGACATAGACTTAATATTATACTAATATGTTTGTTTGCCAATGATAATGGGCACAAACAAATTTTTACAGCGACGCTTTTGCCGTCAGCGTCCACCATAGCAAACAATAATAGCAGTGCACGGATTTTAACCACATACCTAGCGTCGTCGAAAATTAGAAAGTGTCTTCATATACGTAATATACTGCTTTCCTGTATTGTTATGCTATAATGCTTATATCGTGTGGTGCGATAGTAAATTATCAAAGCTATTAATGAGAGAAAATAACAGTCCGAATGTCATTTCAATGTTGCCATGTATTAAGTCTGATATAGGCCCGCAGTTTCATCTGCCGCCTACCTAAAATGTGGTCACCATTTTTTTTGCGTTTTCGTTTAGCGTCCATTCTAACTTTTTTCATTTCAATCGGCTACAAAGGGCCGCAACGTGATAATTATAAGTCTATAATATTCTTCATGCATTAGACATCAAATACAAAAAGGCAACAAAAGATTGCATTTTTACGGATTGTCTTTGGAATGTGTCTTTCGGTGTTGTCTAGGGCGCGGCGCGGTGGCGCGGCACAACAGCCACGGCAGGTGCGTTGTTGTGAAACGTGTCCATGTCAACTTATGATTTTTATCCTATGTACAGACAGCCGCCATTACGACACGCGTTATTACTCACTCGAATCGCAGACAACATGTCCGCCATTTACCTTTTTTTTATTTTATGTATGTAATAATATATGTGTGCTTCATACTTCTTACTAGCTCAAGTTACGATCACAGAAGGATAGTGTAATATATATAGTGAAAGACATAATTGTTATGACGGATTACATTTTCCTATGGTTCGTTTTGTATTGTATCCTTAGATAATCGCAGTTTGGTTGCTAATAAATCAAAATGAGGATTCTTAGTTTGAGATTAAATGAACACAACAAACAGAAAAACATCCGAATATCACGTAGGGCCATCTAGTTTTAAAGTGAGTAGGTCTTGTATAATGAAACAAATTTTAGTCGAAAATAGCTATCTTTTAGATAAAAAAGCAACTATAGTTAAAATTACAACGGTTTCTTTCAGTGGTTTTCCAGACTTGACAAACAGATTTGTCTGTCAAACAGATAACATATCTACGTGTAAAAAAAAAAATATACCTACATAGGTAATACAGAATACGTAGCAGGTCACTGTATGTTTTTAGCAAAAAAGTACCTACGCTTGAAATCTTTATCAAACAACTAGTGTGGGTCTGAAAAGATGTCTTGTACACTATTTCAGTCCTTCAGAGAATGAATTTTTAAAAATTCTTAGTGCAGCCTTACGTTACACCAGGAGTTGTTGTGCATAAACAAATAGCTCTAGACGTACTTTATTCTGTCATTGTATAATTTTATTAAGGAACAGATATATGATATCTACCATGAACACAAACAAAATATTTCGCTCATTCACTATCAAAATTGTTTAACCACGATAATTATAGTTTTCTTTAAAAAGCTACTGCATTAGATAAGTATTGAAATTTCAATTGTGTCTTGTAATTTTTAATCTCAAGTAAGTTATATGTTTTAACTAAGTTTATTTCGGATGCAAATCGATGACGTTTGCTAGTCTTGGATATTTAAAATAAAAAATAAGCAAGAACAAGCGATCAGCGGCACGGAAAATACGAGATTTTAAAATTACAATTTTTTAGTATATATATCCCATGTTAATAATGGCTGATAACGTAGCTTTCTGTAAGTGAAAGTATTGATAAAAACGATGAATATTTTTCAGTATATATCCATTATGAAAAACTAAATCTATTTCGTATAATATTTGTAATAGATTATCATACAGATATATCACTCTACCCATTTTAAATCTCAATTTCTGGAGCAGTCGTTACAAAAGTAATCAATGGAGTTGTGTTATGCCGTTGTGAAGTCAAACGGGGCGTTGTCGTAGAATAGGTAAACATAAGGGACGCGGGTCCCCGCTGGCTGACAAAAGTACGACCGACCCCTACCGAGCACGTTGTAGCGGGTTTGCGTCACGCGCCAGCTCGCCAAGACACTGCTACCACAAATACATATCCGATGACCTCTCTTACTTATTTGCCCTTACAGACTGTCTTCGTGCCCTATTATCGAATAGTAGTAATTCAAAATGGGTCGACGTCAAAAAATCAGTCTATTTATACTTCTTACTCTCCGGGGATGGAAACACTGATATCAAAACAAAATTAATCCGAGAGACGGAGAAAGGATCGTCCCACGCCACATGGGATTCAAAAATACCTATCGAATTTGGGCGTGTTAAGTTAGCGTTCACCGCAACGTCGACAGTTGACAATGTCATAGACTCCATGTGTGATAACAGTCGTGAAAGTATATTATTATTATCCCTCTTACCAGTCAACCACGGGCATCAACCGACTGACCAATAGTCATGTAAATAATCATTAAAAGTCAAGTTAATTATATGGAGCTTTTAAGACGGCATGGCATACGAATGGGACGCCAGTGGCGCGTGCGGTCGGCGGGGGCCGAGGTAATCAGGGGTGGGTAGAGGTACGGGCTACTTATTATTACCACGCAGGCTCACACAGACACCTCACTAATCACACGAGTAATAACAAAAGCTTGGTTTAGTGAACCAGACGATTTTGGTGTGAATAGGGAGCGGACGCGGCAGATGTCACGAGACAATTAAAACTATTCATGTATTATATGATACGATACATTCTTGATTTGAATAGACATAAAAATTTACTATGATTGTCACTAGGTAAATAGGACCAATACGGAAGTAAATCCAAAAAGGGTTATAAACAATATAATCAAACATGTACCGTTATGGCAAGGTATTGGGTATTATTTATAATGATTTAAAACATTGTTGAAATCAAAACCTTTATTTGATAGCCTGTTAAAAATAATTTGCCAGGAATACCAAACAGATAAGTCTGAGATATTTCTTATTGATATGTCAACATTTAACCAATCATAAAATAAAATCCGTAAGATTAAAGTGAAAAAGAAGTCGAGTCTACCATTGTCAATTTTAACATTTGATTTTTTTAAAAACGTTACGTATAATATAAAAGTTACTGTTTGTATTGAAATATGGAACTTAATCCTAGTAACAAATTTGTATACCATTTCATAGTTTTAATTAACGAATACACTATATAGATAGATTACAATACAATACAACATTATAACAAAAAAATACTTCTATTTCAAAGAGTAATTGTTAGTGACTTCAGTTGCGAGAAGCTATGTAGCTATTTCATACAAACATAACCCATTATTGATATTAGTAGGGATGGAGGGTAAAAAGGGAAAGACGTTAAAACAAGTGGGCGAATTTAATTCCATCGGCAGTGCCGAGATGAGACCAGTTCGAAGCAAAAACTGAAAACGCGATTGTTCGTTTCTGCTCGTGAAATAAATATTGTTGTACTGTTTGTGTTTATCATCGATATCGCTATTTCAATTGAGTACAAATATTCATTGAAAATAATTATAAAGTATTATTTTGTCATAATACAAGTTCATGTTCATGAAGTACGGTATTCACAAAAGGACGGATCTAATTATATAGGTA